TGAAATTCAATCTGGCTTATAATGCACCCGAGATACTCCTCGCGATTATTCATAAGCTCAGTGGTTCTATCAAGGAGCTTCTCTATCTCCTCTTCCGTCTTTGCATAATTCTGAGCCTCCTTCTGCCTTGGATAAGGAGCAGAGTCGCGGGCGTGTATCCAATCCCTTGGATCCTGGTATAAAAGTGGTTGTCCTGAACAAAACTGAGTTCGAGACAGGATAAAGAATAAGGAAGGGTATGGAATCCTCCTCCACCGTCCATAAATTTGAGTATGCTCGCGTTACAGGTCCCTCGATATGCCTGTATCGTCTGCACGCAGGTACCTGTCAATTCTCCACATGCCCATCAAAAGAATATTTTTTATTTTGTTCCTCTCCTCTTCGGAGCTCGTACGATCGAGTACATTAAAAATTCATCGTCAGCGATTTGTGTGTCGGCGAAACCAGCCGCTATAATGATAATGATAATGATAATGATAATGGCAATGATAATAAGTTAAATAAAGCTTGTCACGAATCACTAATATGTTGCTAAAGAGAGTGTGACATGGGAGGGGATTATTATTCGGTTTGGGTTTTTAAAAGGGAAGGAGGAAGAAGAGGTGAGTTTCAGCCGAAGTTTATACTCGCCGACTATTAGTCGAGCGGAAGATATATGTTATTGTCCCTAGAGCGTGCGGAATAATCGTAAGGAACGTGGCCTGCTGGGCCCAACGAGATTGCGCAGTAGTATCGGGCATGTCAGTGATTCGACCCCTCAGAGAGCGAACGAGCATGGGAGTACAGTATCCACAGCCATTTGAGATTCTTATAGAGTCTCTCTCATAATATAATATAATATAATATAATATAATATAATATAATAAGGAGAAGCGGGGAGAGAGAGCTGGTTGAGAGGATGAGGCCCAAAGACCGAACACCGAACACCGAACACCAAAGAATGGGACTCAGTTCGTGCATGACCCAAAGAAACCCCTGCTGAGCCGACTCGATCCGATCCGCTGATCCCCGACCGAGCTGACGCAGATACCATCTCTCCTTGCACCGAACGGTCCCCGATCCTCATCCTCATCCTCCGATTCTCGACCAATACCTGGCCAACTGAAACTACAACAGCTCCAGCAAGTACAAGGATGCACGGGCCCACTTTAAACGCACGGCGTGACCTCTCGTTACCGGATTACCATCATTCTTGTCCAGTTATTGTCCCGTGGCCGGGATTTCAGCCAGTGGCTGGCTCTAAGATCGGCCCCGAACCGGGTGGGCCTGGCTCCATATTCCCGCGGTGATTCTCCGCCTCTCTATTTATCTTTTCCTCCTTCTTAATTCTCAATCTCCTCTTCCTTATTTTTATCCTTAGATACACGATTAATTGATCCCGTTTCGACTTGTCACGCTCGCTGTCTTGCCCCTCATAGTTCCCACGTGGCCAAGGTGAGCCACAGTGGCCAATGAATCCACTCGTTTATTCTCATCTCTTCCCTTCTGGTCCTGCTGATACCATCTCTATCTCTCCATGAGTTGACAAATGTTTTTGGGCAGTCGACAAAAAAAAAAAACCTCCAGATGATTATTCCTTCGGATCGCGATCGATTGCCTCAGATCGTATCGCGGTCGTGATCCTTCGGCATTCCTCATTTTTCATTTCTCATAGCTCATAGCTCATAGCTCATAGAGAGTAGTAAGAATAATATTTCTCAAAGTCCAAACATTTAACCAAACATCAGAGCAAGCTGATCTGATAAATTTAAATAAATAAATCCCGGATTATACCCGTTGGTCCGCTAACCAAACATTAAATTCTTATTCTACCGACTCATCTTTCGTCTGTGGTCTCATTTTGTTGAGAATCAGGCATAATAATTTTCCTGAACTTCCATACTTTATGCCACAATATTCTCAACCGTCTATTCCTATTTCTATTCTTGAGAATTGCCGATAAGAATATTGATGGCTTCTCCGAGTTATGCCTCTTATGCCTCAATTGTTCCCACGAGGTCAACATACAGAAGACACTAAACACATCACATTTATTTAATACATACTTATATATAAATATATATTGGTAGTACACACAAGACACAACACACTTGACAATATCAACACAATTGTCAGGTCGTTATTCCAGGGAGGACGTCTTATGGCCTTCAGCTAACCAGCAGCGATGACAAACGTTAACGTGACCGTGGAGTCAATGATTGTAACGCGAACACTATCGGTTTGCACACCATCGAAATATAAACTTTCTCACGACACCGATCCCACTGGCCCCACTGCACATGTGTATTGTTTATGGAGAAGGAATAAAGCCTTACCGGTACGAGTCTTTAACCTGTGTACTCTGTACCGTAAACTTATCCCTCAATATATATTAGTACCCTTTATTCGATCATAATATAAATATAAATGCCAGCAAGTGGAGAAGAATATACTTTATCTTAAGTAAAGAGATTAAAACCGTCGAATTTAATAGAATCTGCAAGCAACCCAAGACCCATATCCATATTGGTAGTTCTAAGCAGGCTGTCGGAAACAATTTACAACATCGATGCACCAGGGTCTTGAGTTACAGTAGCAAGACATAAATTCACATGAATCCTGGTAGTGGCTTACGCAAAACATATCCGCCTCTTCTCTTGCTTATTTTCTTAAGTACAAACATCACTCTTTCTTGTTGGTGTATTGTAACTTATAACACATAACACAAAGTGCTCTATAACCTCCTTCTTCTTCTTCTCCTTGTTCTGCTCTATCCTCCTCTTGTTCTACTGGTGGTCGGCCTACACATCAACATCATCAACATCATCAACATCATCAACATCATCACCAGCAAAGGCATCCTCCGTCCACCTTTGGGTCTCTCTCACGCATATAACGGGCGTTAATTCACCGAGACAACGTGCAACCGGCGTTGATATGCCCACCCCGATGAACCGGACTGCAAATCAAATCACTGTTTAAAATTTCTATGATAATTTTACTAATAATTTATCGGCAATTTGTTTGACAATGTTTATTTTATTTTCATTTTATGTAGCGCTAACTCAAATATCGGAAATTTGATAAAACAATGTTTGTATATGTATTTTTGAAATTTTTTATTGATAACTGACCTACGGTTTGGTAAAATTACAATACGTGTCGAATAATTACATGAAGTTTGTAAAGTTACAACTCATCTCAGTAATAGGCTTCCTTATATGTTTAGTATCGTGTATTGTATTTGCCACACACTGATTTGTAATTTTTCTAAGATTGTTTTGAAAAAGATTTGTAATTTAACAAAAATTTTTAACAGTGTGTAGTTGGAGCGTATTGGGCCCAACCGGTTTCTGTTTCTCGTACCGGAGTAGCCAGCGATCAAGAGGTCGCTCTCCTACATACCTCTATACCCTCGCCCCTCTCCTCTTCTCAGGGAGTATGTGCGCGTGTTGGTTGTACCGGAGATCGAATCATTAACGAGAATCAAATATCCCCCCTCGTGATGCCTCGAATACGCTCTCGTCCCCGAGACGTTTGGAATATCAGAGATCCCAATCGGTCGTATAAATTATGTTCAATTATAATCCTTTCTACCCCCTCCCCTCTCCACTCCTCTTCCTCTGACCCCGCATCATCGGCCTCTTATTCATGCACTCTCAGCGCTGACGCAGTAGACCCGTAGTTCAGATATTGTATAAAATATAAATAAAAAATAACACTATTTGAAGAAATAGAAACTAATGATCCGAGGATGATACTTAATTTAATAACCAGTAGTCCATAATGAACAATCGAAGCTTTATGCTAAAATCACAGTATGTATATGGGTGATTATTCGCTGGAGATAAAATCTGGTGGATATGTGACTAGTCTTGATGATCGCCGAGATCGTTTAGGCCTTCGTTTTTATTTATATTTTTATTCTTCTTATTTGGTTTCCCTCGCCGCCATTTCTTCTTCTTATTCGTCTTGTTCTTCTTGAGGAATCTCTTTTTTAAAAATATTTTTTAACCTTTTTTACGAATCGCGTGTTCACGTACACACACCACACACACCAGACTTTTATTAAATACTTACGGCTGTACCAGAGAGATACTCACACAGTCGATCGGATGTTTAAATTATCCTCGACGGCAATAACAACAGGTGCCGTGGATTCTCTGGACAGCCGTTAACTTGTTCTAGGAAGAACCGCACAGATGTCTCACTACGTCAATTTTATTATTTCTAATGCTCCCTTTTCTGGGCTTTAGGCTTTAGGCATTGGACTAACCAACCGATTCCCATAACCATTCCTTTTTTTATTCTCCATCTTCATCTCCTTCTTCTTCTTCTTCTTCTTCTTCTTCTTCTTTTAGTTCTTCTCTGGATTCTCTGGATTTTGTTATTTGATCTTTATAAACATTCCTCGTTAGTAGTTTTCTGCGATCCTCGGGAATGGTCAACCGCGGTTGGAGGATATAGCAGCTAGTAGCTTAGTAGCCTTTCTTTAGGTGGTCGAAATGTTGAGTATCAAATAAAGAGCGGGAATGATACAAAGTTGCTGGTACTTTGGCACTGTACAATGTTCGATGTAACATATCGTTTCGAGAATCACGAATAAATATTCTCTCAGGTAAACAAGTCCAAGAGTAAGGCTTTAAGATAAAGCGTCGAGATAGGGTGACCGCGGCGTCTCGTTATTTCCTCGAGAAAAGGACTACTCAAGTAATGGAACGAGAAATCATGATCCGTAAGCGAATCGGATTCACGTGTCCACGTAATCGAGGAGGTAATTACCAAACGTTAAACATCTATACCACTAACTCCGATACTCCCAAGACTATTTCCATCTTCTTCTTATTTAAATTCAATCTGCCTCCTTTAGAATTTACAATTTCGAGATTAACATTTATTTTTACCCAAATTATTAAATTATCCTGGTACATCAATTATAAATAATATTTTACGCTGGATCCCTCCATTCCAAACATTTTTTTATGTTCAATTAATTATTGATTAAATAAAAAAAAAATTAGCCACACTAAGTCTGTTGATGGCTGTCTTCTATCGTAATAACAAACCATTCGAAAGTAATCAAATTATTTTACGAGTTCGATCAAATGTAATTGCGAGTAAAGACCCATCAGGAATTATTTTATCACCCGTGGGTATATATATATATATATATTATTTTTTTTTTTTTTATTTCTTTGGTCTTTATTTCGGCAGACATGATTTAAGATAGAAAATAAATAAATATATAATATATAAAACATAATAATAAACAAGGAAGACAAAACGATTTAGCATTGCTACCGGCTCCGATAAATATTTATAGAAATCGCGTGATCGTGGGCCGGTCTTGCGTGACTGTAAAAATATTCCTTAGCAGCGCGTAATTCACTAAAGTAATAAATAAAGTCTCAAGTCTCACAAGAGTCGAACGAACCAACAGCAGTCCTCTGAACATACCCCGGAAAAAAGAGCTTTTGAGCTAAATAAATTAAGCGTTACTTGCAAAAAGATTACAATATAATAAAAAAATATAATAATAAATAATCTGAGCAAAGATTAATAAGGGACAAAAGATTTAATATATTGTAAATTGATTAATTATTCAATTGATTTTGATTTTTCACCCGGTTGTTAATTGAAATCACTGTATGTACAACACCGGATCATTGCTCGCGTGTACACATGTTAAAATATGACGTCATACATGACTGGATGTATTACACACAGTAGTAAAGTTGTTTTATGTAATATGTAACTGAGTAAAAAGAGTATATAAATAATAAAATAAAACAAACTAAAACAAGGTTACACTGTTATTGGCTGTCGGGTTTACCCGTAGCGTATGAGGTAAACCCCATACTTAATTAATTTTCGAATTACGACGTTAAATTTATAATACGTTAAATTTGATTACAGGTTCGCGTAACGGTCCTCGATAAAAATGACGTCGCACCTTCATGGGGTCCCGGACCCTGGAGATTCGAGGTGTCCGAGGAAGCGCCACCAAACACCATCGTAACAGTTCTGAAGGCCCAAGATCCAGATACTATCGGGAACCTCCGCTACAGTTTAATAACCTCCCCGAAGATCAGCCCCAACGATTACAATTACGAGGATCCGTATTCGCCGGCGAGCGACCGCGGAATCGAGGGCCAGTTTCGGCTGGACCCCATCAACGGACAGCTCCGACTCGTGGAGGCCCTTGACAGAGAGACCAGGGAAAAGTACGTCCTCAAAGTGAGAGCTGATGATGGATTGCAGCACACGGACATCAATCTCGTCATCCAGGTAAGCATAATTGTCTTATTGTTTTATTCTTGTTTGCTGGTGCCGGTGCCGGTGCCGGTACCGGTGCTGGTGCTGGTGCTGGTAATAATAAACTAAATGCAGGCGCTGGAAGACTAGAGGATTGAGGAGCACGAGATTGTAATGTAATGAGGAAACGTCGAACGGTAAATCTGCTGGTCGCAAATTGCGAGTGCTCGGTCACTCCTGGCAGCGAGTTAGAATAGCTGGATCGCTTGGATCGGCTGAGAGTCCGAGAGAGAGCACCCCGCGAGGATAGAGCAGGAAGTTTCTTCAGTGTGACCTCCAGAAGCCCCAGGGGACCGCGTGGGTCGGCCGAGGGTCTCTCAATAGCGTACTAAATTTCCGGAACCGGCCCATCCCCTTCGCTCTCGGTATCTCTAACTCTCAAACTCCAATTGCCTCTGCTAAATTAATAATATCCATACAAAGCTTCGAACAAAACAGCAACAACAGCTAAAACGTGTACAGCAATCCCTCGGGACAAAACACTGTCGATGCTATGCAATTTGTATAAATCCTTCTTAAGACAACTAATGACCTGGATTCTTTATCTTAAACGGACAAACTGCATCAACCAGATCGAGGTGGAAGAGAGCAGCGAGAGCACCAGCGGGCCCTCCAAAGCCAACCAGGAATGTCAACTCGATCATAGTTTGCTCTTTCGGTCCAGCAAAAGAGGGACCAACCAATCAGACCATCTTTGTCTTCTGGTTTCTTTAACCGTTCTTCCTCCACAACACCCCCTCTTGTTCATTCCATGCTTCTGGTTGTTCTCCTCCTCCTTCTTCTTCTTCTTGGATCTTTATAACTCCTACTGCAGCCTCCTCGTTGTCCTGTCGATCGGGTCCATGGTGCTAGTTTTTACAGAGCTTCTGTCACGGCTCCCGATCCTCTGGTTCTTTTTCCATTGGTTATTTTTTGCTGATACTCAACAAACTGTACACCGCGGCCAGTAAATAAGTACACATTCTATATAAAAATCTAAGAAAGAAAAAGAAGAAGCAACATCTTCTACTACTTCTTACTAACCTTCTTGTTAACTATAACCTCCCGATCGTTTTGTTTTCTGTTTTGCTCCTATTCTCGTGGATGGACATCAAACTAGGCCCAATGAGATTATTATTCTATTGCAAGTAAATTGGAATGCAGGTCTCGAGACGAGACGACACCCGATACCAGATCAGTCTTTACGAGCGAGTCTGCTCAATAACGGTAATCTCGTGATCCTCGACCTCGCTAGTCGATAGTCTTTTAAATCCTTTTAAACACGCTACAATGCTTGGATCTAGCTGTAATGCACCTCAAACCTCAAGCTCAAGTCTTGTTCTTAATAATGATAATTTACCTGCAATTTATGATTCCAGGTGACAGACACCAACGATAATGCCCCGGTCTTCCAGTCGATGGCGTACTCCTTTGACGTGGCAGAGAACGTACCTCGGGGGAGCAGAATTGGGCAAGTAATAGCGACAGATGCTGACGCCGATGGGCCCAACAGCCAGCTGAGTTATGCCCTGATATCCGATTGGGCAAACGACGTATTTTCCCTCAATCCAAGCACCGGCGTCTTCACCCTGACGGCGAGTCTCGACTACGAACAGGTAATAAAATAAAATCGAGTGGTGAGTAACGCCCGTAGATTAGATAGTTGCGGATGAATGAAGAGCCATCATATAAACCGTGTAAGCGGTGCCCCGAGGCCAGCGAAGGAGGTCCTCAGTCCTCGACTTGCTCTTCTTCCCAACCACATAAACTTTAGATGTTTTTTCGACGATTATACCACCTTTTAAGTAGAGCTTAGGGCACTAGAATTCTCAACCCAGACAGCCAGCAACGCAAAGGCTCAAGGGAGAAGGCAAGGGGACTCTAATGGTAGTCCATCCAAACTGGCGTATAAGATAGCTCCGCGGGAGACGAACAAGACGAATAGCGTCTTTAAATTCGGCAGTAGGTAGGGCCCTACGGTAGGGAGCAGTTTGCCCAAGAAAACACCAACAGCAGACTGCTGACCAGAGTTTTTGCGTAGAAGGGTGCAACGTTCTCCACCAGGGTGGTAGATTGACTGGTAGAGAAATTCCTCCGTATACTTTACTCTCTCTCTCTTGCTCTGGTCCTTAATCTGCTTCAGAGGAAGCCGAGGGAGCGTAAAGGGGGGACCGACTGAAACAAAAATAACAAATATTAAATTCTGAAACCGCTTATAGAACCCTTCATCAAACTAAACGTCCTTCCAGATACAGACCGAGATTATTGGGCATGCAGCCATCAAATAAACGTTATACATATCCGAGGTAGGCAGTGCAAAAATAACACACTCGCCTATCTGAAGTAAATCCTTAAGTATAGAGCACAATGGGACTTACTGCTCAACGACCTACCTTATGTAGCATTAGACCTGCACCGGATTAGAAATTCCGTTTTTTTGTTACCAATTAGTTATTTTTTTTTTTTTTCATGCTTCTTTCTTCATCATCGCGAGTTGTGCCCCTCCGGACGCACGAGCCGAGAGTTATATTACGGGCAAGTTGTAAACACCCAGCGAACGGGTTTTATTGTTACCCGACTAATTTCTACAACTACAGCAGGGCCTGAGTCCCGTTTACGATACAGCAACTGGTGTTCCTTCCGAAGGAATTATTTCGGTTACCAATAACTGGGAGCTTTTATTTCAGTGTAACCCAATATGAATGAGAAGTTGCCCTCCATTGAATAATAAAACTTTAAAAGGCTGTCAGTGCGTTAAATAATTTATGATTATAATTATTATTGCTTTGGTTAAAAAGGTATTGAGAAAAAAAGGCGATTGTATCAACAGATTTCCTTTAGCGACCGCAAAGAAACAGTTTTAATAATGAACGTAAGGCCTTTTTCTTGTAGAGGTTCTCCGTGTGAGTCTGTATATGTGAGCGAGAAGATTTGCGTCGTTAGCCAGTCAATTACAAACTGTTGGTGCGATAAACGGTTAAACAATCTTGAAAACCCGTTTTATTTTCTCTATTTATCTGTCTTCTCTTGTTCCATAGGTCCAACACTACATCCTCGTTGTCCAAGCAACAGACGGCGGTTTGCCAGTACTATCAACCACTGTCACTGTCTACTGCAATGTCGTTGATCTCAATGACAATGCCCCGATATTTGAGCCGGGACCACACGGGGCAGATGTATTGGAAAATACGACAACCGGTACCGCTGTTTTGTCAGTTGTCGCTCAGGATTTGGACTCGGGTGACAATGGACGTGTTGTCTATGACATTATCAATGGCGACGACAATGGGGATTTCGGGATCGCGTCAAATGGGACCGTATTTACCCGGAAACTGCTGGACCGTGAGACAAAATCGATCTACAATCTGATCATCAGAGCCCAAGACAGCCCGACACTTGCTGTCAAACCGCTTTCATCGACGGTCCAGGTGACCATTGTCCTCCTGGACGTGAATGACGTAGCGCCGGAATTCATATCCTCCAACCAGACCTCGATAATGGAAAATTCCCCGCCCAATACCGTGGTAATGGCCATCAAAGCCGTAGACAAGGACGAAGGTCGCAACGGCTACGTTGAGTATTCCTTGAAGGAGCCCTCGCTCTCGTTCAATCTCGGGGCCGTCGACGGGTTGCTGCGCATCGCAGAGCCTCTGGACCGCGAGCGCAGGCAAAATTACACCCTGAGAATCTCGGCAAAGGACCGCGGAGAGCCCCCTAAATCCTCGGAGGCGACAATCACAGTGTTGGTACTGGACGAAAACGACAATGCGCCGATTTTTGACCCCAAGCAGTACTCGGCAACAGTCGCTGAGAACGCGAGCATCGGCGCTAGTGTTCTTCAAGTCTCAGCGACAGATCGTGATGAAGGTGCTAATGGTAGAATGCGTTACAGCATCGCTCTGGGCGATGAGAATCGTGATTTTACGATCTCCGAGGACGCCGGAGTTATCCGGGTAGCCAAGAATCTAAACTTTGAGCGTAAATCACGGTACAGATTGACAGTTAAGGCCGAAGATTGCGCGCCGGAAATTGGCGAACCGTCACGTGATGACACTGCTGAAGTAACCATCACTGTTCTTGACATCAATGACAATGCGCCTGTTTTTCTCGACTCTCCTTACCTCGCCTACGTCATGGAGAACATGGTTCCGCCTGGTGGTGGTTTCGTTATCCAGGTATGTACTTATTTATATTTATACACTTTGTTGCTTAATAGTATTGCAAAATTCCTTGGATCGATAAACAAATATAAATATAAGTGTCTATTAATAAATATATAGCTTCAGTTGTAGTTTTGTAGCTGATATATCTATAAAATAGGTGATCCCAGGTCTATTGAAAGCATTGAAATGGATAAATATTATGACTGTTGTCATGAATATTTATTGATACAACACTACTGACGTGGTACATGAATATCTCTTGGTTTACGCGGCACTTTTAAACTCGGTCTCAATACCCGTAACGACATAAAAGACCCCTGACGTACGAGTGGGAGTTCAGAGAAAGTGCTTCACACATCTCGGTGTTAATACTTACAGTTTGTTAAAAGGACTATAATCGGCATTTGGCTCATAAAATATCATACTATTTTTTTTTTCTTTTTCTCTATTTGTCCAAGAGGTGTAGGTTGTATAAGTATAATACAGTGAATTTATCCATTTAAATGGTATTATATTATTCAGTATCTGGTTTTCATGATATGTTGTTAAAGTAACAAACAGCAACAACTACTGCTTTAGTCTATCTTCAATGGTATTTCCATGGCATTAAACATGGCGTTTCACTTAACAGCTCAATTCAGATCTATATTTATCCTTATGTAGAGTTTATTTAAGTGTGTAATGTGTGTAAGTAAAACTTTCGAGCGATAGCAATTAATAATAAATATAAATATATATTTAATAACTACTAATTTAATGGTATAAGAATTGGCAATAAAAAAGAGAATTTGTTTTTCAGGTAAAGGCTTACGACGCAGACACGCCGCCGTACAATGATCAAGTACGGTATTTTCTCAAAGAGGGGGACACCGATCTCTTCCGTATAAACGCTAGCACCGGTGATATCTTTCTTCTTAGGCCTCTGGACAGAGAAATGATACCGGATTATACGCTGACACTGGTCGCCATGGATACAGGTAAACCATTATTCCTTTTTATTTATATCCTCTTTTTTTTTTTTCTTTTCAATTTAATACCTCAGCCTTTTTTAGTTGCCAGTTCACAGATTGTGGGATTTTAAAATGGTTTTTATCCACGTCTTTGACCTGGCATTTGTTTAAATTATAATCTTATTTAATCAGGATTAAAGAGGAGACTTTTTCACATGAAGTTAGTGGTATTTCTCGGTATAGTAATTCTTATCTTACTGTCGATGGTTAGAATTGCGCAAAATCTAGCGTTACGTTGTAGGTTTTACGTTGAACGTTTAGCAGTGGCTAAATGTAAAGCTCTGTGTGTTGAGAAGAGAGTTCTTAGGATGTTGGTTGGTGGTTCTGCTGCTGCTGCTGCTGCTGCTGCTGCTGCTGCTGGTCGGCTTTATCCGTGAGTCACATAACTTGGCTTTAGAAACGGTCTGAGCGCGATCGCACGACACTGAATAGCCAGAAGCAAGATACGGAGTCGATTGCATCTTGGTGCTTGGTATCCACCGCGTAAATTCCACGGGCTGTGCTATTCTAGCGTGTGTAAGCTAAGAACCACCAGCCCCTTGAGCTTCGGGCACACATGCATATATAAAACACATAAACGTAAACATATATACCAGTGAAATCAACAGTAAAAGATAAACACAAGGTTGAAAGAAGTAGTCGAAGTCTTGTTCGTCGACGAGGACGTACACACTAACCAAACTCCCTTGTACTCATCTCTATGAAAGATATATATACATATAGTTGAACATTATAAAGTAAGAGACGTTTAATTCTACACTCTTCTTCCCGCGCATTCTTACTTTTTCCCTGGTTTATTTTGTTCATCCTTCCTTAGAGCTGTTACACGACATACGTCTCTATCTTACATCTATAACTAAGTAACCGAGCACTCGTACCTTTTATTCCGTGACAAACCTTGCGCCCGAGTACTTATATCACCGAGCTATCGCAAATAAACCAATAGATGAGAACACAACCTGAAAACAAAAAAATAAAGGTTTAAATAAATAAAAATATATATTATACATACAAACACCCGTCCGTAATAAATCTAACTATAAGTATCGAGTATTATGTTGATGCTGATACTAATACCTGAAACCTGGGAAGCTTCTCGTGCTGGATATTATATACTGAGCACTCTTCAGACTTGCTCACTGCACAGAAAATGGGAAAATAATGAAGGGATCCAGCATCATCAGGAGTTTCGCCGGATTTTTACCGTAACGGTATACTCTTCCCGGTCAATAGTCGCTAGGAATGGAAAAATTCCGGAAGATGAGATCGCCAAGTGCAAAGTGCAAGGTACGAGGTGCAAGATGTAAGCTCCAGTAGTTGAGAATTATTCGCCTGGGACTATGATATCATGCTGCAGAAGAGGAACGAAAGGTTACCCAGCTATAAAGTTGGTCGGTGGGTAAAGAAAGAGTTCCCCTGAACCTTTAACAAAAAGAGACAACCTCGGCTACAAGGGAATAAGAGACAGTGGTGGTGCTGAGGTATAAACTTTAAAACTCACGGGATATAAGGTAAAGGGCACCTTATACTTGTTCTTATTCTCGATTCTTATTTTTATTATTTTTATCATCTCTTTTCTTCTCTCCTTTAAGATGTGTGTAACGTATAGGTGTCTTGGGTCTCTCGGTTGGTTGTAGCGCAAGTCCACCTGGATTATCTGTGCATCAAACCTCGCGGCAACCGATACGAGTTCTCATATTATTCTTGTCTTCTTTTACCTCCTCTGAAATAAGAATAACAGGGAATTAACGTTTAATCTCATACACTACACTACACTGAGATTCAAAGTTTCTTATAACGCATCGCGTTACCATTTCATGGACACCCTAGTCTCCAAATATTATCTTTCCATATATATTAACTAATTTATTTAGCCAATTAAATTTATAAATTTATAAACTCTCCTCCATAATTATTTATTGAATTTTATTATTTCTTCTTCCGTTATCCAGGACAATTTGAGACACTGGCTGTGTTTTCTCTTGTTGATGGGTTTCATTATTCCGTCTCAGCACGACTAGTTGAACCGTCATACACCAGGATAAGAGAATAAAGGGGAAGAAGACGGCGAGAAATAAAACACCTTAGTAATAATAACTTTGGCTGGTTCGTTCTCTTCTCGGCGTCTCTAATAGGCCGGTCGTGCGACAAACCCCTGGCATCTTATTATCCGATTCGCTGAGGCATTGTCCTGGCAAATTTCGAGGACAGTCACGTATAAATGAATTTTTTATTTTAAAATACCTTTTATCAATCTCGATGTAACGTCTTATTATTTATTGGATTTTCTCGTCCATCACTTGTCGGTGAGAACAGACCATAACCATAACCATGACCATAACTATAATAATAACGATATCTAAATATAGAAGAATAATAATAATAATCCCAAGATTACGATTTAATAAAAACACGCTGTTGCTCGTGGGAGTCTCTCCTTCAAATAAAGACGTTAATAATTACGTTAAATACACATATGCTAATGAGCTGCATCTTTTGGAGCACAATGAATCTCTTTTTCCTTCTACCTCTCTATCTGTGTTTACACTTGTACTAAACAAACACGTGGGACTTTAAAATTGCTGACGAATAACTTACCAACCGACGGAACTCAATAAATAAACAAACCGAATAAAATAAAAATCTAAATGCTCGATTTTAAGATTCAATGAGAAGATAACACTCTTTGCCCTCCTTTTCGGTTCTTTTTTTTTTTTATTATTTTTAATTCTCGGGCACACCCCAGTAGTCCGCATTCACGGTTCCCCGGCATATTGCCGGTCGCGATCCTCAAGAAGAGCAGAGTTATGACGCGCGATTATGATAATCGGTCCCGAGTACCTCCTCTTTTTATTCCTTTAATCCTCATCTTCTTTTTCTTCCCCATGTTCTTGTTCTTCTTTTTAATGTCACTTCTCTTTTCACTTGCCCGGTCCGCTATCCTCGGTGCCTTATCTTCCGAGGCATACATCTACTACACTTATATAAGACCATAATAAAAGAAGAAAATAAGAAGTAAAAAAAAAAAAAAGCCGGGAGGGAATGAGGTCCCCAAGCCTTCGCATATTATATTATACTTTATTCATACTTTGCCGTCACACTCCCTTATATTCTCTTATTAAACCGCTTCACTCCATTGAATTATTGTTATTATTATTATTATTATTATTATTATCATTATGATTACCCTAATAATAATTGTAATTGTTATTATTAGTTGGGAAGAAAATAGTATAGGAAGGTGAAGTGCGGCCGTGAATAAATGTTACTCGACGGGGGAAGAAAAGAGATAGTGAATAATAATAATAATAATAATAATAATAATAATAATAATAATAACAACAACAATAATGTTAAACAGATAGCAATCAGGAATTGGAAGTGAATAAAAATAAATTTTACGAGGATAAATATATTATCTGGAGGTTGGTCTCGCTTAAAATGGGAATTGTTAACTTTAAATTGAGGTAAAAATAACTTAAATAATGAATTCTGGTGTTAAACTCGTGACTTGAGTGTCAAGTGCATTGAACGGGCTGCACAACCATCTGTGCACTTAATGCCGATGTTGAGGGTTGTAGTTGTGTTAAGGACGTCCTTGTCCAATTGTCACCAGGTGAGTGACACCGTCTATGCAAGAAATCGGAATTTAAACCTAGCGTACACATAAACTCCCAAGTACCTGAGAATAAATAAACCGTAAAGATTAATAAAAGGAACAATAAGTCGAGAGCGATGGAATAAGAAGAAAAAAGAAGATAAATAAAATAAAAGTGATATCGGTAGCTGGTAAATAAGACAAGTCTTGATTTCTCCAACTTTACTCAAGAATATAATCTATAACGTTGACAGGATAGAACGTTCTCCGTTCTCGGGGTCCTACTCGTTTAGTTAATGCCGTTTGAAATGAGATTGCTCGTTTACCAAGAGAATATCCAGAGCAGCGTGCGAACAACCGGAGTTAAACGACAAGCTTGGGATCGAGATCTCGAGAAGAACAGCCGAGACGCTTTTACCCGGCTACTAACTCTCTTGGTACTGCTCTGTACTCGCTGGAGGTTTAGCTGGCTAAAGATCCCGAGGAACACTGCTAGCCAGGACAATGACGAAGAGTTGGAAGCTGGATCGGCAAGGTCGAGCTTTAGATTCCACGCGCTCCTTTGATTCACCGATCCACATTCGATTCTTAGTTGCTGGGTGTTATAATTGGAAGGTCGCGTGCAAATTGTCTTATCCGAGTGGAGAGATCAGCTCCAGGTCTCTCTTGGGTTGTCACTGGGCTGAGAGCTGAGTGCTGAGGCCCTTTGCCCACTCGTTCTTCGTTAATATGAGAATGGCATTCTTCCTCCTCTTGGATCTGGAGACTTGTACCTGGCTTCACTCAGCGACACTTTTATTGCCTTTCGAATAAGATAATGCCGGTATTAATACCCCAATCGAATCACATATGAGCGCCCTCTCAGATGCGTGCGCATCCAGAGAACAATGGCGACACCAGGACAGCACAAGGTCGCGTCACACCATCACCAGAATAACACCGTGTCCTTGTCTGGTCACCCTTTTCGATTCTGTCCTCAGACACACAAAGATCCTCACTCAGATGGAATTGCATTGTGTCAAGGAACAAGTGCCTGGATATTTTTATTCCTCCGCTTATTTTATCTCGGTGTTCGTTCTTCTCAGGATCTTTAATTCGGTTTGTTCCGTCCTCCGTCCTCGGAGTCTGGCCCAAAAATATATTCCGTCTTTATCACGGGCCCGACACACATCAACAACAACCAGCGCAGGGCATGGACGGGCTGAGTCCATTCATACGCAGGAATAAGGGCTTCTATGAAGATGTTCCTCTTGCTGTTACGTAGGCCCTCGCTCCTACAGTTAAACCACCACAAATCGTCGGTCACTTTTCAACCGTGATCCTCCTCAGGGGAGGTACTCTGAAATATTTATATTAACCTGAGATATATATATATATATATATACACATTTTTTTTTTATCTTGACGGTTATTTTTTATTCTTACCCAACACACAACTCAACTGTGTTCTCCTTTACATTCAGTGAATGCATCATCAAGTACACATAACGAACTCTGAAGAAAAAGAAGAAGAAGAAGGAGGAGGAGGAGGAGGAGGACCAGCACCAGAAAAGAAGAAAGTATGCCTGAGGAATATAATAACACGCAGAACAGCTGACAATGTGATGTGGCCTCAGTGCTCGCGCTGAAATTACTGTCGTTAATAACTCGGTCTTGTTTTTAATCGCTCAGAGAGTCCAGCCCGAGTACGAGAATAAAGTTCACAGCGGCGGTATATTACCGTTCCTCTCACCAGTGTAATATAATAATGCACTCTACTCTCTCAAAAGAAACAAAGAATTAAATAAATAATTTATGTCGACGATAAAAATATACATGAGAAAGATTTTATAATACTTACCCGAAGATTAATAAATTTCACAGCCACTCTTCTCAACTATTTAAACTCTTGATAACTATTTTTTGTTTTGTTACTCAATTCTTAAACAGATGGAAGACAGGAGAATTAAATATTTTGGATTAACAATGAATTATTGGGTTTTGTGTGTAATTACCTCGGTATTTTATTAGCAATTATAAGTCACACGATTCGTTGTCTCTTATTATCCGAGATAGATATTGTGAAGAAATTTTCGTAAAAAGATATTTATTTAGACATAAAAAATAAAGTCTCAGGTTTTATTGCCGAGAAATATCACTGATGGAAATTTGTATAATATAATACTATAATAAGAGACTAGAAGACAAGTGAACGGATAACCTCCCATAGCGTCGAGGTCATCTCAAATTCAAAACCCACCAGACCGTGTCAACTGGAGATTAATAAATTATTATTAATACCTTTCACTATTGAATTGCTTTGATTATACTTACCAAACTATCTCGATTTAAACATCAATCCCTCTTTTATGTCCACAATATTATTATTATTATTATTATTATTATTATTAATACGTGACGTTTTGTAAATAAAAACTGGCAGCTCGTTTGAACTTGCCGCTGAGAATATGACCCGCCATTTCTGACGCTAACCTCCAAACTCTAAATAAAACACAACCAAATAGCACTTCCGTATTTTATAAAGCTTTTATTTACTAAAAAGCATTGCTGCATAATAAATATCATCACTTTATTACCAACACTTGCCCAAGAAACGAGCCTTAGCACCTGCGCTTACATGCATGTATATAAATATACACACCAGAGTAGAAAGAAGAAATAAATGCCGGGCCGATAAATCATAAAGGAGCTAAAAAATTCAGCTTATATTTGAGTTTATTAAAAAAAATATTAAATAAATAACAATACCGGGCATAAATAAAAGCGCACATCATATTAATATATATAAACGGGTGTGTATATATATATTTTTTTTTTTTTTTTTTTTTTTTTATTTCCCATGACAAGTGCCGGGTTTGTAACTGCAACATTGCGGTGGAAACTTATGGCGTATTTACCAAACGATTTTATAAATAGCCCGGGGTGTGTGTTGTACAGGTTGTGAAACACACACGACACACACCAGTTACAAGTGTTTTTGAAGTTACGAATTTCTTCTCTTTATTCTGTTAATTTAGCAACAACATTGCTGGTATTCTTCTCTGCTCCCCTTTCCCTCAATCATTAAAAACATAACGTATCAATGTATATTATAATATAAGTACTATACATTGGTATTCATATGTATATATGTAAGTATATAAATATATAATATTTTTTTATTCATACCTTGCGATTTTATTCGACGATTACGGCGACTTTGATGCTTTCGAAATGGCTGGAAGGAGCCACGGGTAATGGCGGTTGGATCTTACATTTCCAAGCGTGGTATCGAGGGCTTGAGGGCACCAAACAAGTCCAAGAATACGAGATCGTATGATGAAGAAAGAGAACTTCCTCCCTTGACTACCACCATCATCAAAAAGCCACCTCCACCTTCACATCGTCTTCTTAAAGTTTATTCTCACCGAGCTGCTGAAGAAATAAGACCGAGAGGGAAAAAGTTAATGCAAAAGAGAACAACGCACCACGGTTTTAATTTATTGAACCTTTGTTAATTTGAATATTATGATTTATAGTATTGTTACGACTACGGTCGCCCTCGTTGGTTGCGCTCATGATTGGAGGCCAGGGTATATCCATCCCATACGTCGGCTCTAAAGCTTTCAAAGCTGCTACCAATAAAAATATTATCCGATAAAATACTTATTCCGACTTTAAAAGCAAGTGCAGAAGACATACCAACGCTCGCCCGACAATAACGATAATATTCCCACTTGCTGGGTTGCTTTGCTGTTTGACGTATCAAACAAAGAGGTTAAAAATGAAAATTCGCAGGAGCTTCTTCAGAACCTAGAAAGATTTGACCTTCACCGCTATCTCGAGTCTTTCTTAGCAGCTCCCCGTGGAGTTAGAGCCATTGAATCTACCGCGCGTGGCCCTGGTGGTCGTCGAAGATTAATCGCGGATGAATTTGTCATACTCATACATCCATGCACAATACACACACCATTACTTATAAATATTTATAAAAAAAATCCATTGCACATACATATACCGCTTATATTTACTCTTGAGATAAATACAAACACATACACTTGTGCATATCAAGTATAAAAGAGTGGTAAGATCTTAACGAATGACCGTACTATCCCGAGGCGCCCAGGCCTTATTATTTTTTCCCGAGGATCCTTTCCGAGGAGTCAGTCCTCTTCTTCCTTACACGTCCTTGCTGAGGTATGACATATGATCACTAGATGCCCACACCCCCGTCTTTATCCTCCGAGAATTAGTCTTAAGGCTTATGGTACTTTTTAAACTTAACAACAAAATATTCCGCCTCTTATTCTTACTCTTAGCTTCTTTATTTCTTCTTCGAAAGATTATTAAAATAAATAAAATAAAATAAAATAAAATAAAATAATTAATTGTTTCAGGCTCGCCGCCATTGACTGGCTCAGGTGTGCTAAAAGTAATAGTCCTTGATGTTAATGATCATAGTCCTGAGTTTTCAAGACCAGATTACAAAGCTACCGTTACGGAAAATAATCCCGGTGGTACTTGGGTCGCTAAGCCCACGGCTACGGATAAAGATGAAGGATTAAATGCCAAGATTAGGTATGTATCTCCTTTAAACATCATTTTAAAGACACATCAATAAATATATCATCATCATCATCATCATTCTATTAAATTATCCATTATAAACATTATCATTATTCTTATAACCATTACAGGTACAGTCTTCTTGGTGAGAAAACAGAGAGATTCTCCGTTAATCCAGACACCGGTGAAATAGTTACTCTGGTGTCCTTGGATCGCGAGCAGACCGCAATTTACCACCTGACTCTGATAGCCCAGGACTCGAGTCCAACTGAGCCGAGAGCCGCTGCTGTTAATTTGACCATTTACGTAGCTGATGTCAACGACAACGCGCCTCGCTTTTCCAGTCCCAGGTACACGGCCTACGTTCCGGACTCAACCAAACCCGGAGACTTTGTCTTTGGTGCCAAAGCCGTCGATGACGACGACGGAGAGAACTCTAGAATAGTTTACCACCTCCAGGGCGACGATGCGCATCGTTTTGTAATCGACAACTCAAATGGAGTGATTCGCGCGGCTGAGGATCTATCAAACGCCAAGGCGACTTACCAGCTGCAAATCCGCGCTTCAGACTGCGGCCAAAAATCCCAGAGTGTCACTGCAGACCTGGTGATCCACCTCTGGGACCGACAGCTCTTTCCCAGTTTCAAATCGTCGATCAGCACGAGATTCACTCTGACAGAAGACATGCCCGAGGGACGGATCATCACTACTCTGAGCGCTACGACGCCGAAAGTTGGAGCTGCGAGTAATCTGGTCTTCGCAATGGCTGGTGGTAATGTCGGCGACGCTTTGAGGATTGACTCCTCTACTGGAGAGGTGCTGGTCGCTTCAGGATTTGACTACGAAACAGCGCCAACTTATGAAGCTTGGGTTGAAGTCAGAGATTCCGACAATCCTCCTTTGAGATCAGTCGTCCAACTGCTGATCAATGTTACCGATGCTAATGACAATCCTCCGATCATGGAGGCAGTTATTTACAACGCGACTGTTTTAGAAGAAGAATATCCGCCGCTGTACGTCACTAAAATCGCTGCCAAAGACCTTGATTCTGGTGAAAATGGACTGGTCACTTATTACCTGGCCAATGACTATGACGAGTCCTTTATGATTGACGAAAACACCGGTGAGATTAGCACAAATGCAAAGCTAGATCGGGAAGAAATGAATTCCTACGAGCTGATAATCGAAGCTAGGGACCAAGGAGAGCCGAGGTTGTCGGGAACAGCGACTGTGATCGTCAGTGTCTTGGATAAAAATGACAATCCGCCTCGTTTCACCCGTCTCTTCAGCGTAAACGTTACCGAAAACGCAGAAGTAGGAGCCTTTGTCATCAGAATAACCAGCAGCGACCAAGACATTGGAAAGAATGCCAACGTTACTTACACTTTCACCGAAAATCCTGGTAGTAAGTTTGCTATCGACCCAATCACCGGAATTGTTGAAGTTGTAGGGACTCTGGATCGTGAAGAACAAGACGAGTACCTGCTGAAGGTCGGCGCTGCAGACGGCGCGTGGGTTGCAGAAACAACTTTAACCATAACGATCCAGGATCAGAATGACAACGCTCCTGAATTCACCGAGGAAAGCTATCACTTCCACTTTCCGGAGCTCCAGAGACGGCTAGCGCATGTAGGCCAGGTGGCTGCAGCAGATCGCGACAAACAGGGTCCCAATTCAGTTATTTCTTACAGTTTGCAGCACCCCTCAGACCTGTTCAGCGTCGATCCGGCCACTGGGGACATATTCAGCAAAAGAACGTTGCGTTACAAGCACACTCACCGTCCGTCTTCTCCAGAAAATCTCTATTCTTTAACAGTGATCGCTACTGACAATGGAAAGCCTCCACTGTCTTCCAAAACCATCGTTCATGTCAGCGTAGTTGATGCAAACAACAATGCGCCGAAGTTCGAGCAGCGCACTTACTTATCGCCAGTCCCAGAAGCCTACGGAGTCGGCAAGCGCGTTGTTAAACTAACAGCTCACGATGACGCGGACTTTGGCGTCAATGCTGAGATAGAATACACTGTCGCTGGTGGAAATTCCTCGGACTTTTTCGGAATCGAGGCCAAGACCGGCTGGATCTATGTTACCAAGAGCATCAAAGACATCCCAGTTGGCACGACCTTCTTGTTAGCCGTGAGAGCCACGGACAAAGGAGTTCCGCCTCAGAAAGACCAAGTTTCATTGATGCTGGTGGTAACAGGTGAGAATCGGCGAGCTCCAACCTTCGCTGCGGTTTCTTATCAAGTCCGGGTGCCAGAAAACGAGCCGGTAAACACGACAATCTTGACAGTCAGCGCAGTGGACGGCGATGACGGGCCGAATGGTATGATTCGCTACAAAATATCCGATAGCGAGTGTCGGGTCTTTTCAATCCACCCCACCACTGGAGCAATCACCATCCTGGAGACTCTTGACTACGACACTATCCAGGAGTACAGGCTGAACATCACTGCGACGGACCTGGGCTTTGAACCCAAGCAAGCTGTCGCTACTCTGACGATAAACGTCTCGGACATAAACGACAACCCGCCTACCTTCAACCAGACTGTCTACGAAGCTTTTCTTCCGGAGAATTCTCGGCCCAGCAGCTTTGTCTACAAGGTGGTCGCTAGAGACATTGACTCTCCTAAGTACGCAGTGATCCAGTACCGAATCATCGGCGGAAGCGGCAAAGAACACTTCCAAATCCAGCAGGACACCGGGGTGGTCACCTCTCGCATTACTTTCGACTACGAAGAAGCGAACAAGTACACGCTGGACATCGTAGCGGCAAATCCTGACTCGAATCCGCAGATGGTTGGGTTCACCACCGTGGTGGTGCATATCACCGGGGTGAATGAATTTTATCCAAAGTTTATTCAACCAGTTTTCCTGCTGGACGTATCAGAGAGCGCAGAAGTCGGAACGTCTGTCGGACTGGTCCAGGCGACTGACCAGGACGCTGGCGATGATGGACGTGTTTATTATCTGTTCGTCGGATCGTCCAATGACCGCGGGTTCTCAATCGGCTCTGAGACGGGTATCATCAGCGTATCGCGTCATTTAGATCGGGAGACGCAGAACCGGGCTGTGCTTACGGTGATGGCGAAAAATGCTGGAGGGATACGTGGCAATGACACCGATGAAGCCCAGGTTATAATATCCATCCAGGACGGAAACGACCCGCCTGAATTCTTGCAAACTACCTACGAGTCGAGCGTTTCCGAGGGGGCTATTCAGGGGACCAGGATTCTTACAGTCAGGGCGATTGACAAGGACGTCAGGCCCCAGAACAACCAGTTTTCATACTCCATTATCGGAGGTAATGTTGGACAGGCTTTCAAAGTTGATCCCCAGTCTGGAGATGTCGAGACTGCCAAATTGCTGGACCGCGAGTCTATTGCGAGTTATCAGCTGATTATTGGGGCTATTGATGTTGGATCACCACCTCAGACCGGCACAGCGACGGTGCGCATTGATCTGCTGGATATCAATGACAATGGCCCGGTGTTTGACCCTCCGGAAATAGTCGGGTATGTTAATGAAAACGAACCTGCCGGGACTAGTATCATGACTTTGACGGCTATGGACCCAGATTTGCCTCCCAATGGTGCTCCGTTTACTTATCGGCTTATTGGAGGTAGACAGGCTGATGTTGTTACTCTGGATAAACATTCTGGGGTTTTAAGAACTACCAGGAGTCTTGATCGTGAAGTTATGCCTCAGCTTGATTTGTTGGTAAGTTTTTTTTTTTTTAATTTTTGTTATTACAAATTTATTTTTTTTTTAATTTATTTTTTAAAATTTATTATTGAAAATTCATTTTTTTTAAATTTATTTTTTTAAATTTATTGTTGAAAATTAATTTTTTTTAATTTATTATTAAAAATTTAATTTTTGTAATTTATTATTAAAAATTAATTTTTTGTAATTTATTATTCAAAATTTATTTTTAATTATTTAGTAATAAAATTGAATTATAATTATTTCAGATTGAAGTAGAAGATTCAGGATTACCAAAAATGAAAAGCGAGCACACAGTGACTGTAATAGTGTTAGACGAAAATGACAGTCCATCAACACCACGATCAGTTCATATAATCGTGCATTCATTCAATGGCAAAACACCGATGGGAAAAATAGCGGATGTCCATCCAAATGATCCTGATACCACCGGCGACTACACATGCAAAATACTTCAGGGCTCGAATCCTGCTGGTGTACTCACCGTCCCGATCGCTTGCGATTTACATACCAGCAAAATTACCCCCGGTACGTGCTCGAAAGTTCATAAATTAGTGCCCGGGTTCCAATTCGCGAGAACCACTCTTTGGGTAAGACGAGGACACGCGATACACTGAATATGGGATAATAAAAAAATAAATATATAAGACGGTGCTCTGGGGAGTCAGGGGATGAGGGGGCGAGGGGGCCGAGAGGAGAGAAAGGAAGAAGAATGTCGATGTATGAAAGAGTAAAAGAGCAAAAGAGTGAGATGATATTTTTTAAGTGAGATAGATACAGAACACTTGGATGCATCTGAATAATTCATGGATGAAAGGGAGGCCAGGAGGTAGAGGGATCTAAAAAATATAAATAACAAAAATAAACAATTTTAAAAAAGGATGCCAAATAAAGTCCAGTGAGAAAAAGGGAAAGGCTGAAAGAACGTTCATATATATATATGTATACGCGTTAATACGAACCGGTAACAATATCGTTATACCAAAAGATCATTCTCGTCATCGCGATAACGAGAGTCAAGTAAAAGAACATCAGTATTCATGCTATCGACTTTTTTTTCGAGATATTAATCATACTTATCAATGTTTATTTTTTATTATTTATAATGTTCAATACTTAATATTTAGTAGTTTATTTTTATCGACATTTACTTTATTTTATGTATAATATATAATATAATCTTTTATAAATGTTAATACCTAAATTATTTAATCATAGGTCTCGGATATTCGCTGAGCATCTCCGGGAGAGACGGACGACATCCAGATGTCGTCTCCAAGGTCACTGTGGAATTCCTCGTCTTCTCAAATGCGACCGTTGAAAACAGCGTTACCTTACAAATTAACAGACTCACTGCTGCGGAATTTCTCGCAAAGTTCTACCGGCCGCTATTGGACATGCTCCAGGATGACGTTGATACCGGGGATACCTTCACTATCTTCAGCATTGGCGAGACTGACGGCAACTTGGATATTTACTTGGCTATGGAAACTCCTCAAGGTAATTTTTTAATTTTTATTCTTAATAATTAAATAAATATTAAAAAATAATTTATTTACAGGATTTAAAGCCAAAGCTGAAGTAATCGACATGCTGGTGCGCAAACGTGAAAAAATTCAAGAAACCCTCGCCGGCAGTGGAGTCACGGTAAATTACTCGCCCTGCGGGCTAATGGCTTGCGACAACGGCGGTAGCTGCAGCGACCAGTTGGTCGTCTACGAGGACGCGAGAATAACAAACAGCCAAAGTTTAATCCTAACATCTCCACGAGTAACCCACGAGATGATTTGCCGGTGTCGGGAAGGATTCACCGGAGCGAGATGCGAGCGTCGTCAAGATCCATGTTCTCCGAACCCGTGCCTGGAACGTGGCCAGTGCAGACGAGTCGGGTACGACTTTATGTGCTCCTGTCCCGCAAATCGGGAAGGAAAACTCTGTGAACTAGAACGTGGAGATGCCTGCGCCAGCAACCCTTGCAGAAACGGCGGATCTTGCAAAGTCTCTCCCGACGGGTCAAGCTTCTTCTGCCTGTGCCGAGCCGGTTATCGCGGCAATCATTGTGAAGCAGTGACCGATTCCTGTAGACCTAATCCTTGTCTCCACGGTGGTCTTTGCGTAGGCCAGAAACCGGGCTATCGTTGCAGCTGTCCTGAGGGCCACTACGGGAGACACTGTGAGCAGTCTACCTACGGCTTCGACGAGCTGTCCTTCATGAGTTTCCCAGCATTAGACTCGACAACTAACGACATCACGATAGTCTTCGCGACGACCAAACCCGACGCGCTGCTGCTTTACAACTACGGCCCTCAAAGCGGAGGCCGATCGGACTTTATCGTCCTGGAGCTCATCAACGGTCGCATCGCTTTCTCCTACGGCGGGGCCAGAAGCGCAATCACTCTGGTAAAGGTTGAGGGTGGAAGTCGCTTGGACGACGGACACTGGCGCAAAGTAACTGCTACCAGAAATGGACGCGTAGTTTCTTTGAGTGTGTCAAATTGTCGCGAACACGGCGACGTTTGCGACGAGTGCAAGCCTGGAGATGGTTCCTGCTACGCGGATGACATCGGACCAACTGGAACGTTGAATTTCAACAACAACCCATTGATGATCGGTGGTCTGGCTTCTGCTGATCCAGTCCTAGAAAGACCAGGCCAAGTTCACTCCGACGACCTGGTCGGTTGTGTCCACTCAATTTCAATCAACGGACGCGCGCTGAACCTGACCAGTCCTCTGGCGTCTCGAGGGATAAAGAACACCTGTCCACGTCCTGAAAACGGAGTTTGTGACGACTTGCAGTCAGTTTGCGGCTCTGGTAAGTGCTACGACAAGTGGCACTTAGCATCCTGCCAGTGCGACTCTCTGACGGCCCCCAACTGCCGCGGAGCCCTCGAGCCGGTCAATCTGAGCGATGGAGGGTACGTAGAGTTCAAAATTTCAGAGAAGCACAAGCGAATGCAATTGTTGGAGTACTTGTACGGTGGAACAACGTCCTGGTCTAGGAACAAGGTAACGCGCCGAGCTGCCAAGGAAGATACCAACAATCTTATTTCCCTGGGAGTTCCTCCGCCGAAGAAGATGAGTCTGATGTTCCGTACGATAAAGACCGATGGGATTTTAATCTACGCGGCGACTAACAAACATTACACGTCAATAGAGCTGAAGAACGGACAGTTATCTTACACCTCTCTGTTGGGATCAGCGGTGAACATGACCGGAGCGGTGGAGGGCGGGCTGGCTGATGGTCGCTGGCACAATTTAACGATATTCGCTCACTCACGAGGCCTGCAAGTGATTATAGACGGGCAGCTGACCGGGGACGAGCTCGATTCAGCCGGAGTTCACGACTTTTTAGATCCGTATCTGACAGTCCTGTTTGTCGGCGGCGTCCGTCGTGATCTTTATTACCACGACAGTTATCCAGTTACGTTCGAAGGATGCATCGCTAATTTTAGCATAAACAACGAGTTACAGCCGTTCAATGGCTCCGGTTCAATTTTAAAAGACGTAATGTACCACGGCAAAGTGTCCCGGGGCTGTCGTGGGCCCATTGGTATCAGCGCGGCAGCCACAGCGGACCCTCTCAGCATTGGAATAACTCTGGTAATCGTTTTCTTCGTCACGCTCCTCGTGGCGATCCTCGTGAGCTTCGTGGTCTTCCGTCTGAGGCGTCAGAGCAAAGAAAAAGCGCCCTCGGTGGTTAATAAAAACACAAACGCTATAATCACCGGGAATTCTCTCGTTGGATCCGGCAACGACGGGCTCATGTCAAGGCATGAAAACACTTACATATCAGACACCTCGGATCTCAGGGGAGTCGGTCATATGGGCCCCGAGTTGATCTCCAAGAAGTTCAAAGAGCGCGAGCTGAACAGCACCGAGCACCAGCGGCCCCAGAGGCCGGACATCATCGAGAGGGAAGTCACCAAGAGTCCGATGATTCGCGACGAGCACCCTCCGATGCCTCCGCCGACCCAGAGCTCTTTGCACTCCCACGAGCACAACCCGGAGCCGGACATGCCCGAGCACTACGACCTGGAGAACGCCAGCTCGATCGCTCCCAGCGACATTGACATTGTCTACCACTACAAGGGCTACAGAGACGGAATGCGCAAGTACAAGGCGACTCCTCCGCCCATTGGGAGCTACGGGAATCATCACAAGCACAGTGGGACTCCCCATCGACATGCTGGGGCTTTTCCTCCCCGAGCGATGCCTCCTCCGAGTGTCGGCCAGCCAACAACCACTCCGAAGCTCCTCCAGAGCACCCCCTTGGCCAGGCTGTCGCCCAGCAGCGAGTTGTCTGCCCAGCAGCCGAGAATCCTGACTCTCCATGACATCAGCGGGAAACCTCTTCAGTCAGCGCTCCTGGCTACGACATCTTCATCAGGAGGAGTCGGCAAAGACGCGCTCAACTCCAACAGCGAGCGGAGCTTGAACTCCCCGATAATGAGCCAGCTCTCCGGGTCAACGGCCAGCCGAAAGGTCCCCCAGTCTGCCAACGACACCAGCAACAACGTCCCAACCGGCCCGATGGGTCTCACCGCTGAAGAAATTGAAAGGCTCAACTCCAGGCCCAGGACTTCCAGCTTAGTGTCCACTTTGGACGCGGTGAGCTCCTCCAGCGAAGCCCGCGGACCTCCGCCTCCTCACGGGCCGCTGCATCTTCACCGAAGACACACACCACCCACGGAGAGACTCGAGAGGAGAAACTCTTCGACTACTGATGAAAGCGGCAACGACAGCTTCACTTGCTCCGAGATCGAGTACGACAACAATTCCCTGGTTGGTGATAAGCGCTCGGACAACTTGTACAGCAAGCCGGAGGACGAGGACCCGCCGACGAGGACTGACGGGTCACCACAATCGACCAAGCCGCCCTTGCCACCCAATGTCAGCTATGATGGGTTCGACAGCTCATTCAGGGGCTCCTTGAGCACCTTGGTCGCTTCGGATGATGATCTTTCCACTCACATGGGCAGCTTGTACAGGCCCACGAATAATGGATCGCCTTCGACGAACACTGCGCTCAGTTGGGACTACCTCCTTAACTGGGGACCCAATTTTGAGAGCCTGGTTGGGGTCTTCATTGACATTGCCGAGTTGCCCGACAGCAACAGAGTTCCCAACACCCTCAGACTGCCTGCTAGTATTCCCAAACCTTCTGAAGAGTATGTTTGATGTTTGGTGACGATACCTAGATAATTTATTGATATTATCTTGCCATTTTATTATTTTTTATCATCAGTTGATGGTAGATGATTGATTAGGCGTATTTATTGTATAAATTAATTAATAATTGTGGAGTTTTCTTTGTGCTGTAGGTACCTAAGAATTAGCTTTAAGGTCGACATCTTGTATCAGGGTGTCCTTATTCTAGTTTGTACAGTCCTAGCAAACTTATTTTCTTGAAAATTAATTAATTATTAATTATTGTCTCGGCTAGAGGCGAGTGCCATTAAAGCGTGCACAAATTATATTTCTTCTTAACTTTAATTTCTTTTTATTGCGCGTCCAGATAATTAGCAATTGTACATAGGTTTTTATTTTTAGCCATTGAAATTTATTATAATTAAATGTGAGACTGATTTCTTAAACTTTACTGGCCATCGAGGATTAAGAGTCTCGTTTTTTATATATTTTGTACATTGTCTTATTGCTAAATAATATACTATATTATTTTATTATTTTAAATTTAAGATGTAAATAGTCAATGATTGTTTATGTAAATGATAGAAAATGTATGAGTGATGTAAATCATTGAATTTGTAATAAAATTTACAGTTTAATTATAATCATTTGTAATCATCAGTTTATTTACCTATAAAATATCCAGTAATCCTATTAGATAATTTACATAAGAGTATTTTATATATTTATAGGAAAATTTTATTAATATTCATCTGCATTAGATTATTAATTAGATTAAGTTGTTTATATATAAATTGCATATTATTAAAGTACTAAGGTGTGTAATTTTATGAAAAATAAATTTTTTTTAAGGATATTTTATTTAATAGTACAAAAATTAATAATCATTTAAAAATATTAAAGTACCATTGGTTAAATAGATTTAAGCTTAAAAATTTAATAGATAGTTACAAAAAATGGCATTACATTGTCATGGAGATAAAACTCATTGTCAATGAAAAAAAAAAAAAAAAAAAAAAAAAAAAAAAAAAAAAAAAAAAAAAACTTTTTTGAAAATGAGTTTTATAGGAATACTTTAATCTTAAAATTTATTTTCAGTCTACAATTATCTTTGGGAGAGTATTCTGAAATAAGTATCGCTTGATTATAAAAATACAAAATTACAAAATTATTATGAAAATTAAATTAGCCGACATCTGATAATTTTTTATTGAAAATAATTAATAAAAAAAAAAAAATTGAAAGAAAAAATTGACATGTAGAAAATTTTATAAATTATAAGTGCAATTTTAAAAAAATATTTTTTTCTCAAAATTAAAAATTGTCAAATGTCTGCTAATTTTAATATCATAAATTATTATAAAAAGTACCTGCTAAATTAATTATTATTAAAATTCTTAAAACGTGATTTGATAAAAAAAATATTGTAAGTATAAAATTAATAAATTTTATTACCAATTATCTAAAAATTCAAACCCAGTCTTAGGAATTTCCTCCTCGGGATTGCTCTGTAAAAACTGGAAGCTGTTGTACGAGCTGGGAGTCTCGAGCAAAGCAGTAGATTCACTAGCATCAGACTTAGCTCTGTGATTCAAATTAATATTCATCTGGTTCTTGGTCCCAGCATTGCCATTGCTATTGCCATTCTTGCTACCAGAAATTTTGCTGATGACAATCTGCTTCTGGGGTACCAGACTCTCTAGGTCATCATCAGGCTGGTTCATCTTGAGTATAGAAGTTTTGTTCATTAGTTTTGTGAAAATATTACCCGTATTGTCAATACTAGGGCAGTTATTGATTCTAGTGGAGTCGACGTTGCTGTAAACGCTGTCGCTGAAGCTCTCTGACTGGTAAAGACTGACTTGGGTCGAGGTCGGGCTGTAGTCATTTGACGAGCTGTCAAAACTACTCTCGTTTATTTTTATCGGGCTCAAAAAATGAGGAGATTTATCCGCGTAATCACTGGGGAGTTTTGTTTTGATCTCTGACGGCAGCTCCAACAGGTGCAAGTTCATCTGGGACTGGGTCATGAACGAAAATGGCCCCGAGTGCTCGTCTCTCCACTTCAAGGTCTAAAAATCATCAAGAATTAATCAATAAATTCATTTATATTGATGAAGAATTAGATAAATTTAAAATGGTACTAAAATTAGTAGATGCTTTAAAATTTTTTTAACAAATAAATTATAGAAAATTATTTTTAAAAATTTGCATTAATATTTTTTTTTAATTTCTATGCTTAGAATTTTTTTTCTAAAATTATTTGTCATAATTTATGAAAATTAATTCAGCAGATATTTAATCATTTTTTGACAAATAAATTATGATAAAAAAAATTGATATTATCTGGGATGTGCTATCATTATATGAAGTTACTGCGAACTTTAATGTCATTCATAATTTATTTTTAAAAAAATTATAAAATATCTCTTAAATTATGACATTAAAGTTAGCTGTCACGACAAATTTTTAATTTTATTTAACAATTAAATTTATTCTAAAAAATTATTTTAAAAAAATTGCATTTTTATTTTTTTTAAATTTCTAAATGTCAATTTTTTTTATTTTTTTTTTTTTGCCATAGTTTGTTTGTTAAAAAAAGTTCTAAAAATTATTAAATATCTGCTAAATTAATTTTCATCTTAAATTTACTATCAAAAATTTAAATTGATACTTACTGATCCAGTCTCATCAATAACATACTTCATACCAGTCTGGATCCTCAATTTAGGATAACAATCAAAAATCTCTTTATTTTTATCAGTACCTAGTGTCGTATACTTGAGAGCGATTTCTGGCTGGATGATGGTCTCGTCGATGGCTTGATTTTTCTCCTTCAAGCTCAAAGTGTTCCACAGGCCTTCGTAGGCTTCTTTGGTAGCTCTGACATCATCTCCAATCCGCTTTGCCAGAGGATTCAAACTGTAAAAGTAGTCTTCTGCGATGGAACTCAAGCCCTTTGTGGACATTTTTCAGTTTAAAACATTTAATACTTGCTTTGGTAATTAAATTACATTTGTAAACACTAGTTCATGAGATCAATTGTGACAAAAAAGTTTGACAGGAGCTTATTTTTATCCGTTTGGTGTCAGTAAAGCAGATTTCAAATCTTTCCTATTTTTTTAGCTTTAGCAAACGCCCGGCAGGTGGCAGTAGTGCTTAAATTCTCGTCCTGACAAGTTGTATAAAATTAAAATATTTTCAATTAGTTTGTTATTTTTAGAAATTTCATAAATAAAAAATTTAATTTAATTATTAAAAAATTTTAATTATTTTCACTAAAAAAGTAATTATTAATTTCTGTCCAGACTGGTGAAATTTATCAGTCATGCCGATTGTGTTTTGACAGCTCTGAAATTCTTTAATTGAAATTGGTAAATAAATACTTTAATTAATAATTTTATAAATAATTATAAATTTACTAATTAACATTTTATTTTTTTACAGTTTCTTCAAAATTTTACGACTGCACTTGAGTTCAACGACCAATATAATACTTTAACCTCAAAAATTGACAGCTGATTGCTAGTTTATTATTTAGATAAATATTTTACAGTTGATAGGAGGAAAAATTAATCAGGATGTCTAGAAAAAAACACAACATTGCTTACATAAAACCAGAAGAACCTAAATTTATACGAGATTTAAAAGCTCAAATTGGATTTAAAGAAGGTCCTGATGTCAACACCAAGGTACATATTTAGTATCTTATAAAAATAACGAGAATATTTAAATGTTGAGCAACAATTACAACATTGATTTAGAAATAACTTTCTAAAAGTATGTCAAAAAACAATTGACAGTTTTTATGAGATTGTTTTTTAATTTTTTTAATTAAAAGTTGTTTACCAATAAAAAAAAAAAGCACTCCTATTGTTGAATGACAGCTATTTTAAGTGTCATAAAAATTTTTACAGCTTATTTTTTAATTGTATTTCTTCAATTGATAAAAATTTATTTTCAAAATTTTTAGAGACAAGAATTATCAGAAGGTGAAGAAGAAGATTTTGAAGACCGTGGCGAAGAGAAGCCACAAGTTGTCGTTTTGAGTAAGGAACACTTGACTGCAGAAGAAGCTGATGAATTTCAGAAGAAAAAAGATCTAGGTACTGTTATATAAATAACTGTATTTTTTTATAGTTAATTTTAATTAAAAATAATCTTAAAATTCCACAGAAGAAGCTAACGCGCCGGCAGATCTCTCCAAGAGGATAATTTTTAATCGAAAAGCCAAACCAGAGGCAGATGTACTAGACCAGCCACCTCCCAAGAAAAGTAAATCTAAAAAACCTAAGCTCGTATTATCCTTCGACGACGAAGACGAATAACGTAATCTTAATTACTAATTATAAATATAATAATTATAAATAAAATTGTACATAAAATTTTTTACTCTAAAATAGTTTATCGATTTTTATTTTTATTTCCTTTTAGGAGGGGATAAAATAGAACAAATTTCTATAAACAATTATTAAATATGATTGGTTCATGATAAATAATAATAATAATAATAATAATAATAATAATGGTAAAATAAAATTAATCACGTGATTTGTGGGACAATAAAAGTCTAGAATAGAATCCAGTCCCTTACTACTTTTTTTTTTCTTGTTTTTTTTATCAACATATATATGCTGTATAATTTTAATTATTATTATTATTATTATTATAAAAGTATAAAATGTATACGTCATAAAATGAAAGATCACGTGATATGAAAAAATATATATAATATGTAAAGCCGCCATCTTGGCAGTTTTTTCGACGATGGAGGTAAAGGAGGATGTGTGACGTCGTCGAGTCTCAAATAAACATAAAATATATATGTGATTATATTGTTAATAGTAACAATAATTATTTATAAAGAGTGTCAAAGTGTACTACTTAATAATATATTAAATTACAAGCTAGGTAATTGGTAATAATTAGTTAAATTTATTTTAAATAAGCGCGGCATGCTGTGTGCTGTATGCAAGCGTGGTGTATAATTGTGTTGGTGTTCACATCACAGTGATATTTTTATTCGTACCAGTATACATACTTGATACTATTTCATATAAATTATTTATTTATTATTATTATCTAACCAGTAATTTAATAAACTATTTATTTTTTAGGTTAAATCGGTGGTTAATATTTCTTAAGCGCAGCTGTTTGCCCGAAAAGCTTTTTGAGTCCTTGAACAAGCTTTTTAGGAAATGGCGGGATCTATTTCATTATTAATATATATATATTAAATATATATTTTCTTGAGATATACTTATTAAAGCACGATAGACACGTGCGTTTGATTGATTCATTTAAAAAGCTCTATTTTGTTGTTTATTCTCAAATTCATCCAGGATGTTAGAGTTTTATTAAACATAATGTCTCTTCTGCAATTGCAGCCTCAAATAACACAATATCAGGAGCGTATCTACGACTCTCTAATTACTCAATTAATTAATTAACCATTTTTATCATTAACTTGCTCTAAATTGTCGGTCGGTTGGAGAAATTTGTAAATAATCACTAAAAATTATTTTTTTTAGATTATGATAATTGAAAAATTAGCCGGAGAGATTGAATTGACAAAGGGGAGAAGAGCTATCAAATTATAGGGACGCTGTCGGGTCTGGGGTAGACAATGAAAGCAACCCTTGCGAATTATTTAGGGGTTCTAAATTCTCCTTTGTAGAATTTAATCACGGCCCTGGTGTAGATGGTTTCATTTTTAACGTTACTAACGTTCTCCCCGCCATCTGGTGTCTGAATTTAACTGATAAATATGGTTTTTTATCTATTAACAATTATTATTATTATTTTAATAATAATAATTATATTTGTAAAAGTCGAGAAACCTTTAACTTTGATCTCAGGATTTACATTGACTGTTCACTGGGCTCTTGTCACTTTCTGACTACTGATTACTTCTAAGATATCAAAAACTCAAAATTATCAATTTTTATTTCAAACTTATTTTATAAATTTTTAATTTTCCCGCCAAAAGTTATAATTTTTATTAAAATACTAAAATGACCCAAGCGCCATAAAATTTTTTTTTATAACATTTTGTTGAATTTAAGCTGACAATTATTAATTTTTGACTACTTGTTAAATAAAATTTATCAAAAAGTCGACAGTTTTTTTTTATATAACGCTTGGGTAGCAGAAATTTGACAATTTTTTATTTTTTTAATAAAAAAAAATTATTTTTTAAAAATTGCACTTGAAATTTTTCAAATTTTCTGTCAATTTTTTTTTTTCAATAAAAAAAATTTTCAAGTCACAGCTAATTTAATTTCTATATATTTTTATTTCAAAATTTTTTTTTGCTATTAAAGCAACGAAGCTGGTTAATTTATATCCTAGCTTCAAAATCCTCAGTAAGATTCCCAGCTCTAAGAGAAAGGTACCATTTCTTCTTGGATAGTAGGTCAGTTGGATAAGGTACAGATGTACAAAATAAAAATAATTTTCTTACTTTTTTTCCCTGAAAAAAAAAAAAAAAAAAAAAAAAAAAAATGAATTAAATCCTGACAAAAAAAAATAATTTCTTCTGTTTTTCAGACATTTTAGAAGTTGAAGTTGAAGCTGAAAATTAAATAGAAAAGTTCCGCGTGTTGCAGGTGACTGACTGACTGACTGAGCCACGGCCATGCGACGCTACGTTACCTCGTCCCTGTTAGTCTCTTCCCCTCGACTCCGGGCTCTCCGGCTCTCCTGGTCTCTCTCTCCCACTCTCTGAACATCTCGAGTTCAACATCTAACTCGTGTATTAGCACACACGCAGGAGAGTCACCTCTCGGCGTCTCCTGACTGACTACATATATTACGAGCACACAAAACTTCGGTTTAGTTTTTTTATTATTAATTATAGATAATATTTTTTTGGACTTCCTGGATTATTATTATTATTATATATCCCTCGAGTGAATTTAATAGACGTGTCTCTGTGTTTCCTATATTTTTTCATCTGAATTAATCTTACCTCCATACCTAACAACAATATCCACAACAACAATAATAATAATAATAATAATAATTAACTATCAATTATTATTATTATTATTATTAAAAATTAATAATTACTGTTTGTTAATTTTAAAAGTGTTGATTTTGAAGTAGTAATAATATTAAATCTAGAATAACATAAAACCACAACCCCGCCATCGGGGTTACAGTGCCAGTTAATTTTTATTGGTTATGGGACGTTGAGGGAGCTCTACTCCGGAGTGCGGAATTCGTTGTGCGCCATTTTGAAAAATTTCCTTTTACTATTATTTCCGTACGTGATTAAGGTTTTATTATTTTTTATTTATTTATTTATTATTGCTGATGTTGCTCCAATATTGTAAATAAATAAAATCAGTGTCTCCCGAATTAAAATAAAAACAATCATAGAGGTTTGTGTGTGTGATTGACAGTGGAGTGACAGTTTTTTAAAAATAATTAATATTGATGATAATTGATTAAAACTAATAGTACTAAATAAATTTTAGGATACAACAGAGTGGTTCCATGGAAGGTACACTGGAAGAACCAGTGGTCAAAGACCCGTCTTGTGACAGTGATGTAGCCAAAGGTACTGTTTAATTTTATTATTATTATTATTATTATTATTATTATTATTATTATTTGTCTGTCTATAATTTACCCCATCAGGGTACGTAGCAGATGTTGATAATGATATAAAGGTCATGCTGGATCAATAATTAATAGAATAAAAATATTATTTTGACTTTTCTTCACAATATTTATTTGTTTATTTTTATTATTTTAGATCAAATTATTCCAAACGGTATCAATGGAAACTATGATGACAATGAGAAGCATGACGATATTGATGACATGACATCAAACAAAATGGATGCTGACGCAGATAATAACGATGACGACGCCGGTGGTGGTGGAGGTGAAGTAATAGAAGATGAAGAAGAAGAAGATGATCCAGATAATGATGACTATCATGGCAACAAAGATAGTGAATTGGTGGGTGAGCATGAGGTTGAACATGACGTTGGAGAAGAAAATCTCGAGGAAGAAAACCCCGAAGAAAATCAGGATGGAGAGGAGGAAGAAGAAGATGAGGGTGATGATAAAAAGTGTGATGAAGAAGAGGTAATTGAGGGAGAGCTTGAGGAAAACAAAGAGTACGAAACTATGGACGTCGACAATCAGGATAACTCAGATGTCGAGTGTCTTGATGAAGACAACGCTCCAGAAAATCTCATGGAGGTGGATGTTGATCATGAAATGAATGATGGTGGTGGTGATGATGATGATGATGATGATGATGATGATGATGATGTCGAGGGTGACAAACAGGAAGACGATAACCAGGACGAGCATGTGCAAGACAGCGACGGTATTCAGGAAATTGATAATGTCCAGATTATTGACGACGAACAGAATGAGGAAGACGATGACGTGAGAGCTGTTTCTGAGAGCAGCGATGTTCAGCAACTTAATGACAGTATTGTTTCTGTTTCAAGCACTGGATCAGATTTGAAAATTTGTGAGGAGAACGGCAGCATTGGAAGTCCGGACATCGAGGAGATAACAGACCCCAAAAGCAACGGCCCCAACAAGAACAATTTAGAGCGCACCCCGGTAAAAGAGTCGAAGTCGAAAAAGGCGCGCAAACAAATAGACTTGAGCAACATAACTCCTCGGCGCAGTTCTCGCAATATTAAGCGCACGAGTTATATCGAAAAGGAGCCCGAGGAGGAGGTCGAGGTCGACAACTCCTCGGACATCGAGGAAATAAAGCCAGAGGATCCTCTCGCGTGTATCGATAGTAGTGTTAGTATTAGTTTGACTAGTAGTAGTAGTAGTAGTAGTAATAATCATAATAATAAAGATAAAGAAAATTCAAAATTAAAGTCGCCTATTAAATCAAGCAAGACGACGATCGTTGTCAACGACACTAAACGTCTTGTTGAAATAGCCGCCAGCAGCAACAAATCTTCTAAAGGAGGCGGCAAAAAAGAGCCGACTTTGGTTATTATTGACACTAACTCTATTCTCTCCGGACGTGGAGGAATTCCTATTGGTAGCAGCCACAGTTCCAGCAGCTCCAGTAAATCTTCTCACCACCATTCGCTAAACACTTCTGGATTCTCAGTACTGCCAGTTAATTTGAGCACCACCCAGACAATGTACCCAAATATGCGGACGACAATAACTCCAGTGCCGATGACCTCCAAAACAACTGGACACCCGAGAATACCCAGCAGTATAACAGCTGTTCCTACGACAGTCACCTCTGTGTCGAGTTCCCCGTCGGCCTCGGCCTCTCAAATCCTCCCGACATTGACCGATGACATGTTTGTCGTAGAAGCACCGTCCTTTATCGTCCCCTATGTATACGAGAAGCCCCCGATAAAGCCGCTCAAGGAGTTTGTCACCAAGCTGGAAAAGTGCATCGAGGAGGTAGATCGCGAGGAGAAGGCAGCAAAAGCCGCGAAAAAAGAAGCCAAGAAAGCTGAAGGAAATCGCGACTCTTCATCAGAGTCCGGCAAGTACGACAGCGACGACGGGGGCAGTGTCAAGAGCGTGTCCAGCAGGAAAGAAGGCGGCAGCAATGCCAACGATTCGATTGAGTGTTTGGGCGAGACTAAACCATTTGAGGATAAAAATAAAATGCTGACTTACTTTGATTTGCCTCTGGGTAAATTTTTCATGCAAATTGGGGTCAATCTTGTCCAAGAGTTTGTCCAGACGGATTTGCTGCGCTCGCAAAAGCGTAGGCAGGGCAAGACCAACCCTTCTGCGGAGACCCAGATGGCAATTAATTCGCTGATTAAGAATCTAGAGTTTAGTAAAGAAAACAATGAACCATTCCACTTAGATATGAAAAAGTGCGAGTTTTGTAATTTTAAAACAGAGTCTGCTTTGGTCATGCAGCACCACTTGGAGACACCTCACATGCGAAACTACGTGTATAAATGTAATTTCTGTCCTTTGGAGGTGCGCAGCCCCCATGACATTCTCTACCACATGGAAGCCGAGCACAACACGCGTGGAAGACTCGAGCGCGGCCCGGCATTCCACCAGTGCCCCAATTGCCCCTTCGAGGACAACCAAAAGGGCAAACTGACGCGGCATATTCTTGCATGTGCCAAGAAGTTCAGGCCAGAACGTAACCTCGAGCCCTCTACTGACTGGGAACCCCCGGCGAAGATACCCAGACTGAACCGCTCGAGACAAATCAATCCTATGAACACCAACGCAGCTCTGGCGTTGGCTATGAGTGCTAAAGGACAGCAGCCCTTGTTACCCAAGTTGTTACCCGCTCCGGTGTCCGGCCGTGGCCGAGGACGACCACCCATGCAGCCTAGATACTCTGATATCAAGTCGCTGAGACCCGGTGGTACGCCCGGGCGACAAGGTTTGTTTATTTATTTATTTGTTTTTATTATTTACTTTTAATTAATTGATTTATTTTTTGGTATTTACAGATAATGTCACTGGAATGATGTACCGGCCGACGTCATCTGGGCTCTTAGTACCTACTTCTTATCAATTTGGTGGCAATCAAGTATTCCAGGTAAATATATATATATATATATATATATTTTTTTGTTAAATTTTAAGATTGCGAAATAAAGTTTTAAATGTTTAATAAATTTTTTTCGGTATAGATATTTCGCAATGTAAATTAAATTTTAAAGACTGATTAAATTATTGTGCAATCTGACCCAGTTGTTTAATAAATAAAGAATAAAATAATAGTTAGCAATAAAATTGTATTTTTAATTCCAGAACTCGTCAACGTGTGTTAAAAATCCAGCGGCTAAGTTGTTGAGTCAGCCGAGTATATCGATAACACCGTTGCCTCGCACTACTCAAGCACCTATTTCAAGCTCTGGATCACCGTCTAAAGCTGGAAAAACTAGTTTTGTCATTTGCGAAATTTGCGACGGTTATATCAAGGTATTTTTTTAAATTCTATTTCTATTAAACATGTGATATAAAATAACATTAAAATTAAGTCTAAAAAATTGCATTTATAATTTTTTAGATAAAATTTAAAAAATAAATTTTTTCTTGCTATAATTTATTTGTTAAAAAATTATTAGATGTCTCAAAATTTCAATATCATGATATACAAATTACTTATTTAAAAAAAAAAATTTTTTTCAGGACTTGGAACAACTGCGTAATCACATGCAATGGATTCATAAAGTTAAAATACATCCAAAGATGATTTATAATCGGCCACCATTGAACTGCCAAAAATGTCAATTTAGATTCTTTACAGATCAAGTAAGTTGAAAATTTTTTTAAATAAATTAAAAAAATTTGATTAATTAATTTTTTAATTTAAATAGGGATTAGAGAGACATTTACTTGGATCTCACGGACTTGTTACATCAAGTATGCAAGAAGCTGCTAATAAAGGAAAAGATGCCGGACGTTGTCCAGCTTGTGGCAGAGTAAATATAAATAAAAATAAATTTTTATTAATAATTTTTAAATTTATTGTAAATTTTAAACAATTATTTTTTTTTTTTTTTTTTTTTTTTTTTTTTTTTTTTCAGGTTTATCAGTGGAAATTACTAAACCACGTAGCACGAGATCACGGAATGACGTTGAAGCCCGCACACTTATCGTACAAATGTACAGTTTGCACTGCGACATTTGGAATGTACAAGCAATTTGAAAACCACGTGTACTCAGCACATAGTGTTGTTGCGAAGCGGGTTATGGACAAGAAAAACGCCCCGTCAACGCCGTCATCTAGATCCAATGACTCGTTGCTTAAGCCATTGAAAATAAACGACGAAATAACAATAATACCACAGCCAGCAAAGTCCACAAGATCGAGTAGTTCTTCACAGGGACGAAGCAAATAACAATAGTCAACCAAGTGATATGTGTACTTTGATTTTTATCTTTTTTTCTTTACTTTCGAGATATATTTCGCGTAAGTTTTTAATGATACTCTCATTACTTTATATAAATAAATTTATATATAGAAATAATAATTGAATGCAAATAATAATAATATTAATACATACAGAGCTGAGGAATAAATAAAGAAACCAAGACCGAACAAGATGTCGATTTATAATTTAATAATGCACTTGCATTGAACAACTTTTTAATTAATTTTACAAGAGAGTTTGACAATTTTCCAAAAAAATTTTTTAATTATAAATTTCTTATTAATTCATCAAACATACATTAGTTGACTAATTATTCCATCGATTATACTGATCTATTTATTTAAGAATTTTTATTATTGTTATCGGACATGCATAAAATAATATTAGTAACTATGATTATAATAATGATAATAATATTAAATAAAAATAATAATTCATAAACAATAAATAATAATAGACTGTAAAAAAAAAATAAACATTACATGGGTGGCCTTCAGTAATAACTCCTTGGTTAATCCTGAAGTCGCGTATTTCCCAAATCGCCTACGAGTGTAGTTTAAAATCAGAACAGAATAAAAAAATAAATAAAAAATAACAAAAAAAAAATATACAATTATATTATTAAATTATAACGATTAGATTTCGATAACAATCACACACACACACACAGTATATTTGTGTTATATGTCGTGTATATTTACGCTGAAAATTTAATTATAGTATAGTTCTTTATATATATAAATAAATTTATATATATATATTCTATATAATAAATATATAAATATATTTTATGAGAAAGAGATTGACGTATGCGTTTGTGCTTCTACCCGGGATCTCTTCAAATTATTAACGAAATTATTTTAATCAGTAAAATTGTTGATTTTTTTTAAGAAGAGACAATTAGGGTGTTTTTTTTTTAAATAAAATTACAATATTTAAATTTTTTTTTTTTAATTAAAATCAAGCTGTTAAAAACGGCGAACAAACATGAATTATTTTAAGCGTGTGTTAAGTAATTTATACATGGTGTAAACGGTCGTCTTATTAATTGTCATTATCATCACCATTTATCATGAATTCATCCTCGTCATAATAATTATTATTATCATTGTCATAATTTATCGATCGTCTTCATTTAAAGGGTAATTGGATAAAATTTAAAAAAAATTGACAAAATATAATAAAACAAAAAAAAAAAGAAACTGTACATTGTATCTATCTATAAGTTGGACGAATATTATAAAAATAATAATCGAGTCCACGATGCATTGTAATAAACAATTATTTTAGCTCAGTATATTTTTATTTAAAACAAAGCTAATGTACATTAACATATAGAATTATACTATACGAAATAGTAAATATTATAGGTCGTCGCGTCACCAAATTCGCAGTGTATGAAGCACTTAAAATTTATAAAGAAATAAATAAACACTAAAAATTGCTTTAGTTTTTCATTTATAATAATAATAAAATTTGGTACTTTATTTTTTTTGTATAAACTCAGTAATAGGCTTACATGTAATCATTATTGTAGATAGTCATTAAAGTGAGTGAGGTTTTAAACGTTAAGTTTAAAAAAAAAAATTAATCACAAAAAAATTAACGATTTTGCTTTTTTTTTTTTTCGTTAATAATTTTTGTACATTTAATAGTATAAAAAATGAAAAACAATACAAGTAATTTTAGAAAGTTGAATATATTCGAATGCGGTTATTAATAAATAATTGATAACAGTGCGTTTGTTTTTTAAATGCACTTATTGCTTATTAATTTTAATATTTTATAATTATATTATTTTTAATTATATTATACAGTAAAATTAAATATTAAATATAAATAAATGATAAATTTTATTACAGGTTTGAGGCATCAGTTCGTCTGTAATAATTTGTACAATATAATTAAATTTAATAATTATTATTAATTAATATAATTATAAATCAAGTGAATTAGTTATTAAACAAATAAATATCTTGTGTAATTAAACAAAACTTTTCATTATAAATTTTAAATACTAAAATAATACTTATAAAATTAATTTTTTCGAATTCTCAGTATTCGAAATGAAAATCGAAATATGACTGATCAAAAGTATTTATGCGAACGTAACCATCTTCCCCGCCGCTGGAGAAGCTTCGTCCATTGGGATGAAAAGCCAGGGAATTAATGGGCCCGAAATGTCCTTTGAGACGCGCAAATTCTTCTTCAAAAACGAGGTGGTAAAACCGGGCGTCGAATTTCCCTTGACGGGTCGACGTTGTCGTGACGTCCATAGCATCCTGGCCACCTCCGAGGACAACGTGGTCGTAAATTGGGGAAATGGTTGCTGAATTAACGGGTCTCTCGGTTTTGTATGTCTTGAGGTGCATTAGAGACTCGCTGTCAAAAAGTTTTGCGGTGTGATCTTTGCTGGCGGTGATAAACATCGTTCCATCTTTATTTACCTGCATGATAAAAATTAATTATTAGATATTTGATTATTTTTTTAACAAATAAATTATTTGGTTATAATTAATCGTAAAAATATTATTAAAAATTAAATAAATAATTTATGGAATAAAGATAAGAAAAAAAAAATTGACGTAGAAATTTTAAATGATTATTGGATAATTTTTTTAACAAATAAATTATGGCAAAAAAACTAACATGTAAAAATTTTTAAAAATTAAAAATACAATTTTTTGAAAATAATTTTTTTGTTAAATAAAATAAAATTGTTAAGTGACTGCTAACTTTAATTCCATAAAATTAATTTAGCAGATATTGAAGAATTTTTTTTAACAAATAAATTATTTAAAAAAAAAATTGACATGAAGTAATTTAAAAAAATTGAAGATCCAATTATTTAAAAATAATTTTATTCAAAAAATTTTTTTGTTAAATAAAATTGACTGATAACATTACTTTCATACCTGCATATCGTTAATTTGGCTTTTGTGCCCCTTTTGGCTGTTCAATTTCTTCCCAGTCTAATCAATTAACGTTATTAATCAATTAATCGAACTTAATTGTTATTTAATTGATAGATTAATTAAGTTAACTTCGTACCCTGACGTCCCAAATATTAATTTCTCCGTCTTCATGGCCAGTGATAATTGATTCATCTAATGCGCCCCACACAATAGCTGAAATTCTTGGTCCGTTTATTGGAATACGGATAATAGCGTCGTCTAGAGATAAAGTTGGCTCAACGGTCCGGGTATCAATTATGAACATCTCGCATTGATGACCCAGAGCTTTGTCAGTAGAAAATACGGCTGTGTTTGCTGAGAAACTAAAGGCACATGTTCGGACTGAACTGTTTGTGTCCAATTGTCCTATTTCTTTGCCTGAAATAATGAAAATTAATTTAGCAGGTATTTAATAATTTTTGTAACAAATAAATTACGGTAAAAAGTAAGTAAAAAATATTGACATTTAAAAAATTTGTTAAATAAAATTAAAAATGATCAAGTGACTGCTAACTTTAATGTCATCCTATAATTCTTGATGATAATAATTGTAAATAGTTTACCTGTTTGACAGTCCCAAATTCTCAATGAATTATCTCCGGAACCAGAAATAAAACGCGAAGTGTCCCAGTTGACGTCAATACACCAAATAGATCCATTGTGCCCGTTGAAAGTGCCAAGTCTCTCTCCATTTAATGAATACCAAACATTCGGTTTTTTATCTTTAGAAGCGCTAAAAATTAAATCACCTTCCCGATTGTACTTAATCATTGTAATTGCACGCTCGTGCCCATGCAACATTAATGGTTTCTATAAAAAAAATTATTATTTAATGTAGAACTAGAATCTAGTATCATATTTAAATATTATACTGAAGTTAGCTGACAACTGTCAATTTTTATTAAAAATTAATTTTAATTAAAAAAAAATGCTTCTAAAAATTTTTACTGATAATTTTTTTTAATTTTTATGTGGAATTTTTTTATTGAATTTTTTTCATTATAATTTGATGAAAATGAAGTTAGCCGACATTTCAAAATTTTTTATTTAAAAAATTTCAATTAGACAATTAAGAAAAAAATTTTCACATGTAAAAAACTTGAAAAACTATAAGTGCAATTTTTTATAAATACCTTTTTAGTTGTAATTTAATTAATAAAAAAAATCAAACATTTTTAGACATCCGCTAACTTCAGTGTCATTATAATTTGTCATTATTTAAACCTGACAATTTTTTGGTTTTATAAAATTAGTATTAAAAAATAATTTTTGAATACTAATTGAATAATTTTTGAATTTTTAAATTAAACTCCAAAAATTGAATATTACTAAAGTTAGCCGACGTTTTTAGTTTTATGATTTTTTTTTTCATTCATTAAATTATAACTAAAAAACATTTTTAAAAAAATTCACTTATAGTTTTTCAAATTTTTTTAAAATGAAATTATTTTAAAAATTTTTTGTAATCATTTTTTGGGTTGCGGTCAACCAGTCAGATCGACAACATTCCGAATTATTAAAACTCTAGAAAATTTAAAATTCCGCTGCATTCAAAGTTTATAAAATACATTAGCTTAAATAGAATACCAGCCGAAAAACAATTTTGTAAATTATAAAACACCGAATTATCGAATATAAGTAAATATAAGTCTTATATTCCTCAAGAATTAAAATTAATTTGATTTCGAGACAGGTTCGTTCCGAGGTATATTCATCCGAATACTCATCTATATATACGAATAATGATTTGGCCGAAAATTACTAATTACTCATCCAAGAAATTGTAAATTTTTCGTAGATGGTCCACCTTTACACGCATGAAATTTTTGAGTGTTTTATATGCATGCTTGTAAATTAAAATAAATTCATTTTAAAAAATTAATTAATTTAAAAAAATTTTTAATCTGAATATAAAATTATATACATTTTTCGGCTAAATGAGTGTTGGTCTGTTCATTCATTTTGACGTACAAATTTTCGTTGTTATGTTTTTTAACTTATTGAGACTTTGTGAGTTTGAAAGATTCTATTAATATAGCTTTAGTATTTTCTTTATTTAAGACTATATTTTTCGGAATTTTAAAATTTGTAAAATTAATTATTTTAAATTACATTTAATATTTACTTTCTAAGTTCTAGTAATTTATTAATTCGGAATGTTGTCAGTCTAACTAGTTGACTGCAACCCCATTTTTTCAATAAAAAAAAAATTCTAAAAATTTTTAGATGGCTAACTTAATTTTCATAAAAATTGATGACATGAAAGCTGACAGACATTAGAAATTTTTTAATAATTTTATGGGAATTAAATTATTATAAAAAAAAAAAAATTCCACAGGAGAAAATTAATAAAAATTTTTAAAAGCATTTTTTTATTGTAATTGATTTGTAATAAAAATTTTAAAAAGTGACAGCTAACTTCAGTATCATAAAAATTGTCAGTATTATTCAAACTGTCGTATAATAAAAATAATAACTTGCCATTTTGAATTGTTGATCAATTAACTTTGTTGGTAAATATACTTTAGTTTACAAGCATGAAAGACGCCGGATAAAAAAGGTTAGATTATATATCTTCAGCTAGCTATTAAAATCGATTACAATTTAAAGTAGTCCGCGAAGTGTCGCCATCTAAGTGATTTGCAAATCTAATTTCCAACAATCAGCCCAAGAGTGTCATTGCTTTTTTTCTATTCGCGAAAAAAATTATATAAATAATAACACAATTATTTTATTAAATTTATAAATTTATTCAGTACAAATGATTTAAACAAAAAATTAATGAATTAATAAATTTAATGCAATTATTGATATCAATAAATGTAAATAAAATGATTACATATGTAAGATAAGGATGAGGTTAAAAATTTTCGAGCTTGATCTTTGATCTTAAAAGTTAATTAGAATGGAATGTTAAATGGCCAGTGGGGACTCTTGTCACAGCTGAAACAAACAAATCAATTTATTTATTAATTACTTAATTATTAATTTATTATTTTTATTCCCATAACAGATGTAGAGTCAATAAAAGATAACTTACTCAGACATTGGACAAATTCTTCCATTGCAGTCGAAGGTGTTGATGTAAGCGATGTCTTCAGGGGTTAATTTAAAGTCGAACACTTGAGCGTTCTCCATGATACGTGCTTTAGTAACCGACTTAGGAATCACGACATGTCCTCTATCAAGCTGATAAAAAATAATGATTATTTATTATAATTGTAAGACAATTCATGATACTCAGGTTTATTAAAACAATACAGTGATAAAAAAAAAATTTTAGAAATTTTTTTTGTAATTGATTTTTTATAAAAATTAAAAAGTGACAGCTAACTTCATTATCTTGCAAATTTATTTAAAATAAAAATTAATTTAGCAGATATTTGATCATTTTAATAATTTTTTAACAAATTAATCATAGCAAAAAATGAAAAAAAAAAAAAAAAAAAAAATTGACGTAGAAATTTTAAAAAATTAAAAATGAAATTTTTCAAAAATAATTTTTTGTTAAAAAAAATTAAAAAATTATTAAGTGATAGCTAACTTTAATATCGTTTAAAGGATTAAGTTATAGCGATTAATTATAAATAGCTTAAACTTGAGCGAGTGGAAAATTACTGACATTGAAATTGTTTTTAAATAACACTCTAGATAAACTATTACATAGCAAATATCAAATATTACAATTTATAATGAATAATAATTATTATGAGTCATAATCAAGAGTACCTGATAACGAATAACCACTTGAGCGGGTGTCTTGTTGTATTTTTTGCTTATTTCAATTAATTTTTTGTCTTCAAGTAGAATAGGATCTCCAGGTTTGGCCCAGGGTCTGTCAGGAGAACCCAAAGGACTGTAGGCAGTAATAACGATGCCTCTGTCTTTGCAGAATTTCGTCAGCTGTTGCTGACACAAGTACGGATGGCATTCAATCTGAGTAATAGATCATAAAAAAATAAATTAACAAATCATTCGGATTTTTTTATAGAAAAAATAAAAATACCTGATTGGTCACAGGCTTGATTTTGCAGCTCTTCAAGACGCGTTCGATTTGCTCGGAGTTGAAGTTGCTCAGCCCGATGTTCTTGGTCAAACCTTTCTCGCAGACTCCTTCCATACCCTTCCAAGTGTCCACGTAGTCGGTGTCGCTGAGCTTGGGCTTGCCATCGGGCCCGGTGGGGAACAGGACGTCGCCGTCCTCGTAGGCCATGGGCCAGTGGATCAAGTAGAGGTCCAGGTAATCCAGCCCTAGGTCCGAGAGGGTTTTTTTGATGGCTTTCTCGACGCTCTCTGGCTTGTGGAAGGAGTTCCAGAGCTTCGAGGTGATGAACAAATCCTCACGTTTCACGAGACCTTCTCCGATCTTGGCTTTCAGAGCTGCGCCGACTTCTTTCTCGTTTCCGTAAACAAGAGCGCAGTCGATGTGGCGGTACCCGATTTCTATGGCGTACTTCACTGCTTCTGTTACTTCGCCAGGTTTTGACTGAAATTTAAATTTTTTATTAATAATTTTTTATATTAAATTTATTAATACAGATTTTTGGTATAAATTTTTATGAAAATTAATTTAGCGTATATTTAATAATTTTAAAAATTAGAAAAAAAAATTGACATTTTTTGGAGCAAATTTTTTTGATAAATAAAATTAACAAATTGTTAAGTGACTGCTAACTTTAACGTCATTAAATTTTTGATATTTAAAAAAAAAAACTAGAAAAAAATTACAAATAAAGTAAAAGGTAAATTTTTTTATAAAATTTAAATTATTCGACATCTTTGAAATTTTTTTATTATTATAACAAATAATTTTCTTTATTATAATTATACTGAAGTTAGCCGTCAGCTGTCAAATTTTTTAAATTTTTATAACAAAAATCAATTACAATAAAAAAAATTCTTCTAAAAATTTTTTTTTATTTTTATAAGTAGAATTTTTTAATTAAATTTTTTTCATAATAATTTAATTTCCATAAAATTATAAAAAAAAACTTATTAGTTAACTTCAGTGTCTGTTAATTATGAAAAATATTTCAAAAAAAATTTCTACAAGTAGAAATAAAAAAAAAATTCTTAAAAATACTTTTTTTATAATTGATTCGTTATAAAAAAATTTTTATAAAAGTAGAAAATAATAAAATACCTTCCATGTTCCCAAACCAAAACTAGGAATCTCATTCCCGTTGTTAAATTTGATTTTAGGGACGCTGAGAGCCATCGTGTGTATCTTGCAAAGAACCGAACAAAACTAAATAAAGTTCACGAGAGCGTACAGAGTTGGAGTAAGTATCCAGATATACTGACGAGTGTATTTAAGTAAGAGTTAGCTGTCGGTAGTTAGAAGCGGGTAGTGACCAGTTTCGTCGACGACTCGTTGACAAATAAAGCCGGGACTTGTCTGCTTGCTTGTATTACCTTCTTCTATTGCTCTTGTTTGTGTTGGTGCATCCGCGAGTACGTCAACTAACACTAGCTCGGCCTCTACACAATCGTTTATTACGCCTGTCTAGGATAATATATATAATTCTATCTACTGGTATATATAATGGGGGATTTAGATGCGAATAGTGGACCTGATACACGATGGATTTTACAAACTATTGGTTTTTAAAAACAAATTATTTATAAATAAAAGAGTGTCAAAACAAATGAGTCATGTTATTGATTTTCGTGTGTTTTAATTTATTTACTGAAATAAATTTATTTTTTATTCTTTACTATGACATTTAAGTTAGCAGTCTTGACAATTTTTGTATTTTTTTTTCAACAAAATACATTTTTTTTGAAAAATGATTTTTAAGAAAATTTTTAATTTCTAAATCTCAATTTTTTTTTTTCCCATTTTTTTGCCGTAATTTATTTGTTAAAAAAATTATTAAAATTATCAAACTGTCACTGAATTGATTTTTATTTATTTATTTACTTGGAATAATTATTAATATTAATTTTGCAGATATTTAATAATTTTTTAAGTACATAAGTAAATTAGAAAAAAAAATTGACATGTACATATTTCAAAAAATTAATTTAAAGATGCATTTTTTTTAAATAATTTTTTTAGCAAATTTGTTTCTTGAATAAAATTAAAAAATGGTCAAGACTGCTAACTTTAATGTCATAGAATATTACAATTATCATTATAAATAAATAATCTGATTTTTTAAATTGTTGATAATATTTTATGGAATATAATTCGAATGAGAAATTATTTTTAAAAGGGAAGTACATAAGAATATTGACAAATTTAAATACATAAAAAAAAAAGCATAAGGGGTTTTTTATTCGAAAGTACTTTGCAGAGAATACGGGGAAGAATAATCATAAATCTCAATGTCAATCATGATTAATAATCTCAGAACGGAATATTAAATGGATAATTTGGGCATGCAGCTCGGCTGAAAAACAAAACAAAAATAAAAAGCTTAATAAAATATTCCTCGGGGGTCTGTCCTGGAATTTAAACTAATTAATATTATTGTTGTACTTACTCTTTTATAGCAACGAATCTTCCTGCTACATCCATCCCGTTTATGTACGCGATATCCTCCTCGTTTAATTTGAAATCAAAGACTCTGAAATTTTCCGTTAGACGGCTTTTTGTTGACGTTTTCGGGATAACGGCATGCCCACGGTCAATCTGGAATTTTATATTTTATTTTAATTAGAGATTTTTTGGATCAATAAAAATCATGAGTAAAAAAAATTGTTATAAACTGCACTTAGAATTTTTCAAATTTTTATGTTTTTGAGTTTTTTTTTTTTTTAAATTTTCTTCAATAAAAATTTTTAGATTTCAGCTAATTTAATTTTCATAGAGATTATTTCAACTATTCAATTTTCTGCATAAAAATTCTTTAAATTTCTATATCTAATAATCATAGTCATGACCTCTGTGCAATACCTTGTTATTAATTAAACTCTAGAAATTTTTCTTAAACATTCTTAGAGTATTCTAGAATTTTTTCTTTCATTAAATAAAATTTTATTCTAACTATTTCATATTTCTTCTTTTATTTATTTTAAAATATTTTTTTTAGAGTAGAACATTAGTATTAGCTTAGACAAATATTTTGTGTTGACAGATACATATGTGTACATACAAACACATACATACAAATATGAACATAAAGATAAAAGGGACCAATTGAGGGGCAGACTAAACAGCGGTAGGGACAGAATTGAATGAATGGAAATTTCCACTAGCGTTAAATAGAAAATACTAGAAACTGCAAAGAAAGTTTTACTAAAAAATTATATAAAATAAATTAAACTATTTTTAAATTTATAATTTAAAAATTAATTTTATTATTAAAGAAGAAAAAATTTAATTTAATAACAAAAGAAAAAATTTAATTATTGTAGCAATAAATAATTATTGTTAATGAGACGAAATTTAGAAATAAGTATTACATAAACTAATGATAATAAAATAAAAATAAACGGAATGTAAAACTGATAAATTCCGGATTTAATTTATGTACTTTGTATCGAATTTAATCGGAAACAATATTAAGAGCGTAGGGAATGACCGCTAAAGGCGTTTCCCATCCTAAATCAACGTTCAAGGGTACTATTGCTGTGAATGAACGTTTAAATTATTGAATGAATAATCTCGTTGTTGTCTTTAATTTACTTATCAATAAACAAATATTATTGAGCTTCCAAATGGAAAATTTTGAAGATTCTAAAAACAACATATTTTTATTAGATAAAAATAAATAATTTTATTACATGATTGATTGTGTAACTAAATGACTAGAATTAATCAATGATTATATTTATGTAATAGTGACGTAATATTTTATAATTAAAATAAACGTTAATACTTGATAACGGATGACGATTTGCGCAGTTGTTTTGTTGTACTTCTTAGCCATTTCTATTAGCTGAGGGTTATCCAGCAGGATTGGTTCCTCTGGCTTGGCCCAAGGACGGTCACGAGATCCCAGAGGAGCATAGGCTGTAATGACAATGTCGCGTTCTTTGCAAAATGCTGACAATTTTTGTTGAGTCAAGTACGGATGGCATTCGATCTAAAAATTATTATTATTACCCAACAATTTTTTTAATAAATAAATTAAGTAAAAATAAACAGACTTGATTGGTGACAGGCTTGATTTTGCAGTTGGCCAACAAACGAGTGATTTGCTCGGAATTGAAATTGCTGATTCCGATATTTTTAGCCAGTCCTTTTTCAAAAACGCCTTCCATTCCCTTCCAGGTGTCGAGGTAGTCGGTGTCTGTAGCTGCTGGAGTGCCATCAGGATTAACTGGGAACAACTCATCGGTCTCCTTATAAGCGATGGGCCAGTGGACCAAGTAGAGATCCAAGTAATCGAGACCAAAATCAGTTAAACTTTTTCTGATTCCTTTTTCTACTGACTCAGTTTTGTGGTAAGTGTTCCACAGCTTTGATGTTATGAACAAATCCTCGCGTTTGACAACTCCTTCGTCTATCTTAGCTCGTATGGCATCACCGATTTCTTTTTCATTTCCGTAAACCAGAGCACAGTCAAAATGACGGTACCCGACATTGATTGCTTCTTTTACTACCTCTGTTACTACTCCGGTAGCTGCCTGAAATTTATTTGTTTATGATATTAAAGTTAGCAGTCACTTGATTATTGTTTAATTTTATTTAACAAAAAAATTTGTTCTAAAAAATTATTTTTAAAAAATTGAATTATTTATTTCTACATTTCAATTTTTTTTTTAAATATTAAATATCTACCAAGTTCATTTTCATTATTTATTTATAATTAGTAGGTACAATGCGTTTCATTGATTATCTTTACGGTCGGAAATTTTACAGAAAATGGAAACATCAAATTTTGGAAATCTGTGAGTATGGAAATCAATAAATGAAAAAAATATGGAAAAATAAGATTTCAGAAATAATAAAAAAATGATGTGTCTTATTGAGGATACTTTGCAATATCGATTAGTTAAAAAATAGCAATGAAAAAATGTAGTAATCAAAATAATTAGAATTATTTTAAAAAAAGATAAGCGTAAAATTATAAAATCAAAAAAAAAGATTTCCGTGAAATTAGACGCATCAAAATATAAATATCTAAAATGACTGATATTTAAAAAAAAAGAAAAGAATAAATTCAGACAAGTCGAAAAAAAGACAATTATAAATTTAGGGCCAGTTTTTCAATCCGAGATAAAATTTTATCCGAAAATAAAGTACTACGATTATGATGAAAAAATGAATAATTCAGCACAGTGATATTGCCTACGAGTAATTCTCCTTGAATTCAGTCACTTATTTTGAATTAAAATAAATAAACATTAGCCACATGTCACAGAAATATTCACCTCCAACTGTGACAAGTTCCTGATTGTAAAGAAATAAAATAAAAATTAGGAAAACGGATGACCCTGAAGGAGATCCCTGTAACTTCCCGCTAATTCCATACCTAAGCGCTTGAAATTGCACTTATATAATGTTGTTGAGCTCTTCAAGCTCTAAATTACAATTTATATGTTATTTTGAGCTTTATGAGCTCAAAGAGGTAGCTGTTCTATGCTTTTGAGCCCTTCGAGCTCATATCTTACGTTTGACATATCTATTATTAATTTATAATTGTGTTAATTAATTTAAAATAATTTAAATAACACAGTAAGAGGTTATTATTATTTTTATGATATATTTATTTATTTTTATTTCAATAAACGATCAAATTCATGGAGAACTAATTGAGAGCAATATCACATCGCTGAATTATTTATTTTATTTTTTTTATTTTATTGGCGGTACTTTTATCTCGGATAAAATTTTATCCCGGATTGAAAAACTGGCCCTTAGAAACATAAAAAAATAGACAGTCATTAATATTCGTAAACTTAAAATATGGAAATCTGTAAATATAGACTAATAAACGTCGCAAATAACTGCACAACTTCCTGGAGCAGCGGTTGCAGGAGCTGGTGGCAGTTATCGGCCCTTAAAAATATTTAATACCAGTATCGGGAAACAACTTTATATTTTTAAAAAATCCAAGACACAACGTCGCAAATAACTGCACAACTTCCTGGAGCGGCAGTCACAGGAGCTACTGGTAATTGTAGGGATATCTGTCGCCGACAACTTGACAACTTCCCGGAGCAGCAGTCACAGGAAAATATATCTCCTCTCTGTTATATTTTGTATTTTAAATTCCTTCGCGCTCAATTCGTATGATGACTACGTTTACAATTGTCTTTCTTATAAATTATCAGAATTTATATTTATCCGTTATTTACAGATTTCCATAATTACAGATATCAACATTTATTAGTCTATATTTACAGATTTCCATATTTTAAGTTTACGAATATTAATGACTGTCTATTTTTTTATGTTTCTAAATTTATAATTGTCTTTTTTTCGACTTGTCTGAATTTATTCTTTTCTTTTTTTTTTAAATATCAGTCATTTTAGATGTTTATATTCTGATGCGTCTAATTTCACGGAAATTTTTTTTTTTTTGATTTTATAATTTTACGCTTATCTTTTTTTAAAATAATTCTAATTATTTTGATTACTACATTTTTTCATTGCTATTTTTTAACTAATCGATATTGCAAAGTATCCTCAATAAGACACATCATTTTTTTATTATTTCTGAAATCTTATTTTTCCATATTTTTTCATTTATTGATTTCCATACTCACAGATTTCCAAAATTTGATGTTTCCATTGTCTGTAAAATTTCCGACCATAAAGATAATCAATGAAACGCATTGTACTTATTAATTATAAAAATTTATTTACATGATACTGAAGTTATAGCTGACAACTGTCAATTTTTTTAATTGTTATAACAAATTAATTACAATAAAAAAAAATGCTTTAAAAAATTTCTACTAATAATTTTTTTAATTTTCACATGCAAAATTTTTTAATTATAATTATAATACTGAAGTTAACTGACAGCTGTCAATTTTTTAAATTCTTATAACAAATTAATTACAATACTAAAAATGCTTCTAAAAATTTTCACTGATAATTTATTTTTTATAATTTTATTTCTTTAAAATTTGAAAAAAAATTTTTAATTTCAATTAACTTTAGTATCTTTTGTTTATTTATTTGTTTTATTACTTACTCTCCATGTCCCCAAACCGATCATGGGCATCTTATTCCCATTGTTCAAAACAATCATTGGTACACTAGACATCTTGCACGTAAAATGGATTTTTTAAAGACTGGTCACCCTTTTATCTAAAAAATTACCAAATTAATCATAATAACTTTATTATTTATTATTTTTTTATCAATTTTTATAAATCCAAGGTCAATAAACAAAAAATTTCTTAACATAATTCTGAATCTGAATTGCGCGGCCAAGCTGCGCTCTGGCGGAGATTTTGGAACTAATTAAAAAAAATAACCTCAAAAAAATTTTTATAATTATTATTAAAGGAATTAAATTGATAAATAAATAGAAGTAAGTATTAATTAATATTTAAACAACTAATTTTTTTACACTTTAGTTATTTTATTTACTTAAATTAATACCTACTATTTGCAGATGAAATTTTCAAGAATTGGTCAGCTGATTGTTTATGGATTTGCGAAATAAATGAAATGTCGATTGTAAATAACGGCTACAAATATTACGAGGTGCTTGGCTGCAGCAAAAACTCCACCTACGACGAATTAAAGCGTGCTTATCATAAACTAGCACTTGTTTATCATCCAGATAAAGCTAAAAGTAAGAAAAATGGCGATACTGATTGCAAAAAATTTTTTGAGATAGAAGAAGCTTGGCGGGTGCTAAGTGACAATGATTTAAAAATTAAGTACGATGCAGAGTGCCGACAAGCTGAATTAGAACTAGATAATTTATTAATTCATGATAGGATAAATGTTAGAGAAATGAATGCTGAAGATGATGTCCTGAGTTATCCTTGTCGGTGTGGGAGCAATTATTTAATAAGTACTGAAGAATTTACGGAAAATAGCATTTACATTCCATGTTCTGAATGCACATTCTGTATTTTTGTTGAAAAATAATTTTTATTTACATAACTTGGTGGTATTATTATTATTTTTAATTTAATTAAAATTTTAACTAAATATAAACAGCTACTTTATCATTACAGTAATTAATTCAGATATAACTTTGAAAATAATTTTTGTTTATTTTTAATTATACACTTTGATGATAAAAAATCTTCCATGACCTTTTGATGAAAAAATTTGGAAAAACAATATTGATTGCAATTAATGTCAAAACGGAATATTGAATGAATAATTTGGACACGATGACCACCTAGAAAATTAAAAATTATAGTTTAATATATAGTAGTAATAATAACCAGTAAAAGACTTAAAAATTGAGGTAACTATTTACCTTGAAAGTATACCGTATCTTCCATTGCACTCAAAATTGTCAATCCATGCTATATCTTCGTCGCTTAGTTTAAAGTCAAATACATTTAAATTTTCAACAAGACGTGACTTAGATGTTGTTTTGGGAATTACTACATGACCACGGTCAATCTGGAATTTTTTTGTCATTATTTATTTTTTAACTATTATTAGTAAAAATAACACCAGAAATTTCTTATTTTTCTTTAAAAATAAACTAAAAAAAATTTTTTTTTAAATTGAATTTATAATTTTTTAAAGTTTCTAAAGATGTAATTTTAGAAATAAATTTTTCTTGCTATACTTTATTTTTTAAAAAAATAACAAAAATTATTAGATGTCTCTTAATTTATGAAACTTAACTTATCAGATATTTGATAATTGAAAAAATTTTTTAACAAATAAATTATGGCAAAAATTATGAACATGTAGAAATTTTAAAAAATTAAAAATGCATTTTTTTAAATATAATTTTTCGGAATAAATTTGTTTGTTAAATAAAATTAAAAAATGCTCAAGAAGAACTAACTTTAATGTCATCTTAATTTCAGTAATAGTAAAAAATAAAAATTAAATAAACTACCTGGTAGCGAATAACAACTTGCGCTGGTGTTTTGTTATACTTCTCAGCAATATTTTTTATTTTTGGATGTTCTAAAAAAATGGATCGCCTGGTTTAGCCCACGGACGGATATGAGAGTCACGAGTTCCCAAAGGGCTATAAGCAATAATTACCATGCCTCTTTCTTTGCAGAATGCTGACAATTTTTTTTGAGTCAAGTACGGCTGACATTCGATCTAAAAATAAATTATTTAACACCTCAAAACTTTTATTAAAAAAAATAAAAAACATATACTTCATTAACAACAGGCTTGATTCTGCAGTTGGCCAACAAACGAGTGATTTGCTCGGAATTAAAGTTGCTGATTCCAATATTTTTATTTTTCCATTCCCTTCCAGGTGTCCAGATAGTCAGTGTCTGTGCCAGCTGGTGTCCCGTCAGGATTCAGCGGAAACAGATCTTCAGTTTCTTCGAAAGCAAACGGCCAGTGAATTAAAAAGAGGTCCAAGTAGTCCAGCCCCAAATTAGTTAAACTTTTTCTGATTCCTTTTTCTACTGACTCAGTTTTGTGGTAAGTGTTCCACAGCTTTGATGTTATGAACAAATCCTCGCGTTTGACAACTCCTTCGTCTATCTTAGCTCGTATGGCATCACCGATTTCTTTTTCATTTCCGTAAACCAGAGCACAGTCGAAGTGACGGTACCCGACGTCTATAGCGTCTTTTACTGCTTGCCCTACCAAGCCAGGAATTGCCTGAAATTTATATTTATAATTAGTAGCTGATTATTAATTATGAAAATTTATTTATTACTTACTCTCCATGTCCCCAAGCCGAGCATTGGGATTTTATTTCCATTATAAAAAGTAACTGTTGGAATACTAGACATAGTCAATAAATTAATCACTCCAGTTCAGCTTAGGTGTGTTTAGAGTCGTTTAAAATCTTGCATTTATACCCAATATCTTGCAAGCTGTCAAAACTTCACGTAGAATTATATATTTGTTCATTGCTTTTGTATTTTTTTAATTCAACAGTTGATTAATTTGAAATAAAATAATGTTTTAAATAAATAATCCTAAAATTTATGACTTTACTTTACCAATAATTAATTTATGCAGACGAGTAATATTTACTTTATACCGAAAAATTTCTTTTCGTCAGTAAATATTATTTTTTTTACATAAAAGAAAGTTTATTTCTTAAATACAAAATTTACGAGAAAATATATATACTCTTAATCTAAACTAAGCTAAAAAAATACTAACTAAATCGGCTAATTAACAATACAACATAAATTATCGTAAGTGATTACTTAGCATTATTTTTTTAATATAAAGAAATAAGCTGTTAGTGTATTATATTCCATTGCGTCTTATCTACAATTCATGTAAAAATTAATTTACAAATATTTCACAAATATCCACGTTTGATTTACTTTTATTATTAACGATAAGTGTACTGAAGCTTCATAAAAAAGAAAAAAAAACCTTATTGTGATGAAATAAAAAAACAGTCTTAATTCCAACTAACAAACTTCTGTATAAAATAATAATAATTTACTAACACTCATAGAGTGTTTATGAGAAATAATAACTAGATTGCACGAATGTAAACGCATTAAAATACCGCACGGCAGTCAAACATTTACATTGATATATAAATAATCATTATTCCCACTGGGTTAGTTATTATTCATCAGATATCGATGAAATCAACTTGACATTGGGCCTCAGACATTTGAAATTTTCAACTCCTTGTCTCGTTATCGATGTACCAGTCAGATCTACATATTTTAAATTGTGTATGTGCTCTGCAAGGTGTTTCAAACTTGCGTCTGTTACTTTTGGATAGTTCCTGTAAAAAAAAAAAAAAAAAAAAAAAAAAAAAAAATTAATAATCTCGTGAATTAAAAATTTATTATTATCTATATTATTAAGAGAATAAGAAAAATTTTATGTCCAGGATAATCATATGTTAAAATTGGTTTTTTAAAATGAAATTTAGTGTCATTGCAAAGATCTTGACTTAACTTTGTGCCTTTTCAAGGTTTCATATCATTCTCACCAATAGTCAATTTATTTAGGCTGCATTCGAAAATGCTCTATCTCTAGATACATAATTAAGAAATGACCTTGTATCTCGTGAACTATTGACATTTTTAAAGATATAAGTTCATCCCGATGTTACACTCATCAAGAGCTTTCATTTGAGTACCCACATCAATTTTTCATATATTTATAGATATTATATATATGTATATATGAAAAATATATGAAAATGCATGTGGGTACTCAAATGAAAGCTCTTGATGAGTGTAATATCGGGATGAGCTTATATCTTTAAAATATATATTATATATATGAATATATGAAAAATATATCAAAAATGCATGTGGGTACTCAAATGAAAGCTCTTGATGAGTGTAACATCAGGATGAGCTTATATCTTTAAAAACGTCAATAGTTAAAAAAGTGCATTGCAATTTAACAAGCGTCATTATTTAACAAAGCAAAATTTTATTTATTTATAGTTCACAAGTCACGGCAGTCACATAGTGACTGCAAGGTTACTAGTTATTATTATTATTATTATTATTATTATTATTTTGACAAGTTTTAATAATAATAAAATTACCTGACAACAAGAGTTTGAAGAATAGGATTACTGCAAATACGAGGTCGCGGCTCTATAATGACCATGTCCGGCATATCACGTGGAGTATCTTGAGGAGGTTGCGGACTCTGATAAGACCCAATAGAGCATATACAACGATCAGTAATACCACAAGGCGACATATCATCCATATCAAACTGATTGCCGTCGATAACATACTGCGCTACATGATTGTCTTCATAAACCGGCGGATTAAGTGCGATAAAGCTGTGAATGTCGCTTTTTGGCTTCAAGTCAATCGGCGAGTAGTCTAGATAAAGTTCAGTCAAGGTCGTCGTGTACTGGAAGAAGCAGCTGACTTCAGAGTCTCCCACGTTCGTGTGACACAGGTCTAATATCTCCAGTGACTTGAACCCAAAGCGTGTCGCGAGACTCATGTAAGCCACACAGTCGCCCACGTACTTACACGAGCTTATCCTCAGTTCCTTTAGTTTGGGTATCTTGCTTATTACCATTAATGAGTGGCTTCTCAACCACTGACAGTCTGTCACTATTAGGGTCTGAAAATAAAATTTTATTTATTTATTTAAATAGAAACAATAACTATTAATTTAAAAAATAATTACTGTTAAATTGGGCATGTGCTGGTGCAATTTTGAAAAATAAGACTGTTGAGGATTTACATTGCAGACCTTGCATCCTTTTAATGCTAATTTCTCGAGTGTCGATGGAAAATCTGTGATTTTTATCTGAAAAAGAAAAAAAAAAAAAAAAAAATGATATATTTATGCAGAAATTTTTATCCAATTGTTGATTAAGTTATGAACAACTTACGTCATTGTTGACAATAGTAAACTCTTCAATAACAAGTTCCTTCAAACTTGTGCAAATTTCTCCAATTTTAGTCAGGAAATTGTTCTTGAGCTCTTCTAAAATAACTATTCTCTCTTTAATGTTACTACAGGATGCTTGATCTTTTGAGCCACTAGAAGTTCCCACGTCTCTTACGTACCCGTTTGATGTACTCGCCGCCTTACACTCACCATTGGAGATTCCTTGATGTTTGTCGCTCTCATGATCGTCTCTGTACTTATCCTTATTAATTGTAAACTCAACTCGTCCATTAATAATAATACTCTCAGTGTTTGGTTTTAAAAATCCGAGTATTTTGATTAACTCATTTTTTTTCAATTGACGAGATTTAAAATTTACAACCTTCCAGAGGGTACGATCCCGGCAAACTTGGTTCAGTCGATGGCAGCACCTGATAAATTTTGAATAATTAAAATAAAAAAAAAATTTACAAGTTATAATTGATATGTTTACTTACGAGCTCAAAGCAAAAAGATCTTGCGGCGATATATATTTAAATATATTAAGCAATACATCATCAGAAAAATCCAACAGCTTTGTTTTGTAATCACCCTGAAATTCATCAAACGCCGAGTCGTTTGACAGCCGAGGAATTTTAGCGTCACGACTGCTTGATGGTTCTGGAGATAATGATTTGCTTCTCTTCATTTTCATTTTTTTACGACACCTGAAATTAAATAAATTTTTTATTTTAAAAATTATTTCCTTTGTTTTGAATTTTTAAAAGTACATTGGACAGTTGGAGGACTCGTGAGCAGGAGATGAGGCTAGAATTTTAGCCCAGAAATTATCAAACTTGGACATTGGTTTTTAATCAACAACAATCACGGAGATAAAATCAAAACTGAGTACAAAATAAAATTTTGAAACTACGTTCTAATTTTGTTCCTTCCTTCATACAATCTCCGTTGGCTTTTGTCCAATAAAACTAATAAACGTCAACATTTTTCGCTCAATATACACTTTCTTTGTCTTGTGAAAAACAGCACATCTTACCACGTTCAGTTCCAAAACAAAAACCAGGTCTTTTGAATAATGAATTCATTCATCAGCCCACTAGTTAATTTAGCAGTAAAATAATCCTGACAAAAGGATTTAAAAAAAAAACAAATAGGTTAAGATAACCTTGTAAATAAAATTTTAATTAGGAAAAAAAATCACTTACTTTTAATTACTCCGGAAACTTATTTTTTGCTATCACTTTTAAATATGTCAGCTTGACAGTTAACTTTGTTATTATTTTCAACAATTGTTTAATAAATAATATTGAGAAAGTAACAGCGTCAGAGCCGTCCTTGTTTTTTTTTTTTTTCCAGTCGATAAATTGACTTAAATACAGTCAATGGCCAGCGGGATGAGGAACGAAATGCTCCGAAATAAAAAATTCCCTATGTGTTCATTTCAATCATTTAAATTTTCACTTTATTTAATGTTAAATTTTTAGTTGTCAAAAAGTGTAATTAAATTTGACAAAAAAGAAATTTTTAATCAGCTGTTGAATTAAAAATAAAAAATTTTTATTGGTTATGAGTGAGCAGTAATTTATCCAAAGTTATTTTTAAAATTAATTAAATAAAATAAAATTGATATTTTATTAATTTAGCACAAACATCAATTATTAAAATACATATTTTTATTTATTTATTTTGTAATAAAAATTTTTTTTTTACTTTTAGATTGAAAGTTAGCTTACCGACTGATGGAAATTATTTATTCTTAACTTATTCTAGATCTAATATATTCTTCCCACTTTTTATGGAGCTCCAAATTACTATCACAAGTATCTTCATCAGTTTCACAAATAAATCCATGTAATTTGTTTTTTAAAACATACTCAATTAAAAAAAATCCTTTGACAGGTTAGATATTGACATTTATGTGTTTATTATTGTCGGCTTTTTCCGTTAGTATTCGAAATATCTTTCAGATTACCGCGCCGACAGGTGGCAGCTGTCACTTGGAAAAATTTTTTTTATTTCAATAAAAAAAAATATTATCTATTTTTTTTTTTTTTTTTTTTTAATATTTTTAAATTAATCACTAAAAATAAGTAAAAAAAATATTGATTATATATATCACAAACTTTTTATTATTTATATAAATTGATGATTTAATGAATTATTATATTTATTTATTTATTTACAGAGAGGAAGTAACTTTTGCGGTTTCCATTCTAGAAAACTAGTCCGGATTTGATAAAATAATCATTTTTCACTGAGTGTGTCTGTAGTGCAGTGTTTATTAAATTAGTCATTAATAAAATTTTAATTAACCATTAATAATGGAGGAAATAACTCTAGAAATAGCCGACAATGAAAAGAAAAAAGACAAAGAAGAAATACAGGTCGCTGGAACAGAAGAAAGCATCGTAACAATAGACACAACTGACAAGAGAACCCGCCGAGCCCAACGACAAGAGTATACATTCGCAGCTAAAAAAACCGTGGCCCAGGGTATGATGGACGTGGCGTTGATAACTGCGAATGCCAATCAGCTAAGATATCTCATCGAGTACCAGCGCGAAAGCCCGACATTTTTTGTAATAGTCTTCCTGATCGTGTTCAGCCTGGTCCTGCAGATCGCCGTTGGCATCAGCTTGATCTTCAAAGGCCGGTTTGACATTAAGGGAAAATCAAAATCTCCTGAAGCCCAGATGATAAATAATTACGTAGTTGTCGGTGTTTTTCTCATCACTATTATAAATGTTTTCGTCGCGGCCTTCAGTGTCACTTCTCCGGCTTCAATTCCACTGTCACCTAATGCAACTAATCAATAATTTTTTTTTTTATTTAATCAACTATTTTTTAATTGTTTTTTTAATTAATATAAATATTTTTTAATAAAATTAGGTCATTAACAAATTTACGGAATATTAAATTTATTTATAAATTTGTGACCTAATTAATGTTGGCAGTAAGATGAGGAACTGTTTTAAATAAATAAAATAATCAAGGTTACAGTTGATATATTGGATAAAAAATAAATATGTATGTGTATATAAGTCAACTTGAGGCATCTGCGTCATCGCAAAAAGCTCTATCGTCACAGCTTTTGACAGAGCACAGGTATACTGATCAAAGAAGACTAGAGAAAGAAGAAATATTAATAATCTATATAGACAATATATAACGAAGACTATGATATTGCGCTGAGCGGGTAGTATGAAACAAAAGGTAAGTGCAGTTAGCAATTGCCAAAGTCATACGCACGTTCAGTGGTTATATTTATTATATTACCAGGTTATAGTTAATAAAATTATCAAGTGAATTGTGTCTTTAGGACTTACTTTTTATCAATATGGGAAAAGGCAAAGGTAAATATTGGATTTATTATTCATTTCTTCTTTTATTATTCACTTTTTTTTGTTTTAAAAATTTTATTGTTTTTTTATATTTAATGGGTAATTTAATTGATTTTTAGGAGGTGGAGGAGGTGGTGGAGCTAAAGGAGGAGATGTAAGATACATTTTTATCAGAGATTATTTATAGGATTATTTATCAATATTTATTTATAGAAGAAAGGCGGAGCGGGAGGAGCTAAAGGAACTGACGCGAAGTCTGACGCGAAAGGAGGAAACAAAGGCGGAAAGAAAGGTATTTATTTTGTATTTTTTTGTTTGGATTGTTAATGAGAAGACATGTTTTAGTACGCTTTGAAGACGGGTTTAAATTAATAGAAGCTAAAAGAAGATAATTGTGTGTTCTAGGTGGGAAGAAATAACGACGGTGATTTATTTATCTAAATAAAAATGTGGTTGGTCAATAAAAAATATTTATAAATTATCAACAGTTTATTTATTGACAAACATTATTTATTAGTTTAAATAGTATTGCTATTATTATTTTTACAGTGATTCTAAGAAGGTTGCGCAAGAGCTAATTACAAATTGTTTTGTTCAGTAAAAGTTAAGTTAAATGTATAAAAAAAAAAGGCACCCAAGTGTAAAAATAATTTTAGATTTTAGGATTGTCGCTCGCGGGGTAGTCGTGCATTTCAAACACTGAAATAATAATATTTACAGTGACTGTTAATAACATCATCGTCAGTACTACGTTGTTCCACAAGTTTGCCTTTTTGTGGTCTTGCTCTTTGTTTATGTTGTATGAAGATCCTAATAGGAGGCATATTAGTCCTTGAGCAATCTTTTTTTTTTATATTCATTTTATTTTTGCCCATTGATTTTTATGGTAGTTAAAAAAAAAATAAAATTAAATAATAAAATAATAAATAAATAAATAAATAAATAAATAAAATAATTGATTAGAAGAAAGGAAAAAATAATAAAAATTAAATTAGCCGACGTTTGAAATTTTTTATTAAAAAAATAAAAAATTTTACATGTAGAAAATTTATTTATTAAATAAATAAATAAATTTGATAAATTATACGTGCAATTTTTTTTAAAATGTTTTTTGACTTGTAATTTATTTGTTAAAAAAAAAAAATTTTTTTTAACGTCGGCTAATTTTAATATAATTAAAAATTAAAATGTAAATAATGAAATGAAGGTATTAGCTATTTAGTATCATAATCATCATTGTTATCATTGATAATACTATGTCGACGATAAGCGATAAGCTCGGGCAAGGGTTTGTTACTGAACTCCATACCAAAGCCCGAAATGACAACATTAGTTAGACTGATGACAAAGACGGAAATAAGAATGATGTCATTAATAAAATTAGCAGCCCACTGATCTCGCCGTCGATTAATATCCAATCCACCAACCACGATGAAAAGTATACCCACGGCGGCCTGAGTAATTTTTTCAAAGTTTTGTTTTCCGTAAGCAGTATGCATTTTCACGAGCAATTGGTCCGATTGCCAGCACGTGCAACAACCAGCAGTCAATTATTATTATTACTTATTCTATCACTTTGTTTTTTTTTTAGGTATATTTAGCATCTAAGAGTCGGCTAGTTAATTAATTAATTCAGTATTGTCGATTGGCGACTCGATCGCTATAAGCGAGGAGAGACCCATTGGATCGAAGGTAGCTATCAGAATGTTATCCAAGAACACTATGAAGCTCAAGGCGACTCTTATTCTTCCAATCCACTCGATGGTGTATCCTTGTCGAGAGTCTTCCATTTTCCGGTCGGTCATTAGGTTCAATGACAGGGATAATAATCCCGACAGGATCTGCGCGGTTAATTTTTTTTTATATACTTATTTATATAAAAGTAACTTTGGTCGTTTTACATTTGCGACAACTGGACCAATTGCTCGTGCTCGTGCTCAAGTTATTAATTTTTTTTTTTTTTTTTTATTATTATGCCAGTAAACGTGCCAAGTGATTGATGAGTGATAGTTAATTAATGTACAAATTTTTATTACCTGGAGTCCTATTGACAAACAGATTAATGTTAACATTAATGTATAAAATTCATGCTGCTTCCCCACCTACAACAAAAAAATTAAAAAAAATATTATTTAATAATAATAATAATAATAAATAAGAACTATTAAATCAAAAAACAAATTCTTTAGAATTTTTTAATAAAATAATTTAAAAAAAAATTTTTTTTCTCTAATTTATTATTATAAAAATTTAGTAATTAATTTTTTTTTATATTTTATATTCATAGTTAATTATTTTTAATGAATTTAATGTAAAAATTTTATACAAAAAAAAAATGATATAAAATTCCTTATAAGTTTATCTTAATAAATTTTTTTCTAAATTTTATTTTAATAATTAATGATTTTACAAATTTAATATTAAAATTTTATAAAAAAAAAAATGATTAAAAAATTTAGATCAAGTAACATAAAACTAAATTATCACCAAAAAATTAATCTATATAATATTATGGAAAAATATTAATGATAGTTGAAAAAAATCTATAAAATTTTTTAGTAAAAATAATTTTAAGTCAGGATTATTTATTATTTTTCTTTTTCAAATTAAAAAAATTATAATTTAATAATAATAATTGTAATAAATACCTGTAAAATATATTTTAATTGAGATGCATTGGCTGTCAGCAAAGCGATATCCAGCATTCCTTGCGCGATGGTTTTTTTCGTCGCATAACGATTCGCATCCAATGACTTTAACTAAAAAAAAAAAAAAAGGACAAAGGCTTATTAACAAAGAAATGATTAATTATAAACAAAATAAATTCTAATAGCACTTTTGTCATTCATCGCGACTTTTATTCAGTTGACCTTACAATTACCGAACAAAGATAATTCAATGCTAGACGTTTATTAATCCCTCAGCTTTTATTCACTTTAATTATCTGTCAACTCAATAAAAACTCACTGGCACTAATATTTCGGTTATTGGACCCGCTAAATGTCCATTCAATTCATCCTTGGATGTGTGAGGCAGCTCAATAATGTCAAAGCTCTCACTTGGGTTTGGATAATTCTTGTTTCCGTTCCGGTAAACAACATGCTCAACGTTCAGAGTTTCCAAAGTCGGTGTCTCTGGTTTATCGCTGGTTGTTTTATCTTCATCCGGATGATCCCCGGACTGTTGACCAAACTTTGCCGGCTTTTCAATTTCAGCCATGCCTCTTTCTATTAATTATTTACAATGGAATCAATAAATCAGTAAGTACACTTGTTAAAAAAATCTTATCACGCGATTGCAAGACTATCAATATCAAAGGCTTATCTTTAAATAAAGATTGAACCTGTTGACACAATTGATCACTGCAAACTCATTAGTTGTAGACAGAGTAGAGCAATAAACTCCTTCCACATTCCATCAACAGTAAGTAGAGGTTTGCTTTTAATTTTCTTTGTCTACTGGCACTCGTCATTGAATCATTAAATCAACACTCGATTCAATAACTCCTTTTTCGTTCGATCCGGTAATTATTTAATTTTGCATTGTCCTTTTTAGATCAAGGAACTTTTACAACCAAGTCAATGCTGTTATTATTTATTAATCCGTTGCTATTAATGTAGTATTGACAGCGCAGACTTTCTTCAAATAAAATATATTTGACTCTAGATCTCCTTCGGTAATTGTAACAGGGTCAGACTGCTTCACTAAATTATAAGCTTTTACAAATTGTTATTTACAAGAGGTCATTCACGCATTCATTGATTCACTTTTGACCTTGACATATACTCTTACAGGAAATTAACTAGCTAATTAATTTTAAATTATTTAAATCAATATTACAGCTTGTAAAAAAAATTAATTCAATTATACAAAACATTGATTAATAAAATTAATAAATAATTGAGATTAAATATTTATTTTATAGTTAATTAAAATATCTCAGTTATTTTTTAATTATAAAATTAAAATTAACAAATATTTGTTCTATAAATTAATTTTTCATAATTAGTTTATTTAAATATCTCAATTATTATTTAATTATAAAATTAAATGTAAGCAGTCACTTGACTATTTTTTAATTTTATTTAAAAATAAATTTGTTCTAAAAAAATTGAATTTTTTATTTTTTACAGATCAATTTTTTTGCTAAAATTTATTTTTTTTTTTTTTTTAAATTATTAAAATAATCAAATATCTGCTAAACAAAATTTCCATTAAAATAAAAATGAATAAAATTACCTGATTAATATTACCGTTTTCGGTAATAGTAGGTCCCACGGCCGTAGCCGCAGTTGTCATATTTTTAAAGTAGCGAAGAATTTTGACTGCCCGAAACACTTTGAAGCCGTTAAAATATTTTTCAATTAATAAACCCTCTGGCGGTTTATTAATTTTACATTAATCACTTATCGAACAAAACAATCAATTAACAAAAGTATTTTCAATCATTTAAATTTATCAAGTCATTTAATATAATATAAATATATGTAAATTGAAAGAAGACTGGGGAGTTACTGTCAACTGTGCAATTGCTTAGCTGTTTATGAGCGGTCCGGTAGTTAAATCGATCAAAACACCCCGGAATGACAATCAGTGATACTTTTTATTGGCTGGTTTAGCCTGGTGGTAGTTAGATAGCTATCAAACAATGTACATACTTTCTTTAAATATACACTTTAAAAATACAATGCAAAGAATACTTTTTAACGCAAGTGTATGTAACCATTTTTCCATTGTTATGATTGAATTATTACCAATCACCATGACAACCACTTTAAACAGTAAAGTACTCATGAGCATACACTTATATTTTAATTACTTATAATATTAATTTATGTACTTACAGTAAATTACAAATTATTTTTGCTCATTCATTTTTATTTACTCAAATATTTTTTTCTCTTATTTTATTTATAAATTTAATTATTACCTTAATGTGCGTATTTAGCGCTAAATATAAAATTAAAAAATTCATTGTACCTAAGGCGTGTCTACGTGATTTAAACCACATCAAATCGGCTTTTAATTTAAATATTTATTAACATTATAAAATAAGCCTGATTATTATTTAATCACAGGTACAATTTTACTTTTATTTTATTTCATTTTTTTTTTTTTCATTGTCATTTTTTTTTATATCTTTTATGTAAAAATTATAATTAAGAGCAAGACCAATGATAACAATTTATTTATACTATCTTTTAAAATTATTAGTTATTGATTTGAAGAAAAATATTATTTTAAATTAATAATTAGTCTGTTAGCGTGAAAAAAAATTTTTTTTAATTAACGAGCGGATAAAAATTAGCTCTTTAAAATATTAAAAATTATTTATTAATAGTAATAATAATTATTATTATTTATTTATTTATTATTTTAATTAGATAATTAATATTTAAGAGTGATGAACAAATATAAATAATGTGAGACAAACAGAAATTGTAAGTCTGAAGGCAAACGATTAAACTGTACATGTCGCCCAGAATTATTAGTATTAATTTTTTTTACAGTTAAAAACTATTTTTAAACCACTAAATATTTATATTCTGGGCTGTTTTATTAATCTATTAATTATCTTAACCTGACACTTACTGTTTTAAATTATTTAAGTAATAATTACGCGATTTATCGGGAATTTAAAATTTTAACAATTCGTTTTATAAGTCATTACGTGATTGCATTAAAATTGTAACTATACAGAATTATGATACGTTTTTTTTTTTTTTTTTTTTTAATTATTAATATTAATTTAATTATCGCGCAAAACGTCATTAGAATAAAAAAAAAAAAGAAAACCTCTGAGAAAGTATTAAATAAAATTTAATTGGCTTCCAGTGGACTTTGCCAATAGTGTGCTTGCATAGAGAGCCGTTGATTATTACTCGGCTTTAATGGAATATTACAACGAACTGCACCAGGAAAACGTTCATGATACCGCTCTAGTCGTAAATATTTAACAGTTACGAGATTCCCTATAAATTAAAAAATTTTAATAGATAATTAATTCTTTATAAATTGATAAAAAAAAAAAAAAAAAAAAAAAAAATCTTACCATCAAACCAACAGCCGTGGAGAGCACGATAAGCTTTACCAGCGTCTTCTTGCGAAAAGCATTTCATGTAGACGCATCCTTCACGGCTTCCGCGATCGACTCTGATATGAAGAATTTTAACACCTTCGCCGCATTTTTCCAGAATGGCATCCTGCACTTTTATTTCCCAATCTTCTTCAAATTCCCTGAACAAAAAAAAAAAATTAATTACTTATACTTGTCGATCGACGTACAATTAATGAATAATGAGATACATACATATCCGGGTCAAACATATGACGAATTTTCAAGCAAGGAGTAGGCGAACACGTGAGACTATTGACGGAACCTTCCATGGTCTCAAAGGCCTGTCCTTGCCACACTTTAGTCTTCTTACTACCAACTGGAGTAGTTGGAGGTGAGCTGTTGACATTGGGGAGCCAACGCCACACGTGAAACTCTTCTCCTGCTACTTGTTGAACTTCGCGACGGATTCGTGACTCGTTTTCATCCAAAAATTTCACCGCTTTTTCCCACAGTCCAGCCATTTTTTTGCGATCTTTCGGAGGGATCAGGTTGTCACGGACGTGGTTTATCGCCAGGAAACTTTCTTGGGTTCCTCCGGGGCTCGTGGTCATCGCGTTCTGGTGGTGAAGCTCCACCATGCTGATTATTTCACTCACAAGCTGGAATACTTCTCTCTCAGTTGACTTTTTGTACTTTATGTACCACTGGACACACAGGTGACCGCCGAATACCAACGCTACCCCTGAGAAATTTTTTAAATATAATTAATTTTATTTTTATTTAAAGGAATAAAAGACAAGGTAGAGGAAATAATTATTTTTTTTTTTTTACTAGGAACAATACAAAGGATTTATAAATTAATTAATTAATGTCTTCAGGGTTATCATGCAGATTTCTAGTTAGATAAACGTGCAATGAATCTAATAAATAATCTGACAAAAATTTACCAGCAATCATAAATAATAATGTTGATAATATGCTCATTATTCTTTGTTTTATCATACACATCATTGGTAACTCCGGGTTTAACATCACCATTGCTACTTTATTATCCAATCTTGACTGGAATACATTTTCCTGCAAATAATTAAATATTAATTGATAATTATAATGAATTTAATTATTAAATATAATAATAATAATTATTATTATTATTATAATGTACCATTGAATCAAAAACAGATTCTCTAGGATTTTTTCCTCCTTCAATTTCAATTAAAGAAATTCCCCACTTAGGATTCTCAAAAACTAAAAGCTGAGCATCGTGCAAGTCGCTTGTAATTTCCAGCTCTTTCTGCAAAATAATATTTCAATTAGATAAAATAATTTTTAATAAATAGTTTACTGTACAACCTACCACTTTTTGACTCTTATACATATTGATGATATCAAAGTCTGTAAGATAAGCCGGTTGTAGGGAATTTTCGCACGCCGCGGCGACAGCTCTTTCCATCAGTTTAGGCCGAAGCGTTTTCAGTAATTGCATCACAGTCTCAACGTTTTCTTCGAGTATACAATTAACACCTGGCTTGTCGTGATCACTTTTACACAGCGGTACTTCATTGTCTATAAAATAATCCACGATATTTATTACTCCACTAATTTATTTATTTATTGATCAATTTTTAACTAATAAAATACTATTGAGAATTCTATTGAGAATTAAGCTCTTAAGGGAAAAGGAAAGAAAATTACTGAACTAATAATAATAGACAATACAATATTTATTAATCATAAAGAAATTACATAAATTAATCTAGCAATCAATAAAAAGAAATTATTTAAAGAAAAAAAAAAATTTTATATGATTGCGTCGATTTTATTTTTTAATATCAATGCACACGATGTAAAGAATTTAAATTAAATGGAAAAAAAATAAAAAAAAAGCCGCTAAAATTTACAAAAATATCGGATTAGTGTACTAATAATAATAATGATAATAATGATAATAATAATAATAATAATAATAATAATAATAATTGCTTCGAGTAATCTATAATGATAAGAACTTGCCAAAACTTCTTATCAGTTGATTAGCAAAATAATTAATAATTATCAATAAGCAAAGTTAATATTTCAATTTGTACCCACACCTTTGTAGTGATATATAATATATATATACTGAAGTTTATACTTGTAATTTATTTATGAATTAATCATGATACCTACCCATCGGGAGTGATGGAACAGTTTCGGATTTACCACCAAGACCCAAGTAAACAATAGCCAGCCCGCTGAAGAAAAGGGCCAAGACCATTAAGAGTACCATTGAGACCATGCTTTGGCTGTTCCTACTGTCTTCTTTAGAAACTGGAGCTTTGTAACTTCTGGTTACAACTTCTCTAGGCCTGTCGTTTGACGAAGATACATATCTATTTAAAATTAATCCCTTAATTAAACTAAATACTGAGTAAAAAATAAAACAATGTGGAATTAAAGCAAACCTGGAGCTATACGAAGACTTAGTCGATGAAAAATGGCCATTGGTGTCGCTGTCTTTGCTATCCGAACGTGTAGATTTCAACCCTGTGCCTGGAAAAAAAAAAAAAATAATTAAAAAAAATTCTTCTACATTTAATAATGATTTTTTAATTAAAAAAAACTTACTTTTAAAGTTAGATCTTGACGGAAGTACGTTGGTTTTAGTTTGAGAGCTGAGCCTGCGAGTGAATTCAGACAGGAAAGGACTCTCGTAGTTGGCAAGCAGATCATTAACATTAGTATCATCACGCTTGTAATTATCTTCCTTAACAGGAGCTATCGGGGAGATATTAGGTTTGAAAAGAGGCACTGAGTATTTTTCTTCCCGAGAAAGTGAGACCCTGGGTACTGGCTCGTAGGTCTTTGACTCGTAAGACTTGGAGGGTCTTGGTTCACCGAAAGACTTGGCAGAAGGTTTCTCGACGTCAGCCGAGCTGCGGTCTTTCCTAGAGTCAGACTTTTCATTCTGTAACTTGGAGGACTTTTCAGGTTCCTCGGGGATGTCTGAGTCCGAGCCGGTCTCCAAGCCGTCGTTGACTGTCGAGAGCTTGTAAGACTTGGTGATTTTCTTGGTGACACTCTTCATTACCCGAGACGAAGAGTTACTCGTCGGCTCCTCGTACTCTGGAACAGAAACTATTTCCTTGGTTTCAGATGTCCTGGAGCCAGCACGTCGTTTGGAGGGACTGCGTGAGGGTATGCTCGTCGACACTGGCGGCGCGGGTGCTGGTGGCGGCATCGGGTTCGCCATTGTTTGGCGACGGTTAGTTGCCGGTTTTTTCTTCCTCGTGGTGCTTGACGCGGTGTCTTCGTCGGTATCATCGCTGCTGTATCTATTTTCATTAAATATAATATATCTCGTTACTATATTTGTATATATATATATATTTTGATATTAACAATAATAATTAAAATTCCATTAAATATAAATAGATTTTGTGGATTATTAGTGTATAAATAGAAAATAAAAATGAAGCAAAATTAATAATGTCCTATTTATTAGCTGGCATGCCGCGCCAATGTGAGTAATTTTTTTTAGCAGACTAGCGGCGATAACAAATTTAAAAAAAAAAAAAAAAAAAAAAAAAAAAGGCTAATATTAATGAGTGTGTGTATGAATAAATTTTACCTGGCGGCGAGTGAATGACGTGACCCAGAGGCTCCTCGACTTTCAATAAGATTCTTGAGCTTCTTAACGAGGATCTTCCTGGTGGTCTGGGTGACTGGTCCGACAGGATAACCATACTCTGCGAGCTTACTACGAAGCTCAGAGTCGGTCAGCGATTCCACCGACATTATGGCCCAAGTTAAACGAGCCTAAAAATGTTAAAATGCTTTCTAACCGCTCAATGTGATTTCTCGGCAACGGGTGCACGCGATACTTGGAGTTCTCAATAATGGCTGGTTATGATCTAGCTTTTACAATTATCGCACAGACATTAGATATATAAATATATTTTTATTTAATTACACACAACTTGTAGGCACACAACAAAACCACACGACAACCTAAATCAGTGCGAACTGATGCTTGGACGTTTTTCTCTTTCCTTTCACGCTCTCTCTCCCCTTGTCCAGAGTGTATACACCGGTATGACCACGTACGTGAGAGTGTACACACGGTTTATTTTTATGTGTGAGTGAGGGGAGCGTGTGTGCTGCTAGTGAGTTGCGGCTTCACATGCAACGAATCATCGGCATGTTGGATGTTGTAGAAAATGCCGAATTACATGAGACGACATCTTTGGTATATTTGACGCGGCATTTACCGTTAATAAGCGCGCGCTCCTGATAGCCAATCGGAGAACTGAGTATTGCGCAGGCTTCTGCGCAATATGTAGTGTTGCATCGGCAGGTGGCGCTGTCTGTTATAAGAGCGGAAATTCAAATAAAATATTTAAATACTAAATATTATAATATACTAAAATACTAAAATTATATGAAAATTAATTTAGCAGACATTTTATAATTTAAAAAATTTTTTTAACAAATAAATTATGTCAAAGAAAATGAGAAAAAAAATTTAAAAAAAAAATCCAATTTTTTAGAAATAATTTTTTGGAGCAAATTTATTTATGAAAATAAAGTTAACCGACATCTAAAAACTTTTAGAAACTTTTTTATTGAAAAATTATTACAAAGAAAAGAAAATAAAAAATTTCATTTGTAAAAAACTCGAAAAACTATCAGTGCAATTTTTTAAAAATATTTTTTAGTTTTCATTTAATAAATAAAAAATAATTAAAAATGTCGGCTAACTTTAGTATTATTAATTTATTTATTAAAAAAAATTAAAAAATGGTCAAGTGACTGCTAATTTTAATGTCAATAGCCCATCGGCTATTTACAACAAGAAATACAAATTTGGATTTAAATGTAGGAAAAAAAAAAAAACGGGACAAAATCAAGATAAAAGTAAGTTAGCCGACGTTTTTAATTTTTTTGACTTTTTTTTTTAATAATTAAATTAGAACAAAAAAATTATTTCAAAAAATTGCACTTGCAGTTTTTAAGTTTTTTACAAATGAAAATTTTTTTTTTATTTTTTTGTAATCATTTTTTTAATAAAAAAAAAATTCTAAAAATTTTTAGATGTCGGCTAACTTAATTTTCATCAAAATCAGATAAGAGAGCAAAATTAGCTTAATTGCATATTATAATTAAACGATTGGTAAGTACCACCATAAAAATTGATATCTAAATGCAGAGAGTTGACGTAGTTAACTATCCTGCTGTGAGGTCCATGAAGAACATAATTTTTTTTGGGTCTTGGTCGTTTTCAGTAGACGTTGGGCGTGTTTGGCCGAAGTAAGTACTTACTAAATTTAGTAAGTCACTTACTATACTTACTAAATTTTCGGCCGGGACAGGAAATAAGTGCTAACGCACTAAGCATGGCTTAATATAAGACGATTTTTCGTTTATTATTGATGTAAACAAAACAGACCGAAGCATATAAAATTGAATTTATATTGGTTATTCTATGCAATAAAATATTTAATTACTTTCTTTGATAGAAAGCTTTAAGAGGTACTTGAAAAGATCTTTTTCATAAGATTATATGAGATGTTACAAAACTATACTTTAAATTAATTTGAATTTTTTATACTTACACAGTGTAGTTCTGATTTTAATTAATTTTTTTATATCTTTTATAACAAATGTATAGATAATTTGATTAAGAGAGACTGCTTATTTAATTAGAAAAAATGACTGACGTTAAATATCTATTGTTATAGATAGTTAAGTATATTTGATAACAATTAATATAAGCAGTTAATACAAGCAAAGAATTGTTTATAGTATTATAACTTATGACAAGTTTTACAAATATCATTTAAAAGAAGAGATCTATAAGTATGACAATAAGACAGAAAAGAAATGTATATTTTTTAAATTCAATTACTCTATTGACTGTTTGTTTCAATAATCGTTAAAATTTATATTACTTATTCTTAATATAAGAGAAATAGTAATCATTTGTTCATACTCAATCTATAGTTTAAATTTTATGTTGATTAAGGGCTCGTTTAACTTTTCTTCCAATTAAATATTTCTCATAAAATTGTCCACTTACAACTATTTACTTGAATTAAACTATATTAATAAATTTATCAGTGTCAATTATATTCAGACTATGAGATTACGTACGGAATATAACGTAAGTCGGTATTTTGTATTATGCTAATATAAGCCTGTAAGTCTGTCCCGGCCGAAAAGCCCTATAGTCAGCTTGTAAGATTAAAATTTTTTTATGCTAACTGGCTTACTAAGTTTAGTAAGTACTTACTTCGGCCAAACACGCCCGTTGACGTCTTAGTGGAAGTCCAGCGGGAACGAATTTGAAACTACTGAGTATGTCAGGTGCATCAATTTCTCCATTTACAACTTTGTAGAAGAATGCTAATTCCGCAACCTGGCGTCGGTCAGCAAGGCTGTTGATTTTGAAACCAGATCGAATGTTGTCGATGGAGAAATTCTGTGGCCTCATAGTCCTTTCGCCACTATAGATAGTGGTGTTTGCAAAATGAGCTCCATGAGATTTTTCAACTCTCATCTACGTAATTTGATGCGAGAGGAATCCGATTTTGATAGTTAAAAAGTCGCCAGATGGTCCAGTTTTTTGTTATTAACAATTTAATTGTTTAAATGCAATTTATGAGAAAACTATTATTGATAGATGAAAATTGATTAAAAATTCGGATAGCTCGCATCAAAATACGTAATTAATACCTGAATCCAGTTGATGAGTCGTTGATGCGCGCACTGCCTAGTCTCACTCAACTACGTTGAAAAAATAATAATATAATTCGTAATCACGTTATAATTCAAAAAATAATAAAAATACGTGAAAAGTGATTCAAGTATTAATTACGTATTTTGATGCGAGCTATCCGAATTTTCAATCAATTTTCATCTATCAATAATAGTTTTCTCATAAATTGCATTTAAACAATCAAATTGTTAATAACAAAAAACTGGACCATCTGGCGACTTTTTAACTATCAAAATCGGATTTCTCGCATCAAATTACGTAAATGAGAGTTGAAAAATCTCATGGAGCTCATTTTGCATACACCACTATCTATAGTGGCGAAAGGACTATCAATGCTGCGTGGAAAGATAGTGTAAAAGTACTTTGGTGTAAAAGTACTAGTGGAAAGATTAGAATTAAGTTAGCCGACATCTAAAAATTTTTAGAATTTTTTTTATTGAAAAAATTATTACAAAAAAAAATAATTTCATTCGTAAAAAACTTGAAAAACTACAGGTGCAATTTTTTAAAAATATTTTTTGGTTTTAATTTTATAAATGAAAAAAAATTAAAAAATTAAAAACGTCGGCTAACTTTAGTATTATGGTGGAAAGATAGATACTTTTCAAAAAAAAAAAAAAAAAAAAAAAAAAGATAAATGGAATGAAAAAAGCTGTTTAGATTTTCTGAATAATGTTATGTTATGTCCAAATTTATTTAGTCGTTTGAATTTTTTGATTTTACATACGTCACCGCAAAGTGAAGCGGTAATTTTTTAAATCGTTAATTTTGACAAAAAGAGCAGATGTTAAAATTTTTCAACCTAACAAGTTAGTTAAAAAAAAGTAAGTAAGATTATTTTTTATAAACATTTTATTATGGTAGTTTAATTGTTTTTATAATTAAATACGGAAAATGTGAAATGTCAGACATTTTCGGTATTACTTCTAACTAAATACAAAAATTCTATGTTTAATAATTTGATCTAAAAAATATTATTTTAAAGGTATTTTTTTATAAACTAATATTAATAATGTATAAATTTTATTATAGTTAAATATATTTAGTGTCTAAAAAATGTAATTGACATAGTAAACCCCTTAAATCTAATAGTAATCAGTTGTAAAAATAAAAAAAAAATTTAACTACTTTACTAAAATTTAAATTTATGTACAAAATATTTTTTTAGTTTGTATAGTATTTAAAAAATAGTGCTAAAAGTCCAAATTAAGTATATGACAAAAAATCCCATCGCTATCTTAACTGCTTCGTGAATCCAACGCAAGCTAGAAATAAAAAAAAAATTTATAAAATTAACAAAAGTTTTAAATATTTAAATAATATTAAAATACCTTCGTAATCTTTTTCTGGCGGATTCTAAGCTATTAGGATCCTCTTTGAATAAAAACAACCTGACTCCCTTCATGTGATTCCTCAAATAATTTCTCCAGTCAAAATCATCAAAAGAGAACCTCAGGCTCAATTTGTCTTTAGAATCAAGCCTTGACCAAAGACGCTGAACGTTGTCATTCTTGAAGCTCCAGTGCTTCAGCATAAACGGCTGGATGACGTTTAAAAATTTGTTTATTTTAGTGACAGATTTAACAACGTGAGGCTTGTGACCTCTGCAGACCATAAGGATGTCAGCAAGCAGCGCTGGGAGGAGATGCAATATTATATTTGCCAGAAAGTTAATCACTTTGCTTTGACTAGTCGTCATTGTGAGATACCAGATTGATTGTTTGAGAGGATAGTCCCGGGCAAATGCCAGGCAATTGTCGATGTAAAATCCCCAGGTGATTGGATTTTCTACGGTAGACGTGTAGTTGTAAATTAGCATATTTTCTCCGCGTCTGTCTGGGTGCGTAGCGACGTCCCAAGCACTTGCTAGAATTGCATTCACTGTGTAATCAACAGGTACCATGTTTGCATAAATATCGCGATTAATGCGAATGCTACGCAAGAATCCAACGGCTGCTGCTGCTATTACTCCCGTCGGTCCGTAGTAATTGTCAATCCATCCAGGCAGCGGGTCATCAGCGCAAGATATTACTGAAATTTATTAAAATTACATTAAAATTAAATCAACAATTTTACATAAATTTAATACTTTAATTTAGGCTGCAAAATTATCTATCATCTGTTTCAGGAAAAAGAATGTCTACAGATCTATTGAGCATGTCAAAGGTACCACGTTCTTTTAAAATTTTTTTGACACTTTCTCGCTTAACTTCTGAAGAATCAGTCAGAGAGTTTTGTAAGGTTCGTATTTTTTCAGTCACGGAGCTGTCAGTTGAAGTTAAAGAAACAACACTCATAGCTTCTTCCATCAACAAGTTTTCTTCAATATCATACTCGGGGTACATAGTCTCCGTGGGGTTAAATATCGAAGACTCGGATCTTATGACGAATCCTATCGGCTGGCAAACTGTGTAAATAATCGCGCAGAAAAAGAGAATCGCTTTCGCGAGGATGTTCAAGGCAAAGAGCCCGAATGTTAGTACTATTTGGTAGACTACTGTTATTATTCCGGACACTAAGTACATTGCTATTGCCAAACACATTTTTTTAGTGTTTGAATATTCACTAATAATTTAGCATCGTAAAGGTTATTTTTATTTATTTTCTATTTTTTTTTTTTTTTTTTTTTTTTTAATAAAATGATACTGAAGTTAGCTGTCAGCTGTCAATTTCGGCTGTCCAATTTTAAAACACAGTAACTGCAAAATTTTTATACCTGATTTTTTTTAGTATTTTGCTGCATTTCTTTTAACTTTTAAATCTCAATTTCAAGTATTTTTTCTTAAAAATATTTATATTCAAATATTTATGACAATAAAGCTAGCCGACATCTGAAAATTTTAAGAATTTTTTTTATTGAAAAAATTATTATAAAAAAATTTTTAAAAAATGTCATTTGTAAAAAACTTGAAAAACTGTAAGTGCAATTTTTAAAAAATATTTTTTTGTTCTAATTTTATTATTGAAAAAAATTCAAAAAACTGAAAATGTCAGCTAACTTGATTATTATAAATATTTTCGAATTATAAATCAAATTTTTTAGCAATTTAGCGTGCAAACTTTTTTTTAATAAGAAAAATTTTAAAAAATGTTAAAATTGTCAGTTACTGTGTTTTGAAATTTGGCAGACGATTTAAATAGTATATTACATACCTAAGGAAGTAAATGAAAATTAAATTAGCCGGCATTCAAGATTTTTTAGAATTTTTTTTTATTGCAAAAAATTAACGAAATTAAAGTTAGCAGTCACTTAAAAATTTTTTAATTTTATTGAACAAAAAAATTTGTTCCAAATAATTATTTTTGAAAAATTGCATTTTTAAAATTTTTTTAATTATTTTTTTTTGCCATAATTTATTTGTTATGAAATTCTTAAAAATATGCTAAATTAATTTTCATGAAAAATTATTTTAAAAAAATCAAAAAAAAATTTCATTTGTAAAAAACTTGAAAAACTAGAAGTATAATTTTAAAAAAATACTTTTTTATTCTAATTTTTTCAATAAAAAAAAAATCAAAAAATTAAAAACGTCAGCTAACTTTATTATTATTATGGGAAGTAAAGTAAGAAATATCTCAGATTACATGTAATATCTTTCTTATTAGAGGCTTTCTTATTTACTTCCCGAGGAGTGTATACTTTTTTTTCTCGACGGAGGCGGAAAAAGCGGCAACTTCGTTTAGCGCAGCGGAGCTAAAGTTAACGCTTTACGCCCGGAGGGGAAAAAAAAATTTCTCTAATAATTTTTATTAATTTTCACACGAGGAATTTTTTTATTAAATTTTTTTTATAATAATATAATCACTATAAAATTATAAAAAAATTTCAAACATCTGTTAGTATCATTAAAATAAAATATACAGATTAGGTTTTAATTGTTTAACACTTACTTATTGATGGGCGAAATATTCCAATTGGTAAATCTTGTGATTTTTCACGAACAACACTTTCTGCAAGTGCTTTTGTGTATGTGTAAGTATTAGGCCACTTTTCTAAAAGACTGAAATATAATTTATTTTATTAAGTAAGTAATCAAAAGTATAACTTGTTCTTCTTTTTAGGTAATCAATTTCATAATAGACGTTATTATGAATATTCAATTAGAAGAAAATTTGGATTTAAATAATTCTCATTTGAATTATCTAAAACTTATAATTTATTTACCTGGGTAATACTGCGTTAATAGTTTCATCTGGTAGACTATCGACGATAACTCGTAAATCTTCATACTTTAAAGGATGAGGATAGAATTGTTCATCGATAGTATCAAGATGACAATTAGCATAGGCTGTTGACACATGAATCATCGCCTTGAAATAAAAAAAAATATTTAACTTTTTTAATAATCTTGCTATTAGCTAGGTAGGTATTGAATCATCTTTTAAAAGTTTATTGACATCTACGGTAAATATTTAAATTTTTAAAAATTATGAATCCTATACTCGTAGTTAAATCTACAAATATTCATAAGAAGTTATATGAATTTTATTTTTCAGGGCCACGGTCCGCGGTGACAACAAACAACTAATTACTATGCTCAACGTACTGAACACGATAATTTATAATTTATATTGTACTTTTACGAAGGGGATGACGCAGGTAAAAAAGAACCTGGAAATAATTAACACCTTTGATTATTTTTAAAAATTACCATCTTCAAGGTGAAGGCAAACATATCATGTCACAGTTAAAGATTGTGCAAATATTTCATTACACTTATTCACTATTTTGAATAATTATTTTCTAGTAATTTGTATTTAAAATTTTTTGTTTTACTTTTTAATTAATTCTACGAATTTACAAATGTTAGAAAAAACTTGACGTAAGTTTCTTAATTTAATTCTTTAATTCAAACAATTGATTTTACGGATAAAATAATTTTTTCATTGTCTTTTTTTACCAGCTCTCACTTTTACATTACGTACATATATATATATATATAAACATGTATCGTTTTATATTCGTGATGAAATTACGTATGTATTTAGTTGATGCGGTCATCGGTTGTTATAATATGAGAGAAATTTGGGTACTACGTGTTCCCGATTAACGGGGGTTGATTATGAAATCCTATTACGTTCAAATATTCTTATAATGCAATCTTTTAATTAAAAAGAAATTATTTAATAAAGAGAAAATAATTTTTTACCTTTAGATTTTTAATTTCTTTACACAAATTGATAACACTCAGAGTACCTCCGGCATTGATAGTTGTTGCAACTTTAAGTTTTTCTTCAAATTTAACGGTGGCAGCATTATGAAATACAACAGAAACTTCTTCGATTATTTTCTTTCGATCCTCTAATGTCAGTCCTAAATCAGGAAATGAACAATCACCAGGTATAGCAACTATTTTATGACGTAATTTCGGTGAGTTATTTTTCAAATCTTCAAAAATCTGTAAATTACATGAATAAATTACAATAAATCATAGTTATAAAAATTAAAAATAAAAAAATATTTATTTGTATGATATTTACAGGTTCGTTAAAAATATCTTCAATTCTATCAATAATGTTACTCTTTTTTTTAGGTCGCATCAATATATAAATAGTTGATACTTCCGGACAAATTCTTAGCAATTTCTCAATCATAGTTTTGCCGAGAAAGCCAGAGGCTCCTGAAAAATATATTTTATTTTATTAAATATTTTAAAAATTATTGTGTATATTTACGTATGGATATTTAAACCTATAGAGTGAAAGTATTCAATGATTTCTCATCATAATCGCAACAATATCTATTTTATTATCTTCATAGTCATAATAATAATTATTACTATTATCTAACAATAACCTGTTATGAAGATATTTCGACCGGCATAAAAATCTTGAATCGGAGTCCTCGTTATAACTTGCTCCGTATTTATTCTATTTAAAATATTATTATTATTTTCATTAATGTTTATGTCATTTTCATAAACATTTATCTCCTGAAACATAAAAAAAAATTCCTAAGTAATATATATAATAAATAAATACACATATTACTAAATTTACATAACAAATTACAACAAATTATTAAATATCCAAGAGAGGTTTCTCTTATTTTATCAATACGGAAGAAATTTTACTTTTTTATTAATGTATATATATATATATATATATTTTTTTTCTAGACTTTTAATAATACTCAGTCATACTTTTATTTGTAACACTGGTTAGAGACAAAAAATATATGACCTCAATTGTACTTGGATGCATCGGAATGTGCGACGTGAGTAAATTTATTGTTAGCTATGTCATAATTTATTATTTAAAACAATTATTGATGAATAATTAATTAATTAATATATATTTTGCAATGTAATTTAATTTCAACAGATGAAGAAATAAAAATAGGACTAACCTTATTCCCGTAACCGGGTACTTGATTTTCCAGGAGCATGGCGCTAAATCACTTGGGCACTACTAATTTAAGAAGAAATAAAATTACAAGCGCATGAAGTTAAAAATATATTAAAAAAATGAGCATTCGTCGATTGTGAGGCACAAGAGAGAGTTACTCTCCCTTTCAAGTAATTTATTTGATAAAAAGTGAGTTTAAGTAATGAATAATGTTACTAAAAGCACTGTTTGAGGATTACTGTGAATGAAAGGCCGTGGGCCATGGACGGGAATTAGAAACAGACTGGTACCAGGATAAAGTTTCTTCTACCACTGTGCTCGATTGCCGTGAATCCAAAGACTCGACTCAAAATTCGAACGTAAAGCCGATGGAGTAGTAGGTGTCCCCCGACAATCACCTCCAATATAACTGGGACTCTCCTTGCACCTGACTCGTCGACTTTGACAAAGTATTGCTACTCTATCAATAACATTTAAATATTGTTACCACCACAATTATATTTTTTATACTACATTGTCGCGTTAATCAAACCTCACCATTACCACGAGATTTATTTTTAAAAGAAGATATGAGGATCTTCAGAACACCCACGACTCCGCTCCCTTGTTTGACCACTTAAATGAACAAAGTTTTATTTTACTGTATTAAATCTCATGAATACCGACAACTTGTCGTGAGTATTTATTTTATTATGGGTCAATTAGTAACGTTAAATATTTTAACATTATTTTATTTACTTTCAACCTTACCTACATTAAGTTTAAATATTTATTAATTACTTACTAAATAAATTAATTTAATTAAAACCTACATTCATGTCATTTTTCAGATAATTTTTGGACGTGTTCATTTATTTTATTGCGGGGCAATTATTACACAAAAAAAAAAAAAAAAAAAAAAAAATTTACTTGAAGTAAATGAATTTGAAGAACTTTGTCTTCTTAATTTGAGTAGAAAAATTTTTAAATTAAGAAATTTTTCTTGGTTTAAATAAATTTTACTTAATTCAAAAATTTTTCTCTTAATTCAAATTAATTTTTTTTTCAATGTAATAAAAATATTGATTGAATAGAATTAAAAATGATGAAATTCGAATTCTTTTCAATAATTTCAATTCTTTTGTTAGTATATACAGATATACAGTTTGTATAGAGTGGCCGCTTTTCAATTCTTTTCAATCAATATTTTTTTAGTCAGGGATGTTAAGTATTTTTAAATTATTTTATTTGCTTTTAATTTTATCCACATGAAGTTTAATTATTTATTAATTGCTTAATGAATAATTTAATTCAATTAAAACTAACATAAATGTCATTTTTCAGATAATTTTTTAACATATTAATTTATTGCAACAGATAGAAACAAAAATCATGATCAACATTCTTATCACTTGTCAAATAAAATTATTTTTCTGCCCTCCGGCCGGAAAGTGGCAACTTTCTGGCCGCTGCGCTAAACAAAGTTGCCACATTCCGGCTACGTCGAGCAGAAAAATAGTATACACACCTTGGCCAGTAAAAAGTAAAGCCTCAGACCACATGTTTGTCAACCTCGGCTTCGCCTCGGTCAACAATTACATGTGGTCTGAGACTTTTCTTATTTTACTGGCCTAGGTATGTAATATACTATTATTACAAGTTAATTTATTAAAAAAAAAAAAAAAAGTTTTAAATAAAAATTTAAGAGCTGAAGAAAAGAACCTTGAACGTGAAAAAAAAGGATACTTTAATCAATGGAATTTCTTAATCCGCCAGTCAGATCTATACATCAGCAGTTTTATTTGTATGAGTAGAGAGTTTACCCTGAATGACAATAAGAAATCTTACGCCACGTGTTAGATCACGATGACATGGTTCTCCTTATATTATATATCAACGATATCAAGACCGTGGTTTGCATTATATCTCAGCGAGTGTGCAGCAACAGTATTATTTTTTATTACATTTGTTTATACTGATAGTACTCCGTTTGGCGGGCATCAAATATTATTATGGAGTGCTACTCAACAACATAATAACGTACGGCCTAAATTTATAATGATTGCGCAAGAAATACACAAAATAACATAACAGTGAGGCTCTGGTCAGCCCATACTCTGCCCGGTGGTGGTGAATATCTTATGTTATACAATATTATATGAGCTGAGAAGAAAGAAAGAAAGACAAGTAAAGACGAGGCGACATTAACTGATGTAACACGGCATAACCAACAGAGTATGGCCTAGAGAGGCGGATCCATAGATGTTTGGATATTATTTCGCAATGTGAAAGTTTAAAACGATCTCTGCAAGAAACGCACCAACTCTCTTCTCACTCTCCTTTATGTATTTTCTTTTAAACCATTACATTATAAGGCCCTTATTATACATCATTCGCTTCTTTATTTTTTTTTTATACTTACTCCTGAAATTATTATTATTAAATTATCATTAATATTTTTTTAAAATATTATATTGATAAATGTTTTAATAATTTAATTTTATAGAATTTGATCTAAATTTTTTATCAATTTTTTTTTATTACTATATTTATAAAATAATGAATTATTAATATAAAATATAGAAAAAATTTTTTTATAAAAAATATTTAATGTTTTGTTAGAATTTAATATTATTTTTTTATTTGCTCATTTCTTCTCAAGAATAGTAACATGAATTGGTGATTGATTGTATGAAAATAATTAATATTTAGTTACAATTTAAAATTCTATGACTTTCTCTATTTCAAAACTCGAGGCATAATATTTAGGAAATATATATAAATAATATTATGATATTCTTTGATACTCTGAGTACTGTTGTATTCAAAAGACTCTTTGTATCTTAGTGAATAAATTTAATAGTTAAGGTTTAATATTTCTAAGAATACGAAAAAACTTTCTCTGTTCTGTAAAAATTTTTTGACCATCAAACTCCTATCTGGGAGTTTCCTAATAGTCTTCGCTAGATACATGTTTATTCATTTATTTTACTAAAATACCTAGAGATAATTTATATCAGGTTCTTTTAAGTAATCGGGTTTTGTTGGGTGATAAATTTAAAGAACAATTTTTATTGCTCAGGCAGTTTTATCGTCTTCAAAGAAACCCTGATTTGCTTGCAGTGAGTACAGTTGTTATTTTATAAGCTTAAATGTGCAATACTGATTGTTTAAACGGCTGTTGATAAATCAGTATCTTGCTTACTTGGTAACTGGTTCAATTAAAATTTATAATAATTTTTTACAGTTAGAATTTTATTTCTTCTTACAGGGTAGATTTTTAAAGCCGATAAAACATCAGGTGATTTCTTGACGACTTAAAAGTTTCAAACCTTCCAAGAAATCTCGATCTCTAAAATAGATCTTAGATCTAAATTAGATAAAATATTTAAAAAAATTACTTAAGTTTTTAAAATGAATTTTTTTAAATAAATAATTTAACAATAAAAAATTATTTATTGCAAAAGTATAAAATAAAAAAATTATTTCAATGGTATATTATAAAAATAATTATTATCTTTATACTATTAAATGTTTTTTTTTTATTAAAATAATTCTTCAATTGAGACAATTTAATTCTACAGTTAAAATATATTTAATCACGCGATAAGCTCTTAGATCGTAATATCTAATAAATTAAAAATTACAACTGTTGGAAGTAATTGATAATTTAAAAAAAAATATTTAATATATAAATAAACAAATATACAAATTTCAGGTATAGTTATACAAAACTTAAAACTAATTAGTTGAAAAAAATAAGCGAGTATTAAAAAAAATATAATAAAATTTACAGTAAAATAATTATATAGTATTAGAGGTATAAAAAGTATAAGCGTTTAAAATATTTCAACGTAAATAATTTTTACTAGGTTATTACTATTTCTAATTTATCTAATTATCAAAGATTTAAATTGTTGAATGAGCCTTCGGTACATTAGCCTAGTTTTTTTTACAATCATCTTCATTCTACTCATAAGTATACATATATAAACATAAATAAAAACTAATACCTCACCATAAAAGTTAGTAAATTCCACAGGAATTTAATTATCAGGTAAAAAATAACTAATTTAACAAATTGGTGCATCCAGTACAGCCTTTGCCACTTAATTCTCGCTTGCGGTAGCGTGTCAAGTGGGTCTTTAATCAGATAAACTCTAATTCCTACTAGATAAGTTTTGAAATACTCATTCCAGTCGAGCTCTTTAATGTCACAGAAGAACAAATCCTTGTCCCTAGGATCGAGCCTGTTGACCAAGGAATTTAAGCGCTCGTTGGTAAAACTCCACTGCTGGGTGGAGAAATAATTAAGCACATTCATGAAACGGTGAATTTTCTTGTAGACCTTCAGGAGTCGAGGACGTTTGCCCATGCAAAGCGTCGCTGCGTCAACCAGCAGTGCCGGAAGTAAATGAAGAAAGTAAATGTAAAACAAGTGAACAATTTTGTACTTATTGTTCGTGAACCCGTAGTACCAGATAGCTCTCATTGTCGGATAATTAACTCCGTACTTAGCGGACATGTCTTTCAGCTGGTTGTAGGAGATAGCGTTGTCCTGAGAGACGTAATTGTAAACAGGGATCGTTTGTTCCGACTTCTGATGGTTATATTCTTCCATTACGTCATACGCAGAAGCTATCAGTGCATTGACAACCATGTCTCCGGGCACTACGTTTGCATGGACAGATCCGTCGCAGTGAAGAGAACGCAATAGACCTGTTCCAGCGCCAGCTGCAACACCCGTTGGCCCATAAAAGTTGTCGATCCATCCTTTTATGGGCTCCAGATATGTTGAAATTACAATTGCGGGTCTGAATATTCCGATAGGCAAGCCTACAGCTTCTTTTTCCACCACATTCTCGGCAATTGCTTTTGTGTATGCGTATGTATTTGGCCAGCGGCCTAACAAGCTAAAAAAAAAAAAATAACAATTATATACATTAATTTTGTCTTAGTTTATTGGACAATTAACATAGAAGCTGGACAGGCAGAAAAATCATAATATGTTGTAATTAATTCAAATTAAAAATCATAATATGTTGAAATTAATTTGTAAGGAAAAAATGTTTATGTCTCTTAATATTTAAAAGTATATATAAAAATACTAATATTAATATTTTTGTAAAATACATAACTGTGATACAAATAAAACTCTATCTATCTATCTATCTACATTAATTGTCTATTTTTTTTATGATAAAGATATCGAAGTCCGCTAATTACAATAAAAAAATACTTCAGAAATTTCCACTAATAATATTTTTGTTATTACGCGCGGAGAATTTTTTTATTAAATTTTTTTTACATTTTAATTGCTATAAAACTATAAAAAATTTGTAATATCTTTCATGAATATTTAAATGTGATTAGATTACGATGAAAAGAGCAAGTATCAGAAAAAAAAAAAAAAATGACGTTTAAAGTTATGGAAGAATCCTTTGAATAAATTTTGTTAAAAATTATTCATAAATATTTATTTGAAAGTAAACAAACTGACGGATGTCTGCTACTTTTAGTGTAATAATTAAATTAACACTTACTGTGGAGTCAATTTATCGGCGATATTATTGTCGACACAATTCATCAGACTGACCAGTTTGTCTGCGTCAATGGGAGGTGTGTATAATTTTTCTTCTATTTTTTTCTCGGTACAATAAGCGTAAGCAGTGGAAACGTGGACAAAGGACTAAAATTGCATCAAATTAGTTATTTATAAATTGTTTATGTTAATGAGTAAGTTTACGAGCGAGGATTAATTATTATTAATTATAAAGTTACCTTGAGCTTAGACATCTTTTTACTGAGACTAATCATGTCCCGCAGGCTCTGAATATTAATTGATACGGCAAGTTTTATTTTTTCATCAAAGCTCAGCGTTGCTGCGACATGAAAAACTATTGATACATGATTTATCAGAGTAATCCGATCGGTTTCTGATATTCCAAGATTTGGAACACTGCAGTCGCCTTCTATTGCGACTATTTTGTGGCGAAATTTTGGTTGTTCTTCTTTTAATCTTTCGAACAACTGAAACGGTGAATAATAAAATTAATTTTATTCAATTATTATTATTATTACAATTATATTTTTTATATAAAATTAAAGTTAAATTTTTTTAACAAATAAATTTGTTCCGAAAAATTATTTTTGGATTTTTAATTTTTTTTAATTTCTACGTTAATTTTTTTTTTTTTGCGATAATTTATTTGTTACAAAAATTATTAAAAATTATCAAATATCTGTAAAATTAATTATGACATTCAAGTTAGTAATCACTTTAAGATTTTTTAATTTTATTTGGCAAAAAAATATTTTCAAAAAAATTATTTTTTTAATTTTTAAAAATTTTTACATGTCAATTTTTTTGCTAACTTTTTTTTGTTATAATTTATTTATTAAAAAAAATTAATTATCAAACATCTACTAAATTAATTTTCGTATTTTTTATAGTTACCGGATCATCAAAGAGTTCTTCAGCGCGTTCATAAGTACTCTTCCCCTTTTTTGGACGAACCAGCAGATAGATGACCGAGAGATTGGAGCAACTTCTCAATAATTTTTCAATGATCAATTTTCCTAAAAATCCCGTGCCACCAGTGATAAAAATACTCTGGCCAGCATAAAACTCCTGGATAGGAGTCAAATTGATGTCCAATTGTGATATTTGTGGCGAGCATTCCGTAGGCGTACCGGCGCGTGATCCATTATCAGCCACCGCAACTTCTTGGCCTCCTGATTCCAGGAGTGCTTCAACCATTTTTGTTTAATCTGTAAGCAAACAACAGAAGAACTGATTAATGTACACTGTACTTGTACAAAGATTCTATTTTATTCGTGGTTCGTATAAGGAAAAGCTCTTTAGTCTCCGTAGCACGTAGCCATCGCGAATATTTCTATATCCTGATCATGAAATTGTGGGCGTGACAGCTTAAATATCAATGACTAAATTTTATTATTCTCTCAAATTCTCAGAGTCGAAAAATAAAATCACTTTTGCGATTTGAGATCAAACTTTATCTGCGTAATAAATTTCTTCTTTTTATTTTTTACACATTTTTTACGCATAATTTTTATTCAAAGCACTGTCAATAAACATTTGTGGCTAGTAAAAACTACAATCACAAAAAATAACTTTGTTTAAACGTTAACGGATCTATGAACTGTTAAATTTAAATGCTGGCTTTTAAATCTAGTGAAAGTTGACAATGAACTTGATTTTATTTTATTTTATTCATTGTCTTCAATATTATTATTTTAAATATTTGTTACAGATAAAATTGAAAGATCAAGACAAGTGAGTTGAATAAAATTTTATTAATAAATAAATAAATAAAAAAGTCAGTGCAATGGAATTTAAATAATTTCTACGGCTTTCTCTATTTACCATCGATGCGGTAACACCTGTACTCGTATCAACACATATAATTATCATTATATACTATCAATCTTTCTTCAATTATTATTTACAAAAAAAAATAAATAAATAAGATATTACTCGCATATGATTTAAGTTAAAAAATAAACAAATTGGCAAAGACTTTCTCTTTCTCGAGTGTGTGAATGAAAGTATGTGCATATATATTTACCTTAAAAAAAGTAAGAATGATCTTTGATACTTTAACAGTATTTAATTATTTTTATTTTTTTATTCCACAACCTATGACAAGGGCCTGGATGTCATTAAATTAGGATAATAATAATAATAATAATAATAATAATATGTGATGCAAGAAATAATAATGTATTTACATTCTCTGATTACCGAGTGTCACACGGTAAAAGGTTCCTTCTTTTGATTCATTACGACTACAACACGGAAGAAACTAACGAGTTACGCAAACGAGCAAGTATTATAAGTAAAGTTGTTTTAAAAAGGGGCCAAGAAAGGACACCCAACTGGACAATTTACTGGTTGGTCATTACATTAGATTCCTTCAAGAGTAATTACTTCTTAATCACAGTTATTTTATTTCTTCCTGCTAAAGTTCATCCTCAGCTTTAGACTAATCATTTCCTATTTAAATGAAAAATCTTTAAGGTATTTATTAAATATATGTATTTAAGTGTCAATGACTCTTTGACGTAATGGAAAAATTAGTTCAATGTAATTATTTTACCTTTTTATAAGTTATTTTAATAAGCCGGATTTTACGGACTTATGCAACCCAGGAAGCTCGTTTTAAAATATTAATTACAGTCTCAGTTTCAATCAATAACTTTCAATAAAATATATTTATTACTCTGAAAAATTATACCGAAAGTTGCAAAATTATTTTTTATCACCAGCAATAAAATATAAATACCAAATAAATAAATAAAAGGTGTTACAAAATAATCAGTCAAACAAATGGTATAAATTATTCAATTATGCGTTTATTTGTACTGATCATCTTCACCTTTATCTTCGCTACCTTCACTTAGATTATTTGCTATTGTTAATCATCCATTAATTTCTTAGAAAAAAAATACAAGATAAATAAAACCATCTTTTAAAAATTTTAATATTATGTCTAACTAAATATTTTTTGCATTTACTGATTAAAAAATTCCATCATTAATTACCATTATTTTTATTAGTATTTACTATTAATATTTATGGGTCATAAATAACAGTTTGTTATTAAATATAAATGATTGATTGATTATAGAATTATCCTTCGGTGTCAAGTTAAAAAATTATTTTGTTAAATGTTGCAAGAATTACTATTTACTGAGCATTGCAGTCAAAAAACAAATACTTATCTTACTAATACATTAAATATATATATATACTCAGGTGTTTGTCAGTTAATTAAACAATGTCAGTGCCATCAGCTTCTTGAAATAATTAAACGAGTTGAAGAAATCAGATATTAATCTTCTTGGTAAAAAATATTACTAAAATTAAAATAATTGTGTTTTATAGACAATTTATAATTTAAAATAATAGTAAATGGTTGGTAACTTGATAAATAATGCAGTCGGTGTAACCACACAAATATGTAAGAAGTTAAGCAATGGACATTAGATATCACTAGATTGTACACTAAGAAATTTAAACGAGTTACCAAATAAATGCAATTCATTCAAGGTTCTCTATTGAATACTATTGAATAAATTTTAGCTTACAATAACAAAGGGTATGTTTTGTTAACGTATCTTCATTAATTTATATTTCTTCCAACAGACAATAGACCTGTCAAATTATTTTTTCGGGTGAATAACTATCCGAACTTTGGTCTTGTTTTGTAATATTTTGTTATTTTAAACATTGAATTACAGGAAAAAAAAGTAATTGAAGATTTTGAGGTGACTCTGCGGTGAAGATTAAGTATATATTATTTAACTTGTAAATTTCTTAAATTATCCAGTAAGTGAACTGAATTAAAGAGAAAATAAAACTTTGATAAGTTTGTTTAAATATCTGAAAAAAAAAAAAAGAAGGTGTTTATAAAAATTATTTAGAACAGTGGAAACTTTTAAAATATTTTTTAAGAAAAAATTATAACAATAAATAAAAATAGTAACAAATAGAATAATTACTTTTAAATGATTAGGTTTCACTCACCTTATTTATATACTCGTGCCAAAAAAACGCTAAAGCCTGAATACACTTTAATTTTTTTACTTTCTCCAAGGTTCTTGTCACTCACCTTTTAAATAAATTTATCAAAATTATTTAAAATATTTAGAATAATATATTAATATATATTAAAAAAAAAAAAGTTTGTAAATATAACTGACGGGTTTACTAACAAAAGTTGCACTTTTTTTTTTTGGGTCCCGTGGGCTGACAGTCAAACCAAAGATCAAGAAACTGATAAAAAAGAAGAAAAATAGTAAAGAAGAAATATAAAAATTAACAAAAGCAATAACTTTCTCAAAGAAGTATATGTCGTGACTCGAGATACGAACAACGGAGAGGTCAATCACGTTGTGTTTTAAAATTTCACTTCTTCTCTTTTATGTGGCTGCCAAAGCCCCTCTAGCTGCAGCTGCAGCTTCGAGTCTGATTGGTCTTTTTAAATCACCGCGAGAAAGTTTTCAAATTCGCGCCATCTGTAAGTAAGCCTTAAGCCATAAAGCCGGCAGTTGGTCAGAAAGAATTAAACTTTTTCTAGCTTAGTTACGGGCGATAAAGAGCCCGGAGGAGAGAGAAACAAAATAAGTGAAAAAAAAAATGGGAGTGCTAAATTGATTTTTAAAATCCATGCAAATAGTATAGTTGTTTAATAAACAAAAAGTTTTGTTTCGAAGAAACAAATAAAAAATGGATATTGATACGGCGAGTGACAATACGTCTATTGACGACAAAACCGAAGATTTTTGTGATAACCCGACAAGAGATGCCTTGACAGAAGGGCTCATGAGTCTACTGAAGCCTACTGTTGATCAGCTGGATGAACGAATCCGTGCAACGAGGTAACCAAACATTTTTATTGCTACTAATTTTATTTTATGACATTAAAATTAGCAATTGCTTGACAATTTTTTTAATAAATAAATTTGCTCCGGAAAATAATTTCTAAAAAATTGGATTTTTTATTTTTCTAATTTTCTAAATGTCAATTTTTTTTCTCATTTTCTTTAACATAATTTATTTGTTAAAAAAATTATAAAATATATGCTAAATTAATTTTCATATTTATTTTTTAGAATTAGTCAGATAGAATTAAAGCAGCAGATTGAGTCATTGACTGAAGAGCTGGTGAAAATCTCCGAGTACCTGCAGTGTCCCTTCGAACTGGACAGTTATGTCAAGAAGTTGGTGAACGCCAAGCAACGTGTCACTGTTGTGAGTAATATTTTGCAAACAACTCAGGAAAGGCTGAATAAAGTCCACGACGCAGTGGAAAAAGACACTGCTAAGAGGAAAGCTCTGCTAGATCACAGTCTTATTTATTCAACAGAGGTTAAAAGTGACCAGAAGGATGCTGATAATTCTACAGTAGATCAAGAAGCTCATCAGAAAAATCAGGATCCAGATTCTAAGGATTCTCCAGGTGAAACGTCAGAACAGTAAGAGTTAACCTTACTGTAAGCTGTCAACTCGGAACAAGTAAGATGGAAACTGCTATTACAGATTTAAATAATTTTGAGGATGTTTACGAGCCCTCTGAAGATTCATTCCTCCTGATAGATAGCTTAGAGTCCGATTTATCCGAATTAAAGAAGCTAAAACCATCAATTTGTTTGGAAATTGGCAGTGGATCTGGTGTTGTGATAAATTCATTAGCGTTAGCATGTAAAAATAAATGGCCTGGATTTTTTATAGCTGTTGATATTAACCCATCAGCTTGTAGAGCTACCAAAAATACTAGTTTTATCAATAATAATAATAGTAATTATCTAGATGTAATTCAGATGGATTTAGTAACAGCCTTGAGGATGCTAAGTCAGTTTGATGTTGTAATATTCAATCCTCCTTACGTACCAACGGAAACCAGTGAAATAGGTGATTCTAATTTGATAACACGCGCCTGGGCAGGTGGTAACAAAGGAAGAGAAGTTATGGATCAACTATTTCCGTTTATTCCCAAGTTACTGGCACCTGGAGGACTATTTTATTGCGTCACCGTTAAGGAAAACGACATTTCTGATATTATAGAATTATTTCGAGGAATGAAAATGCAGGGTCAAGTTATTTCTGATAGGAAAGTACGAGGAGAGCATCTTCATATTTTACGATTTGTTAAACCAGCTGTTTAATTAATTAACTTAATTGTTGAGTATCTTACACATTTTATTGTACATAAAAAATAATTGTAATTTAAAACAATAGAAATTTAAATTTCTAGACTAAAATATCTATCGTGATGAGCATGAATGATTATGATAACTTTTATTTTTAAAAAATCATTTTTGTTTGATTTTTTAAAAAATGCCTTCAGATTGATTTTATGTTCAATAAATTTTTCCTCTCACGAGGCAATATATGTATAATGATAATTGATAATAATACAATTAATAATAATGTAATAATATTAACTAATAATAATAATGATAATGATAAAACATGTACATGTGATTGTTTTGTACATCACTAGAATAAAATACCAAGTAATTAATAATAAAATAATAACTCTAGTACATATATCATAAAAAAATCAGGCACAGTAAAAAAAGAATAAACATCTTATAATTTTTTAATTTATAAATTAAAAGATGTTCAATGATGATTAAGACCTTGGGGAAGATCATACGATTTTTCTCTTGCAATTCTTTGGGTTTTAGTGTAAAGAATTATGGTGCTCATCGTCGAGGCGACGAGTATTCCGACCATCACAGAGAAAGAACCGTAGAACCCGCTGTAGCTCATGCAAACACTTCTTGTCAAGCTAATTTCGTTAATTGCCGTATTTTCTAGGTTCTCGAGAGATTGACTGGAGGCAAGACTCAAGTCATCTGGCATTATTACCCTGAAGCCTCGGCCCATACGAATTGGGTCCGATAGAGCGCCAGATGAGTTGGTTGGAGCGTATGAGACATCTCTTCTTCGTCTGCCCGGTTCAATTTGCTGCAATAATTTTTTATATTTAGTTTAGTAAAAAATTAATGAAATTTACGGCTGCCCAATTTCAAAACACAGTAACTAACATTTAGAAATTTAAAAAAATTTTTCTTATTAAAAAAAAGTTTGCCTGGAAAATTGATGAAAAATTTGATTTATGAATAGAAAATACTTGAATATAAATATTAAAAAAAAAAAATACTTGAAATTAAGATCTAAAAGTTATAAAAAATGCAGCAATATTAAAAAAAAAAAAAATTAGGTAAAAAAATTTTGGATTTACTGTGTTTTAAAATTAGGCAGCCGTTTATCATTAAAAAAAAAATTATTTAGAAAAGATTTTAACCTGGTTTTCATCTGGACACGCTTCGCAATTAGTCTTGCAGAGTTCAACGTTGCATTCAATAAAAAGGTCCATAACATCTGGGAATTTAAATGCTTGGAAGAAGGCATAAGCTATTATTGATGCACCAGTATTGCCTGTTTCGCGAGTCTTTTGGAATGCGCCGAAGAGTTTCGGCTTGAGAATACAGCCACGTTCATCAGTGAGCTGCACGATATTCAATGATGGCTCATCGCGTGCAATGCAGTCACGAACCTGAAATAAGAGCCATTATTCCAATTATACAATTACATGCTTGTGCTTATAAATACGAATATGATGGGCTTAAACTTTATCTTGATCTCAATATTTGCTATCTAGGTCTATAATTTATTCTTATGATTAATGTATCGTAGCTTGATGATAATAATAATGGATGTGGATTGATATACCTGAAGATCAAAGCCTGGATCCCCTTCAACGGATACCACCAGAGTCATGGGTTCACCGATTTTAACTAAACCAGTAGCAGCCGGAGCGAAAGGCCCCTTTCCAACTTGTATATCCAGCTTCGCGGTAGCAGTATCTCCGCTGAAGGTCACGATTTCTTGGTTTAACATGTCGACAGACAAGCTAACTGTCAGCGCTTTGTTGATGTTTCCTTCCCAGAGACAACGTACACGTCGGACCGTGTCCCACACTTCTTGGATACCTGGTTCATTTTGGAGAACCAGTACATTTTCGAGGTAAGCTTGACCTGCTTCGCCCTCGAAGTCGTTTATGAATTCTGTTCCACAAGAGTCTAAGTTCACAGTGAACGAGTATTTGGTTTGTCCTGAGTTTTCCGCGACGTAGCGGCACTCGGGCATCATGTAGAATCCCTGAAATTAATTTTTAATTGAGTCAATTTTTACATAAAAAATATTTAGTATTTAAAATTTACCTTGGAGTAAATTACTCCGTCGAATTGTCGGTTGAATTCAATGTCGATGGTCATCATGGTCTTGCTGCACTGAACTTGGAGCTCGTGAATGTGAGGAGGATGTTTAAGGTCATCGTCATCGCCGGGAGGAGACACATTGTTGTCGCCTGGTGAACCACCTGCGGTATCTTTATCACCTCCACCGGGTGTAGGCGATGGTGAACCGGGAGTTGGTGAAGGTCCGGGTGAAGGACGGCCTGGTGTAGGTGAAGGACGGCCTGGTGTAGGTGAAGGACGACCTGGTGTTGGAGTTCCGCCAGGAGTACTTCCTGGACCAGTTGGTGAGCTACCAGGTCCAGTTGGACCAGTTGGGTATCCTGGACCTGTAGGACCACTTCCAGGTGTTGGAAAACTAGGGTAAGGTGAAGGACTTGGCGAAGGATATCCATAAGAATCTGTTGGAGTTCCAGGACTTGGTGATGGATATCCTGGACTTGGTGAAGGGTATCCTGGAGAAGGTGAAGGGTATCCTGGAGAAGGTGAAGGGTATCCTGGAGAAGGTGATGGATATCCTGGACTTGGTGATGGGTAACCTGGAGAAGGTGTAGGGAATCCTGGAGTAGGAGACGGTGAAGACGGATATCCTGAACTAGGATAGCCACCACTGGATGAAGGATATCCGTATGTCGGGGACGGAGGCTGAAAAGTCGTAGAACTTCCTGGAAATCCAGAACTTCCAGTGAAAGGTCTTGCAGGGCTAGTCGGGAACGACGAAGGACTGTAACCCGGTGAAGAAGGCTGTCTTGTAGAAGTAGGTATGTACGTCGGTCTCGGAGTCGAGCCGTAGCTCAAAGGCGGTGGATTTGAGAATCCGCTTCCTATTCCTGGAGACGGCTGGAGTCCTGGATAACTAGTCACCTCGTTCAAACTCGGAGATTGTGATGGAAAAGGTGGTGACGGAGATGGTGATGGAGCAGGCTGGAATGGTCTTGGTCTCTCCAGCGGGCGTTGATCATTATACGGTGGTAAATATCCATTACCGTCTTGTCTTGCTGTTAAATGTAATATATGTTGAAATTATTACATATTATTTTTGATGAGTAATATAAAAAAAAAAAAAAAAATTGTAATTGTTAAAAGCTACAACAATAAAAATAATTATTACTATTATGTTAATAAATTAATATGATATTACTTTCGCTTAACTGACAACGTGTTACTCATAACTTATTAAGTAAATGCACTTTCAGCTGTCATGTTAAGTCTATAATTATCAATTATCAATAGTCCATAAATAAAATCTTACAACTCATTACACGTTACCTATTATAACTATTATTAAAATTTATTATTCATCAGTTGCTCTTCATTAATCATACTTATTTTTTTCATAGGTAAATATTCAACCTACTTTTGCGAATCCCCTGTCGATAAATTCCTTGGATCCATTCAAGAAGATTCCTCGCCATTATGTCGGTCGATGAAGAGTCCACGTCACGTGTGACTCTTATGTGCTCTAAATAAAAGTAAACAATAATTATTCATAGAAGACAACTCTACTATACTTTACAATACATCATAACTATTTAGTGTTGAAAGATAAAATATTATTAGCATAAATAATAATTATAATAAATTTCAGCTTAACTTACTCGGTGAGAATTGTTCATTGTCGGTAGCAGCCACTAGAACGACCAGTGCAGCAGGCAAGTAGCAGAGCGCTGCCAGACACCTCATGTTCTTCGTTTCCTGGGAGAAGAAATAAAGATAAATAAAATTTTTATTACAATAACAAACGAGTAAGTAAATGACACTGAAGTTCACAGACACTAGAAATTTTTTTATAATTTTATAAAAATAAAATTATTATTAAAAAAAATTTAATAAAAAAATTCCATTCATAAAATTAAAAAAAAAAAAAATGACATTAAAGTTAGCCGCCACTTGACAATTTTTCAATTTTATTTAACAAAAAAATTTGTTCCAAAAAATTATTAAAAAAAAACATTGCATTTTTAATTTTTTTTAATTTCTACATGTCAATTTTTTAAATAATTTTTTTCCTGTTATAATTAATTTGTTGCAAAAATTTTAAAAATGATATCAAATATCTGCTAAATTAATTTTCATTAAAAAAATGATTAGTTAAAATTTTTAAAAGGATTTTTTTAATTGTAATTAATTTATTATAAAAATAAAAAAATTTTGACAATTTAACAGTTGTCAGTATAATGTAAACAAAGGGATAGAAGAGATGAGACATTATAATCGTGGTGCGTTGTCACGAATATTACACAATATCTCTAGCTCTAAGGCAACTATCGATCATCGCGCGGATCATCTGTGAGAAAGTAGAAAGCGAACATAAACTATTATGAAATAATAATAAAAGGAGTCAAGGAGCCTTGGACGTCGAAAATTTTTCGTGGTATCACCGGGGTACACGAGTAAAGAGCCAGAGGTAAGATATAAATAATAAAGTAACATTGCTTTTAATGCAGCTATTAAATTACGCCATTAGTTATTTGCAGGTTAAATGTCACGTGTCTAAAATTATTTCTTCCATCCGACAATGCGACACTGTCAACAGTAAATAGATGTAAATGATACTGGATCTTAGATAGATTAAGGGGAAAATAAAACAACAACCTCCATGTTGATAACTTTCACTGTCAAAGGGTATAGCTTTCGTTGCATGACCTTGATGTACTACTGGCTTTATCTGGGTAAGCTTAAAGAAAAAAATGTCTATTTAGTTTCCCTTTGCTATTATATTATTCAATACTTTTATTCTGAAAATATCTACCGAGTTGTGTGTGGTGGATTTACGAGAGTAAAACTCCCACGAGTCGTGCGCACATGTCCTCGGTCCCCGAAGAAGCAAAGTGCCTCCTCGGCTGGTTACCGCTAGCGAAGCAAGAAGCAAGAAACATATTCTAAGCACACTAAGTAGGAAGAAGACGAAGAAAAAGGAAGAAGAAATGGTATGGGTTTGCGAATAAGTTAAGCCTGAGGAATCGTGCGAGCTATTGCCGAGGTGAAAGGTGAAAGTCGCATCAGTTAGACTCATCTGCTCGGCACGATCTGAGGAGATGTCTGTGGTCGTGAAAATTCTACTACACTGGTACATTTGTGTGGAGTACACTAGAGATATAGAAGTGTTGCATGATGCATATCCAACACTGGGTATCTTCTCTGGTTACCAGGCTATCGTGGACGACATCCGAGAGAAAATAATAAAATTAGCGTACAAACCTGACTCGAGATTTGTATTTATATTTATTATTTATTATATTATTTTTTTTTATATAAATAATAATGACAATAACGATAAAAATTAATTATTAATTATTTTCAGCATTGTGGATTGTGGTGTTAATTATTCGCCAATTAACACGCGGAGCCTGATGAAGCAAGCTTGCGTAATCTGCGAAAAAACCAGGGTATATCATCTGAGATTTAATAATCGTATCATTGTACACCGTGGGCGTAATACTAAGCAATATAATTATCGTGCGAATTCGTGATATTTTTAGTTTGTAGCCACGGGAACGCTCAACTACATCTACCTTGCTTTGTCTTGAGCGCTACTGTTTGTGGCTATTCAAGCTTGGTTAACATTATCTCAAGTGTGGTAAGCTAAACTCAAGGCTTTTATTTGTTTGGATGTTTAAACTCGCCTCTAATCTAGGGGAGTGTGTTTACCGCAAGAGTATGCTTACAATTATGTATTATGTATACAGCATAACCGAGAAGAAAATGATGATGGAACAGACAAAGAAAAAAGACCAGAGAAGTCAAACTTTAGCTCAAACGTGTAATCATTTTCACGTCTCGGTACTTTGGTTAATAAACGCTTTCATAATGTCACCGCGGTCAGGATGAAACGACCTGGGTTACTTTTTTACGACTCATTTACTTTATTATAATTATTAATTATTTAATTAAATTTTATTATTTTTAAATTTGTTTATGTTTTTTTTTTTTTTTTTTTTTTTAGGATTATGAAACACTTCCTGTGTGTTATGAATAATTAGTGTCGTTAGTCCGGAAGCGTGTTAATTGTTTGGGCAAGGTGTTTAAACAACGAAGAGGAGAGAAGAAAAAAAAATGAGTGAAGAGTAAGACGGATGATGTTAAAATAAAATAGGAGATTAATGACTGACCTCGACGGTTCTTTCTATTTCAACAAGTGAAAACAAAAAACACCATCGTTTACTCTAGACAGAATGACTGCGGTTTCATCGGCGTGACGGCGTTATCACTAAATCGTTTTGTCATATACTTAAAACTCTTTTTCTTCATCTACAATGCCAATTTCAATCTCAGTTGGCTGGGTACCCTGGCATTAATGCTGCGGTGTAGAAGTATTTAACAACCCTCGTGGATTATATTTTATTTGTTAAAATATAATAAATTTATAAATTTATGCCACGGCCATAACTCTACCATCTAAATAGCATAAAGACAGTATTAAATTTCTTATGATTTTAGTTTTAGTTAAACTCGTCTAAAGTTTATCACCGTTATTATAATATTACGTAGTCATATGAATTATCTTGCAACCGAGTTTGCTAAATTATTACTTATAATATTAACGCAACTTGTTGCTTTTTGTTTGGCTAATCATACGAGAAATTGAGTCGTTGAGTTATGGTTTATGGTGATGAAAAGTACGTCATTAACTGAAAGTGACTGAGCTCAAGATACGGTCAGACATACGTCCGAAGAATTCCTCACAAAATTATTAAATTTTATATCTTCAACATATACGCTGATAATTTATGCTAATATATATATATATATATATATATAAAGAAGATATATTATAGTAAATAATAACATTGTATTTATTATTTATACGTATTTTCTTTTTCAGGAAAAACTTTCAGATGAGCGTCCTATTGACCGTGGAGATAAAATCGATATATTGTATATATATACATATACAAGCATTATATATTGTATATTCAATCGGTGTATACGGGTGAGATTTGTGAGATGCGACAAGTAATGAGAATCGGCGAAAGTCTCGTACATTACATGCGATTATAGATATCTCACAAGTTACAAGTTTAAGTGTATATTTAAAATGATTGAACATCATCATCTTATTGAATGGCCTCCTCTTAGCTGTCATTATCATTGTTGGCCTTTCGACCTTTTAAAATTTGCCAATCGGGTTAGCAAACACAGCTAATTACTCTTTAATTCACTATTACAAATACAGTTTTGTTAAATTTTATTCAATTATTACTTAAGATTAACCTTTTACTGAAGATAAATTCACAATCACAACAATAAAGTTAAGAAGAAAATGAAGAAGAAATTATTTTTATTTAAAGACAATTCGAACAACATGTCAAAAGTTATTTTCGTTACTCTCACGACAAGAACGATTTAATCGTGAGAATAACACGGTTATATTCTTCTTCTTTTTTGTTAATATTGTTGTTGTTGTTGTTGTTGTTGTCTATGTTACTGCGGTAATTGTTACGACATTAGTTAGTTGTTTGTTAAATAAAAAATTGATTTTTCATGAGAATCACTTGGTTTATGTTACATGTTAATATTTTTATCTGTTACAGAACTATCTTCTTTAATTTTAATTACCAAAATAATTAATGCAATTTGTGTTATAACAAGTAATAATTGAAGCGAATTATTAAAATATTGAGAAATAACTTACGTTGCGATGAATAACGATCCAGTAATGATCCAAGTATTTGATCCAGGGTAATGATGCACGAGTTAAGTATTTAGATTGTGGTAATTATAATTAATAACAATAATAGTGGTAATAAAATATTAAAAATAATAAAAATTTGAAATTAAGAGTGGCGTTATTGCGAGAAAGGTGAGAGTGAATAGCTGAGAGCATCTTCATCGGAGCTTTATATAGGAATTGTATCCCCTTACTTCTAGGCTGGTAGAAAGAGGAGGCCACCTCCTCCACTGACACCATCGCCAGCTCCGACGCCGTCCAGATCCTCAGAGTCCGTACCGCAGGATCTTCATGAAGATTTAATAACACACCTGGACCCATTACTCCGGCATGTGTTATCTATTATCTATCAACCGTCAGCGTGTATGACACTGTTTCGCAATTTACATCCAGCATGCCAATAAACCGGCTGACTGTCAATTAGACTCGGAATCAGGTACTTATTTGGAAGATTAAGGCACGAGTGTCGTTAAATTGTTGGATTAAACTAAGATTTCAATGTTATTTTTTATTTTTTTTTTTTTTTTTGCAGAATCTACAATTCCAGTGTCCTTCAATTAAACTTAAACCTCAGAGAGCAGTAAAAAAAAATTAAAATAACTTGAAACAAGATTGAGATTTTGATGATTTTATTTTTTATTAAAATTCAACTATTTAATTCGCGTTATTCAAAGGCTTTTGTGTGAGTTTATTGTACGGCAAGTCAGAGAGGTTGAGAGAAATTTATATATATACACATTACTTTTAAGTAGCCTTGCATTTAAATCTACATTATTTTGTAATATATTTCTTCTGAGATTTTATTTAAAATAACTTATCGGTTCAAGCGTGTCTTGGTAAGTGTAATTTTAATTGTAATTGTAATTTTTATTTAAATTTAAAATAACCTTATTAATTCCAGGCGATGGTGATACCTGAATGATCTCAACTAGGATTTTAAATATTATTGAGGCACTTGCCTGCACGGTTGACTCATCGCGTAAGAGCAGTTGAGCCGAAAAATGTTTTAATTACAATTTTTAAAAAAGTGTTGGGCTGTGCGATAATTATTTAAGCCGATCAGCAAGCCTTGAGCAATATTGCTCTCTTATTCAAAATACTACTCATCTTATTTCTTCTTTCTTTTGTCATTACTTATTTTCTCTGGTGCCCTGCTTTCTAAAAATTGTTTTTGTTAGGCCAAAAATATTATATATGGACGTGTATAAATTTTTAAACGCCCCAGCTAATTCAATTTTTATTTTATTTTTTTTTTTTTTTTTTTTAGTAATTATTGTATTTAAAGTAATGGCTCGATTTTTTTTACTTAATATTGCTGTGAGTTTTATTGTTTTTTAGACTTTATTGGCGTATTAAATCACCGATAGCTCGCAGATGGCACGTACCGTTTGAAAGCCTGGTTAAATTACGTCATATTATATTTAAGAGTATTAAAAATGAATGTTTGAAACCCCCTCCGGCTTAATGAGAATCTTTATAAATTTATTGCACGTAGAGAAAGGTAAAATAATTTAATTATTTTTTTCTTGTTATATTTTTTATATTTGATTTAACAATATAAATATTTCTTCAACTAAATTTATTTATTTTTTATTAACTATAAAGTTAAAATTTATTAAATTTTTAATAAAAATTATAAAAAAAATATTTTAATAAAATTATAAAAAGTATTTTTTAATAAAATTATAAAATATTTTTTAATAAAAAATTTTTTTTGTGTCAAAAATAAAATAAAATTTTATTAAAAAATTTTTTTTTAAATATAATGAGTGATTTATTTAATAATTAAATAGTGATTTTATTTAATAATTAAAATAAATTTATCTAGCTTTAACGATTGAGTTGATTTATGTATATTTATTTGTCAGGTAAAAAAGGAGTTACTTTCACTGTATTTATGGCAGATGATCAAGATAGATCTAATTAACACACCAATTCAAATATAGTGTGTCTTTTAACATGGATCTTCAAAGGTGATATATAAATCTCTTTACTATACTCCTCTGGGGAAGTGGAGAAACGATTCACCACGCATAATACCACATGTGTACATAATATATTATAATGATGATGATAATAATAATAGTAGTACAAGTAATAAAAGTTAGACTACAGAACAGTAGTCTTTAAGGTATTGCGCAATCATCTATGAGTATAAACATGTAAGTACAATATAAAAAATAAATAACAATAGTAAGTAAGTATATATAATTCTTAAACGTTCTAACGCTATAATGTTTATACTCTCATTAAGAAGCGATAAATAAATAAATGAATAAATTAATCCAAAAATGAATATCATTTATTAGATGATGAAACTGATAGATATTTGTTTCGCAATTGGTACTTAGCATTTAAAAATAGTTTAAGATTTAAAAGTGTCAAGTCAAGAAGAAATAAAGAAAGTGATGATCTGAGGATAAGTCAAAGTCAATACAGTTTCCGGAAGACTACTCTCGATTATTTTTTTTATTTATTATTATTTTTATGCAGATGGGTTGTTAGAGCGAGTCTCTCTTGTTTAAATAAAACAACAAATCTCGGAGCAGTCTTGTAATGTCACGTATTCATTCTAAATGAATAAAATAAATTCATGTTTGCATCTGCTACTTCTATATCAATTATTTGCTTAAAGATTCGCTGGTGTGTGATAAATTGCATATAGAAATCTTAAGATTATTATTATCGTCTAAATATACTCAATATTTACTATTAAATACAAATGTTTAAATGTTTGTAAGTACTGAGAAATAGAGAAGTAAAAAAAATTTTATTCACGTTAAATTGCACTTCAGAAAAGTATGATGACATTTATGCAATATTAATTTATTTTTAATCGATGATTCAATATTTATTTACATATTTATTGTAGTTATGAAATATTTTTTTTAATATTATAAAAATTGCGTTTTTTTTAATCACTTTTTATTATTGAGAAAATTATTTAAATACCAGTTTACAATGAGCGTTTAAAGTTTAATAGTCAAATTTTAAGTAATTACCATAATTAAATACTTTACGAAAAAAAGAACACCTTTTCACTGGTTCTGAAATATTTAATTATTTTACGAATAATTACGATAATTAATATAATAAATTTCATTTGTTAATAGTATTACCGATGTTATTTTTGTTAATAAATTTTATTACAAGATAATAATTGACTGAATAATTTGTCAGCAATCATTCAAGTTTATTCGACAAGTATTACAACAATAAAAATTTTTTACTCATATTAATCATATTAATCATAAAAAAAAAGTTAAATATAAATTTTTCCACAGAATATAGTACAAAAAAAATTTTAAAAAAATCCCTTTTGAGTTTTCAACAAAAAAAAAAAATAAATTTCACCCTCTTGTTATAAAAAAATTCCTCAAGTTAAATTTATTATTAAATTAATCCGTAAAAAATCATCAAGAATACCTTGGTAATCCAGCATGAAAACTCATAAAAAAACTTGTCACTGAAACTAATGACAGCTATTGAAACCTTTGAACCTCAAATCTTCTTTATCATAATCCTCTACTCAGCAGCTCTTCAATCATCAGCATTAACAGGTAGTCTTGTGTACCTGTAGATGATACCAGCAGCAAAGAGATGGCGTCAGGTACCTGAACATCAAAGTCACCTTTCAGTTTTTTGTTGTGTTGTAAATTTAACGCAACAAACCACTATCATCATTATCAATTAAAATTAATTTTGCAAGTATTAGATAATCTTAAGAATTTTTTTAACAAACAAATTATGGCAAAAAAAATTAGAAAAATTAAATTGACATGTAGAAATTTTATGACATTAAATTTAGCTGTCACTTGACTATTTTTTAATTTTTTTTTAACAAACAAATTTTTTCCAAAAAATTATTTTTTAAAAATTACATTTTCAATTTTTTAAAATATTTAAAATTTCTATATGTCAAATTTTAATGAAAATTAATTTAGCAGATATTTGATCATTTTAAAAATTTTTTCAACAAATAAATTATGGCAAAAAAAAATTAGAAAAAAAAAATTGATAAGTAGAAATTAAAAAAAAAATTAAAAATCCAATTTTTTTTTAATAATTTTTTTGGAACAAATTTGTTAAAAAAAAAATTCAAAAATAGTCAAGTAACTGCTAACTTTAATGTCATCATTTTTTATTTATTTCTACATGTCATATTTATTTGTTAAAAAATTTTGTAAAATTATTAAATAGGTATCTGCTAAATTAATTTTCATAGAAATTAAAGAAAATAAAAAATTCCATTTTTTTATGACATTAAAGTTAGCAGACACTTAACAATTTCTTAATTTTATTTATCAAAAAAATTTCGTCCAAAAAATTATTTTTAAAAAATTGCACTCTTTATTTTTTAAAATTTCTACATGTCAATTTTTTTTTTCTAATTTTCTTTACCCAGAATTTATTTGCAATAAAATTTTTTAAATTATTAAATACTTATATGCCAAATTAATTTTTATCATTTTTTAAAATAATTCTTTGAATAAATTATTTGTTAAAAAAAATTAAAAAATAGTCAGTTGATAATTTTTTTATTTTATTTAATAAAAAAAATTTTTTTTTTTTATTTTTAAAAAATTGCATTTATAATTTTTAAAAATTTTGACATGTCAAAATTTTTTTTGCCATGATTTATTTGTTAAAAAAAAATTATTAAATATCTGCTAAATTAATTTTCATGTCATTCATCATCATCATCATCATCATCTTCACAGATACTTATACAATCCTAGAGACTCAAACGCCTGTACAGAAATGTACAGTACTGAGGAATGCATTGCCGACAGAATGGGGACCAGCACTCACACAAGACAACACACTGGTGTGCAGGTTAAATCCAGCAACAGGTACATATACACACAACACAACACAAACGCTTGTATAGTATCATATCAGTGCTGGTGCGTATCACATTGTACTAGCTGAATCGTGGATGTGATGGTCAGTCCCCCCTCGGTGTGACTGAGATCCAGCCCGATACAAGTACGAGCGGTGCCGATGAGCGAGGCCGAGCAGCCGAGCGGAGCGGTGGAAGGAACCAGCCTTTGAGTGCCTTCGAATCACCCAGACCGAGTCCACGCTCTCAGGTGTACGTACTAAATAAAATAATTAAACAACGTAGTTTATCAAGTATTTATCTACTTTTCGTGTTTTATTTTGAAGATTTTAATTTTTATTATCGATAAAAATTAATTAAAGACTCACGTTATAAATTTTTTTTCAGTTAACTCCTGGAATTAGTGTGTGAAACTCGGTAGATTGTCATCATGATAACGAATGACGGAAATGTGACGTGATCATCAAAGAAATTTTTATAACTGTTCCGACAAATCGTTTGTATTTGATAAGACTCATCTGTAAACGCTTTTTAGTAGTATAGTCTTGTTATAAAAGTGCTATTGTACTTATTTAGACGCTGATATTAATTTGACAGTTGATGAAAAAAATAAATATGAGCAAGTATTTGTATAAAGCGAGTGGATTTACCATGTGGTTCATCGTGTTAGTCATCGCAGCTCTTCACCAGGTAACGTAAATATTTTAATAGAATAATTTAGTAAAAATAGAAATAATAATAATAGATTATTCATATTTTGATGTCATGCATTCCTTAATTTATTATATAAAAAAAAACCAGTTTGCTAAGTCTGTTTTTTATTCGTTTTCGTTCGCTGAAAGTAAGACTGTATTTAGTATTCAAATAAAAATAAAAAGTTTTATTTTAAAATTAATTTAACAGATATTTAATAATTTTTTTAATAAATAAATTTTGGAAAAAAATAATTTTTTAAAATTGTAAATGTAATTTTTTTAAAATAATTTTTTGGAGCAAAAAAAATAATTTAAATGGTGTGACTGCTAAGTTTAATGTCAAAAGCTTTTTATTGTAGATTTTGTATGTTGAAAGAAGAAAAAAAATTAGTGGGAATATTTATTAAATATTTAAAGAAGATTATGAAGAAGAAGAAATAGTAGACAGGCTATGAAGAATGAAGAAAATAAGGCTTAAATACGATGGAATCGATAACAATTGGATGCAAGGTCTGCTCGTGCACGTGGTGCACCGACACAAATCATCGTCTTCGTGATCTAGAAGTGAGCAACCAACACTCACGATTCAAGGAAATGAATTCGCGTTGTTATTCTTAAATAAGGTGGTGTTAGCCTTGGAAGAAACGGCATTGGATTATTCACCTACGTCGAGAGCCCACGATTTAACGTGATTCTAATTTTTATTACCATAATTTTAACCAACGTCTGCATACAGATTTTTATTTTTGAGCGTTAAATATTCACGGTACATAATATATATTTATATATATGATTTGATGAGATGATATTTGTATCGTGTGGGCATATCTGAAGGTATTACGATGCCGTTCGCCTTGAAACCATGGGTGTAATCTCTTCGCCAGTAAGAAGTTAAGAAAAGTTGCTGAGAATAATGGTAACCACCTGCATGTGTGTAGAAGAACAAGGAGAAAAATAAGTAGAAGTGGAAATTTATTCAAAGAAATATTTGGAACGCGGGAGATTCGTGACATGGGTACGCCTTTTAACGGCCTTTATAATAACTCTGTCATCAACTTTATTATGATTATTATTATTAAAATTAACCATTTTTTAAACATATTATTTAACTGTCTGTAATATATAATTATTGACATAGTTTTGAAGATACTATCCAAAATTCATCAAGCTGAATTTTTTGTAGGATGATTTAACATTTCAATTTATTTATTTCATCAATAATTATTGGTATTGATTGCAAAAGCTCATACTTGTGTCATACTTTGATTGAATACTCAATAGTTATTGTAATTGTTATTGTCACAATAACATTAAAAAATTAAATTGACAATAATTACACGTTATAAAAACAATTAAATACAACAAATAATTTTTTAAAGTTGTGAAAGACTCGTTAAAACAATTAGTTATTTTTAATTTAATATATAATTAAAGCTAACAACAAAATTGTATAGAAAATAATAACCATAATAAAAATTTTGGTAAGTATTATTATTTATGAATAGGACAATTATAAAATAATTATATAAGAACTGTAATGACTAATAGAACAATGACAAAAGTAACAGGATAAAAGGTTGATGACCAGAAAATAGTAAAATTTCGTGACAATTTATCTATTATTTGTCTTTTTATTAAATAATATATAGAAGATAGAAGATGAGAAGAATAAAGGATGTAGGAGGAGAGAGGTATCCATTGCAGTCGACAAATCGGACGTTGGATAGGCCAGATTTACGATCAAAAGGAGGAGAGAAAAGGGAGGAATGCAATATTGCACGAGGCAGTGCTTGGGAATGGAGACTGGAGACCCTGGAGAATACGTATGGATGCTAAAGTCGTAAATGTCTTAGTACCAGTACCCTCTGGACAGAGAGCCCAGTGTTTAATATCTTGTACCCAGTATTCAGTGCCCAGTACCTGGTACCAGGTACCCGGTGTCTGTTCAAGACCTCTGGGCTTTGGTCTGTGGTCTCTGGATAGAAGAAACTAAAGTCTGGTGTGTTGAAAGTCTTTTACGAGGGTTTAAATCAAACAAATAGTCTGCGCCGACAGATAATGCCAGAATTCGACTGGCAAAGGATTTAAAGACATTTGGTGCGGCCTTTTATGGTCAGAAGCCCAATAGTCTTTGGTTTCTCGTCTGCTGGGATGCCCAAAACCAGTTTTGCTCTCTCAACATCTTACCAAACATACTTTCGCTGTCTTGCATCCAGCTCGACATCTCTTGGACAAAGTGCAATGACTCTCGAATTTTTTACCACTATGCTAAAAATTAATCATCAAGGGTAGAGCTTGGTGGTTGCTGCTCCAAGTAAAGAACACCCGAGTCTCAATGCTGATGATAAATAAAAAAAAATCCAGTAAGTTATCTGAAGCTAAAAATATCCTCAAGTTATTTATTGTTTATAGACTGGTATTCAAGGCAAACCTGTAGTTATGGCACATTTAAATATTTTTAATTCTTTATAATTCTCAGCTTTACAAACATCTCCCCAGGTGTGCTGTGTGCTTAAATTATCAAGACCCGTCGAGCAGAGAGCAGACTGAGGCTCTTTAACGCTACAAGTATCAATATCGCTCTGAGACAACAATCTTTAATCTTCTTTCATATCTCCAAGAGCATAAGAGCATCCAGCGGAGTATTATCCTCGAAAACTTTTAACTTGACTCAAGAGATGGAAGATGTTCATCTGGAAGATCTCGTCGGGCATTAGTTATTCAATGTAATTCACTTTCACTTGATAACGTGCACGCGCGATCAGTGTCAACGGGGAAAAAAAAAAAAAAATGGTTTTATATTAATAAAAAACCGTGGAGATATTAATCAAACAGAGAAAATATCCATGTCGAGATCGAGAGGGAACTACGTTCCACTTTCTGATACTCTCACCTTTTTTTTTGCGCACACCAGAGAGTCATTACCGTATCAGCGTGCTTGTAACAATGTCTACTATTTTTATTTGTTTAGATTTAATAGACCAATAGAAAAATTCTGTCCTATGCGTTGGTATCATAGCTCATGCAATCAAAATATCTGGGACTTGCGTAATTTATTTTGCCGAGAGAAAGTTAAACATTTGTCGCTTTGTATTTAAATAACTTTGTTTAAAAAAAAATAATCAATTTCTTGAGCGGGGATTTATTTAAATACAATTAAAATTAATTTTATTAAATTAAAATAAAATTAATAAGAGGAGAAAGTTTCCGACTATTGACAATTGCGTTAAGTTTTTCACCAGCAGCAACAATAACAGCAGTTTTCCTTGGAAGAATCTAATGTAGGGCATCAATTAGCTGGAATTTATGTATCCGAAGTTGCAAGATAAAAATTAAAACTTGATGACACGCCCAGAGAATTAATATATTTATCAGGATAGTGGGTTGTTTGGACTAGAGTGTTGGTTGTTGTTAATCCTGAACTGGTATCGGCGAAACTGAAAGTTTGCGTGGGTTGACAGACGTAGGATTGGATTGTCGGGTTTAGAACGAACGAGAATGACTAAGGACTACGGGAATAATGTATAATGCAATGTTAATGTGTAAGAACCCGTGAACCGGTCCAGGTCCGTGCCCACAGTCCAGTTGGCATGAAAAGAAGGTAACGGTCAGCCGAGTTGGCAAACCAGTCTAGACGATTAGCGAATCTATTACATGACATGCCCAATCAGCTATAATCCAACCAGTTTTGCTGAAACAATGACTCAACTCGACTCTTGCTGGAGAAACGAGAACTGGATTAATATAAATTTATTTAAACGTCACGGGCCAAGAATTCCGAGTTAATTTTCCGTACTCTATTATCACTGTTTCCTTTTGATTTGATTATCCGGCTAGGCTGGATGATGGAAATTTAAAATAATCCGGAAGCTAGGCCAGTGAATTAATATCATGGTTCTCTAGTTTGTACCTTGTTTGTATTTAACATTGTTTTATTAATTGTCTTGTTCCAGGTCACCGGTCAGTTACTCGACAATGAGTTTCAGCCAACAGTCACTGCGACCTGCAAAGATGGATACATGACAATAAGATTAAATCTTAATGACAGTTTCGTTGGAGCTCTTCATGCGCGTGACTACAGGACTTCCCAGTGCATGGTCGCTGGTAATGGCTCTAAGCAAGCGACTCTTGGTATTAATCTTCTTGCTGTTCATGGAGCACCTGACTATTGTGGTGTTATTATCAATAATGTATGTATTTATTTATTATTTTTATTATTATTGTCAATATTATCAATTTTTAAACTTGTTATAATAATAATAATAATAATGACTATGTGACTGCCATGACTTGTGATCTAAAAAAAATTAAAATTTTGTTTTATTAAATAATGACTTTTGTTAAATTGCACTGTGCTTTTTTAAATATTGACGTTTTTAAAGATATATAAGCTCATCTCAATGATACACTCTTTTCATATATACATATATATAATTTATATATTTTATATATTTCACAAATATCACATATATAAAATATATGAAAAATTTCATGTGGGTACTCAAACGAAAAGTCTCGATGAAAGTAACATCACAATAAGCTTATATCTTTAAAAATATCAATAATTAAGAAATAATATTGTATCTTGTCACCTAATGATGTTATTGAAGATATAAGCTAATCTTGATGTTACACTCATCGAAACCTTTCATTTGAGTATCCACATGATTTTTTTTATATATTTCATACATTTTATATATATGATATATATGAAATATATATAAATATATAAAAAATTGATGTGAGTACTCGAATAAAAGGTCTCGATGAGTGTAATGTTGAAGTGAGCTTATATCTTTAAAAATGTCAATAGTTCTCAAGATACAGGGTCATTTCTTAATTATGTCTCTAAAGACAGAGCATTTTCGAATGTAGCCTAAATATACTTTGCAATGACACTAAAGTTCACTGAAAAACCCGATTTTATCATAAGACTATCCTGGACACAAAATTTTTCTTATTCTCTTAACAATATAGATAATAACAATTTAACTCACGAGATTATTATTATTATTATTAAAATTACGATAATTATTGCATTAAAATTTTATCTTAGAATTTTATCAATAATATCGATTAAAAATGTTAATTAATAGAAAATTGATGCACATCTCAAGCGCAAAGCAATAAAAAGGCTTATTATAATTTTTATTTAAATATTTATTATTCATATTTAATTTTTTTAAATTAATCTGCAATAGAGTACCGAAGAAAGATCATTACCAATAGCCGTGAGAATTCACAAGACACTAGAATTAGCGGATGACAAATTTTATGTGATAACTTGCGGTAAAGCCGGATTTAAAAATGCCAAGTAAGTATAAAAGCGCATTTAAATTTAAATCCTCAGATAAATATATATAATATTTATATTTATGTATTATATAATTATAGAAATGAAACATCTTTGGTGTCACTGCGTCTTCTGGATTCCGGCCGTCGCGTGCAAGAGGCAATCTACGGTCACAACTACACGCTGCGTGCAGAAATATCGCGACCTGACGGTTCGTAGTAGTGTACCATGTCTATATATATATATATATATATATTTTTTTTTTACTATTATTGTTACTGTTGCTGTTATTATTATTATTATAATGATTATGGTCCGAGTGGGTGATCGTTCCACAGGAGCGAGCCCAGAGCATCCGGATATTATATGGTTGGATTGTGTGTATCAGGCTCTCTCACGAGCGTGAACGCTATGAAAGATTGGATGGACTGGACTCGCCTGGAAATAAATTAGAGTTATACCCGGCGATGAATAATCAATTGCTCTTTGGAATTATTTCAGGAATGTACGGAATCAGAGTAAAGTCTTGCTTCGCATTCAACAAGCGAAACAGCAGCGTTCAGCTGATCGACGATCGTGGCTGTCCGGTCAAGAACCATGTCATCACTAAATTTATCTACGACACAAACACGGGAATTGCTGACGCAACTCTCTACTCGATGTTTAGATTCCCTGAGAGTCCTCAGGTTCATTTTCAGTGTGACATTGCCGTCTGTCGGGGTAAATATATTACTTTAGTTTAGTTTATTTATAATTATCCCAAAGCCAAGGTCAAATGGCAATAAGAAAGATACATAAAATTTTATAATTATTATGCAATTTTAAATCTACATTTGTAAGTAACAAAAGAGAAAAAAAGAAAAGAAAAAAAAGTTTAGGAAAGATATTTAAAGTATTTTTAAGGAAGATAATATTATTAATACAAAGATGAAAAAAATAATGAGAATATAATATTGAATTAATTGACAATTTAATGAGCCTTTACTCACTGAAAGTTATTTAAAATAATTGTTTACTAGCAACCTTGCAGTCCTTATGTGACTGCCGTGACTTGTGTTAAATTGCTATGTACTTTCTTAACTATTGATGTTTTTAGAGATATAAGCTCATCCCGATGTTACACTCATCAAGAGCTTTCATTTGAGTACCCACATGTATTTTTGATATATTTTTCATATATACATATATATAATATATATTTTAAAGATATAAGCTCATTCCGATGTTACACTCATCAAGAGCTTTCATTTGAGTACCCACATGCATTTATATATATTTTTCATATATACATATATATATATAATATATATAAATATATGAAAAATTGATGTGGGTACTCAAATGAAAGGTCTCGATGAGTGTAAAATCGGGATGAGCTTATAACTTTGAAAATGTCAGTAGTTGACAAGATACAAGGTCATTTCTTAATTATGTATTTAGAGATAGAGCATTTTCGAATTAACTATCGGTGAGAATGATATGAAACCCTAAAAAAGCACAAATTTAAATCAAGACCTTTGCAATGACACTAAATTTCACTAAAAAAACCGATTTTATTCTCTTAATAATATAGATATTTTACAAACAGGAAGCTGTGGAATTCCGGTGTGTGAAGGTGAAGATGACTTGGGACTAAAAGGTCCACCTGGTAATCGTCAAAGTGTATCAGGGGAAGAAGGAATTTTATTGGCTGGCACAAGTGTATTTGTGTTAAACCCCGGAGAGACACCTGGTAAATTTTAAAAATAAATATCACTGTCATTGGTTTTAAATTACATGACACGCATTATATTAAATTAAATTAACAATTCACTAAAATAGTTATCGTGGAACAATAGATTTATGTCAGAAGAATATATATATATATATATTGTAATAAGTAACACGCAAACCGGATCGGCGTGTTGCTTGAATAATAAGACACGTTCCTCTTTGACCTCGACTCTTGCTGGCGTCGAGTACAAGAAAAGAGAAGAATAATAAAAATAAAAAGAAGAAGAAAGAAAGAAAGAAAGAAAGGAAAAAAAAAATGTAAATAAATAACGATGAGCCAACAATCGCGTTTATTATTCCATTTAAAGTGTTGGATGATCCTTTCGCTAACCGGTCAGGGCGTGGTCTCGCCAGTTCTTTGAGGATTTCTTCTCAAGCTCCTTTCTCTCTTTCTCCCTTATCTTCTTTATTTTTAAATATTTATATTTTATATTTTATATTTATAAGGCTTAGAGTCTCACGCAATCAAGAAACCACCAGCCTAAGCCGCACGATAATTTCGAGTCATATAAATATTTTATAAAAATAAGAATAAATAATAAAATCTAAATAATGTAATTGTTTTTAGTGGTGCAGACGCTGTACGATGACGGAGCGGTGCATCCACAATGGCTGCTGTGGTTAGCCGTCGCATTTGGTATTCTCTTCCTCATAATGCTTATCATCAACATACTCCTGTGCTCAGCGATGACATGCAGCTGCGCGAGAACGGAAATAATTGAAAAGGAGCCGTCGATTATCGAGGACTACGATCCCTATCGCAGTTGGCCGGGGTCTCAATATGGCTCCAGGTTGGAAATTTTACAACACTACAGTAGATATATCTAAACAAATACTGTCAATAGTTTTTATATAATTTATAATTATTGTCATGCAACCGGGTTTGCTATTGAACTAACAATAACACAAAGTCCCTGGCTAACAAGGAAATAGTTAGTACAATGTTGCTACTGGTAGGTTAATTAATTGTTACTGATCGTGAGATCAAGTTTAAAGCACCCATTGGCAGGGGTAACGAGCAGTTGTACAAGATTCTGAATTAAAACCAATGCCGATGTAGATGTATAATTCATAGCTGGACACGCGAGCGGCCTCAGGAAACTTTATCCTGATACACTGATACATCTTATGCTCCATAAGCAGTTTTGTGGTGGTATCAAGGGCACTTGCTCAATGCTCCTAAGTAAAGAGTTAAGAGTTTAGTTTAGAGAAAAACGTTAAGAGTTAAGAAAAGTAGATACATACCATAACGGTTCAGTGGTCTTGCTGAATTATACCAGTCACGTGGCGCAATGCCAATGTACTAAACAACTTTTATTTATTATAGTATAATAGTTTTGCACTAGTTTTATTGGAAATTCAAATAGGTTCTCTTAAAATAATAATATCACTGACTTTTTATTGTATTGAAATAATGATACTTAAGGGGGTATTCTGGTCTAGAAGCCTAAATTTTAGGCATTTTTCAAACTAACATAAAAAAAAAATGAAAAAAATTTTTATAATCCGTTTTTTCATATGATGTTTATTGACATTTCAAGAATATAAAAAAAAAATAAAAAAAAAAAAATTGAATAAATTGACAAATTAACAGGGCTGGTGAACTGGGGGCTACAAAAAAAAGCGGTGCACATCTGGTTGACATGATTCCAGCCCTTGTAGTGATATGAAACAAAAAAATTTGAGAAATTCTCAAATCTGTAAAGATGTCGCTATCGCGTTGACTATAGTCAAAAAAAAAAAAAAA